TGGATGACCAATTGGGAAACCATTAAATTAGATTTAAAATCGAATCAATATTACTTTTGAATGATTTAAAAAAGAGAATCGAATTAAACGAGTGAATCGTAGTCGAACCAATTGATCTGCATTGATTTGATTGACTCAAACCTACTCTTTGATTTTTTTAATTATTTATAATCATATTATAATATAATCATATTATAATCATATTATAATTATTTATATATATATTAATATTTTTATGACTTTCTAATTAAACCATGGACCGCAGATTAAAATAACAATCATCCACGAGATTCTTTTACCGGACCGTATTTTAAGTTATCATCAAGAAGCTATTCAAGGGTTCAGCGCGCGCCCTTAAAACACATACACACAAACACATATATATATATATATAATTAAAAGAAAAAAGAAAAACGTAAAATGGTAGACCATAAAAATGCAGAGAGAGTTTGGTTGGTAGAAAAGTAATGGGGTAAAGATTAGATGAGCCCGTATCCTTAAATTCAGTAAGGAGAAAAATTGATGAGACAGCCTCCATTAGATACAATTTTCCACTTAGTTTAAGCGTATATATAATTAAAAGTTTTGACAAACGGCCAAGTTAAGTCTAACACAACTTTGGCTGTGGCCAGCTAAAATGTCTAAAATGCTTTCAACAGTGGATTTTTCTCCGCAATACACACGCATAACATTTTAGACAGACCAAATATATTTTTTTGTATACTTAAATGATACCAAATGTCCACATCAACATCCGAACTCCAAATTCATGTTGGTATTACAAAACTTATTCAACAGAATGTGTAACATTTTCCAAACCTAATTAACGAGGAATCCAAACAATTGTATCACTATTAAGTATGTGACAAATTGGAGGTCCTCCTGGCTTGACATTAAGAACTTGAAAGGCAAAGTGATTAGGGTTCCAAGCTGAGCAAAGTGATTAGGGGTTTCCAAGCTGAGGTATTTGGTGTGGCAAATTAACAATTGCTTCAGCTTCAGAAGCCCATGCAAACCCCACAAGTGGAACTGAATAACCCTTTTGGTCGAGCTAAAACTTGGCAATAAAATACTTCAATTTATATTCCAACTTATGGCAACACTATTTGGATTGTTCTCCTATCATTTTTGACTCCTTCAAAATTCTGTATACTCTTGAATTTTATTCTTCTCTTCTTCCTTCGTTACAAATGTCCCTTAACTTTTTTCCGAAGCTTTGCCACGATTATAAATCAACACAGCGATTCTAAAGATGTCGCACAATTATTTTCTTCTTTCCGCTGAACTTTGGTGCCTCACATTCTCAATTGTTTGCTTATGATCTTCAGTTCTTCGAAGAAGATTTTATCGAGAAATAGTTCAGAAATTTTCGAGCTTCTTTCGAAGAAGATTTTATCGAGAAATAGTTCAGAATTTTCGATAACTTGCGACTCGAAAAGGGTATAGTTTTTGCAATTTTGATTGGCAAGAAATTGGTTCCATTTGTAGATTTAGTAAAAGCAAGTCTCATCTTTCTGTTAGGACGAAGATCATCGTATAAAAAGTATATTGTTGTATTAGCTGTGATATTTTTATTAATTTTTCCATACTCAGACCAATAACCAGTTCCGTAATCAAACCTTGATGGGTTTATCCCTGAAAAATCAATCTCCTGATATGAAAAAGCGGTGTCGTTTCCTGCATTTTCTTGCAATATGCAGATCATCAAGCTTGCTATGAATATCAGTTAAAAAGAATGCCTAATTTCATTAAACTCAATTAACAATTTCATTATTGAAATTTATATAATAATGGAATGAAAAATTATCTTCCATTCAAATTTTAATTTTAATAAAACCAGAATTTAAAAAACAATTACATTGAACCGAAAATATTAATAATGATTATGTTTTAATCTGTGTTAAATTACTTAAAATAAATTATTTATTTCAATATTTCATAATGATTTAGCTTACTCAGAATTATTATATCACCTCTTATTCGATTAATCTTTACACTATTAATAAAAATTATAGTTATAACTTATAACTTTATTCAATAAGTTAATATATTCTCATTTTTATATGGTTCAAAAATTTATTTATTAATGTTGAAATTTATTGAAAGTCACTATAATATTATTAATCAGTATAGGAATAATTATCATTATATTTTACTTTTTTTATGAAAAAAAAAACTTTTTTACTATTTGTTTTATTCAAAATATGATAATATAATAGTTACTTTTGCCTCACTAATATAAATTAATCAAGAAAGAAAATTAAAAAAAAAAAATTTAAGTTGCTAACCAGGCTTTAAAAGATCTTGCAGAGCTTTCGGAATTGGAGTGTTTGGTAACATGGTCTTCCAATACAGTTCTGCAGGTAGGGAAGCCTTACTTCCTTTTAGAAGAAACTGCCATGATGATGATAATAAGAGTTATATTTGTCAAAACAATAAAAGAAAATTGAATAAGAATTGAATATAAAAATTGAATGCTTACACAAAATAAAGCAATAAAGAGAAGATAATCCATATAACCAAACAGAACTGATATATTTTTATATATGTGGAAGTTACTGATAGGCTTATACAAACTTAAGCTATATATAGGAAAAGGTTCAGGTGCTCAAGTATGGAAGTTACTAAAAAGTCCAATCTCTTACCCTAATCTATCTATTTGTTTTCCTTTTTTTTTTTTTTTAACCAAAAAAGTTAAAAGTTAATGCTGACTTTCCGGTGTTTTCTTTCCGTCCGTTTAGTGGGGTGAACTTTAGAGATACGTTTTCCATTGTTACTGAAAATTAATATATTTGTTTTGGCTGTATTAATAGATAGTTTTTTAAATAGCTTTTAACGCTATTTATTGTTTGATAATATAATATTTGAATTAATTTTTAGAAGTTAAAATAGTATTTTATAAAAAATTAACCCATAACGTTTAGCTTTTAGCATTTTATAAAAAGTTATTCAAACAATTAACGGCTACTAAAACAGCTAATTTTGACAAACAGACTTTACATCTTGCCATGATATATAATATTGTCTCTGCATTTTTTAAAATATATAGCTTTATCTATGTTTTTGCTTCTGTTATATTGTTATATCTTTTGTCAAATTTTTATACTTTTTCATCAAAATTTTATTATTTAAATCTTCGTATTTTGTCAAAATTAGTTAACATGTTTCTGCATTTATTGAATATTTTTGTTCTTATAATTTATCAAAATAATTAATTTATCCTTGTATTTAAAAAAAAAAAGTACAAGAAATCGACAAAAATTTATAAAAGTATAACGAAGGCAAAAGATAAGGATAAAACTTTATATTTATAAAAAATATATAAAGATAAAGTGTTGTATTTTGATAAGATACAACCGTAAAATAATAATTTTTTCTCATCTTTTACATATTATCTCTTTCTTATATTTCGCCACTATAGCAAAAATTCAGCCACCATAACTTGTAGATTCATTAGAACAGTGTGTCAGACATGCTTAACCATTTTAAAGAGAGAGAGAGAGAGGTATGGGAGAAAAAGAGGAAAAGTGAGAGAAATTTTAGATGAACATATTTATATAATTTTATTTTAAATTATCTGAAATCTTGTCTATCAGCTGTGGTTTGATTGATTTTTCCACGTCTCGTAGAAAATGTAGGAAGTGAGATATCTAAAGTTTGAGTCATTTCTATCATAAAGATTAGAGTTACTCTTGCTGTATAGCTTACAATATTATTCCAATTCATTACACTCCCATGTATAAAAAAAAAATTACACAGAGTCTTTCTCGTTTTTCCCACTGAAGTAGAAAATGTGGGTCTAATGCTACCCTTTAAGAAAGAATGTGCTACTAAGTCAAGTTTATGTTTCAAAATCCACTTTTATTAATTAACTATCAATCAAATTTGTAATTAGCACACGCTTCCGTTATTAATCAAATTACTATTGTTTTAAGAGACTATCAATCGAGTTTATGCGCTCCCTTTCGAGTGTTTAAAGAGACTCCATATTTTCTAGAGTTCAAACTCGAAATATATGATTAAGAAAGAAATAATCTCCGTTATCTTATTTCACTGCTAGACTATTATTTAGTAAGGCAAGACCAAAGTAAACGCATACAAAGATTTTTCCCTCCTTAATTACTGTTTACCTTTGAATATTGGAAAAAGGAATTTGATTTGTGAGTGACACTTTTTCTCTCCTCACCTAATCCATGAATTAGCTGAAATTAAAGGATATATGTTTTGACCCAGATTTTGAATTTGGAGGAAAATGACAAATATATTATTTCGATCAAACTCAGATTTGTTTCTTTCTTATTGGCACTCACATTTTCCATTTTCCATTTTTCACTCTCATTGGGACATTTTTAAGTGGAAAAAAAATGATTTTGTTTGTTTATTTTTCTAATTATGTACCATATGAGGTCTGTCAATTCATATTATATTTAAAAATAATTATTAATAATAAATAATTGTATATTCCCCAAGTCTATTCGACGTTATACTTTAAGTCATTTCTAATATGTCATTTCTCTCATTTGATATTTTTTTCATACATGCTCGACTAACAAATACAATGAAAGACTTACTGAGTATGGGTTTATCTATGTACCAAACCAATTACAAATAATATTTTTTTTCCAAACGAGGATATTTCTGACTATACACTGAGGAAAAAAAAAAAATGATAACATTTTTAAAAAAGAACTTTTTTAGTGGTTTAGTGTATGGAACCAACCATACACTCGGGTGTAAGTCAGAAATTTTCTATTAATAAAGTGACAAATTAATGATCTTTAGGCTTAATCTTGACGGGAATGAATTATCTATACTAGGGTATTGGCACACACATATACCAAACTAATCAAAATAGTTAGCAGCAACAAAATGTTTGTTATCTAAAATAAACTGTAGAGTGCTTGTTTAAAAGCAGCCAAATGCTGCCTAAAAGAAATTAGATTTGAAAATCACTATAAAATTTTTTAAATTTTAGTGTATTTATATAAATTCCCATAGCATTTGTTGGATTTTAAGGATTGAATTTACATTAAAAAGACTTACAAATAATACAATATGGGAAAGGGTATAAAGCATGAAAAGCTAAAACAAGAATGTTAAACAAACTAGTAGACCAAAAGCCTTGATAGCTTTATTTCATTGGGTGGATTCATAGCTGACGTGGTAGACCGAGTCCTTCTAAGAATTTCTCATTTTCAATTGACACCATAATTAGCTTCTGGCTGCCAGCTGTGAAGAAACTTGCCTCATGGTTGGCCGAGATTGAGGATTAACAATCAAGCATGCAAGTGCAAGTTTTACAGTGTGTATCAATGCATCAGGAGCTTTATTTCCAGGAATTGGGAGGCGTTTGTCAATCACATATTCAAGTAGAGTATCTTGATCAATTGGCAACGACAATGATGATGACGATAATGATAAAGAAGAAATGAAATCGCCTGGATGTCTTCCCATTATTATTTCGAGTGTCACTACACCGAAGCTGTAGACATCGCATTTTTCATTTACTGCCATTGTATAAGCTAGCTCTACAAAAGAATGTGTACAATAAGAGTTTAATTCAGTTATAAGTTTTTAAATACCAAACAATTTCAAAATGATGTTAACAAAATGAGGTCATTTCTTTACACGTTAATTCTACAAAACATTAAATTATATTATATCAGATAAATGTACCTGGAGCTGTGTATCCATATGTGCCTGCAAATGAGGTCCAATTTGACGAGTCAGGCATTAAAAGCCTAGCTGTTCCAAAATCAGAGATATGAGCCTCAAAATCTGAATCCAATAGAACATTGTTACTAGAAATGTCTCGATGAATAATTGGAGGAGAGCAATCATGGTGCATGTAAGCTAATGCATTAGCGATTCCTTTAATAACATTTATTCTTCTAAACCAATCCAACTCCGTTGCTTGTTCCTCATTGTTTAAGATACTTCTCAAACTTCCTCTTTCAATAAATTCATAAACCAAAAATGAGTGTTTGGTATGCGAGCAGAAACCATATAATTTGACAATGTTTCGATGGCGAATGTTCATTAACACAGTAATCTCACTTGTAAATGATTTGAAATCAGTCATTTCTCCATCTTGTGATTGGTGAAGTTTTTTCACAGCAACAACTCGATCTGTTGGTAATACAACTTTGTAGACAACTCCATACCCTCCGATCCCAATGCAATATTCAGAGTCGAACATTTTGGTAGCATTAACAACATTTTCATATTGTATATCCTTGTCATTGCTCCATACGGCACAAGTACCTTCACAGCTTGGCACATTTTTCTCCAAATCAATTTTTCTGCTTCTGATTTTTTGACGAAGAATGAAGAATCCTCCAACAAAGAGAATAATTAGAACTATACTGCAAACAAGAGGAACAATAATTAAATTAGAAGGTTTACTACCCTTTTTTCCATTAGCACTTGTAGGAGAAGGACAAGCCTCTAGTCTAGTGTTATTTCCACACAAGTCTCTATTGTCTCGAAGCGCATCAAAGGGAGCCTCTTGAAAGGGTTTAATGTGTGGAATTGGACCTTCTAACTCATTGTAGGATATATCCACTATTGTCAAGCCTAATAAACCAACAAAACTACTTGGAATTGAACCTGAAAGCATATTGCGAGAGAGATTCAATGTCTCCAATCTTTCTAACGCACCAAACTGTTGTGGTATCTCCCCTATTAATAAATTTTGACTAAGATCAAGACTTTCCAGAGAATGTAACTTCCCAATCTCCAAAGGAATACTCTTTGTAAAACTGTTCTTGCTAAGATTCAAGAACAATAGTTTCGAACAATCTCCGAGCTGTTTAGGAATTGCTCCGCTTAAATTGTTTGCTGCCAAGCTTAGAGTTCCAAGATCAGATAATGTACCAATTTCTTTAGGAATTTCACCTGAAATGTTGTTATCATCAAGAGAAAGCTCTAACAACTTTAGCTTGCTCAGTTCTTTTGGAATTGTCCCCACAAGATGATTTGCTGAGAGGTCAAGAGATAGCAACATAGGTGCATTTCCAATTTCAGGTGGTATTGAGCCAGAGAGATTATTCTTTGACATTTTCAGCATTGACAAGCTACTAAAATCTTCCCATTTCCACCAAAGCTCGCCAAAAAACTTGTTGTCACTTAAATCCATGTACTTCAAGTTCTGATAGACGCCAAAAACTTCAGAAAAATTTCCTGTAATTTGGTTTCTCTCAATACGAAGCCTGATTAAGCTGGTACAGTTTCTAAAGCTTCTTGGGATTGGCCCGTTGAAATTATTTTCACTAATAGCAAAAGCCTTAATCAATCCACCACTGCATATATCTTGCGGTAAATGACCACTAAAATTGTTATTATACGCAATGAAAACTTCCAAATAAGTGAGGTTACTCATTTCCACAGGTAAATCACCAGAAAATTGATTATTTTCAAGAAAGATTAAACTAAGCTGTGTCAACTTCCCGATTTCTCGAGGTATGGAACCCGAAAGTCGGTTATCAGAAAGATAAAGAGAGACTAAATTTGTCAAGTTTCCTATAGAAGTTGGGATTGAACCAGAAAGAGTATTATTTGACAACGCAAGTACTGTAAGAGAATTCATCATCCCAATTTCTTGAGGTATAGAACCAGAAAGTTGATTGCCATTAAAATAAAGTTCCGACAGCTTGGTCAAGTTTCCTATAGAAGTTGGAATTTTACGGGTGAAACTATTTACTGATAAATCAAGCTGAGTAAGGGATTTCATTAGACCAATTTCTTGAGGTATAGAACCCGAAACTAGGGTCTCATGAATATAAAGAATAGGCAAATTTGTCAAGTTTGTAATAGAAGTTGGGATTGTACCAGTGAAAGGATTATTTGATAAATCGATATAAGTAAGAGATCCTAACATGCCAATTTCTTTAGGAATAGAACCAGAAATCTGATTAAGAGAAAAATCAAGAATATTTAGTCTGGAAAGATTGCCAATCTGAGAAGGAACATTCCCATGGAATGAGTTGTTACTGACATTAAGATGAAGAAGATTAGGAAATGAAGAGAAGCTTAGACTTTGAAGCGTACCTTTTAAACCAGTATCTCTAAGGCTTATATTGGTTACACTTCCTGCTTCATCACAGTGAATACCAAACCAAGAACTGCAATAATTGCTTTTAGCAGTCCAAGAAGATAAAAAAGACTGGCTTTGATTATCAAGAGTGGCTTTCCATGTCAGAAGGGCATTTGTTTCACTCTCAATAGCAGAAAAAACAGAAGGAACATGAAAAGAAAGTAGAAAGATGGGTAGGATTAGGAGGAAAAAGTCTGGGGAGGAGGCCATGCGGCTAAGATATGTGTCTTAGGAGTAGAGTTGGATATCAGAATAAATTAAAGAGAAGAAGGTAGTTTACTAATAAATTAAGAATTGGAAGCTTCCTTTTGTCTTGAAATGGATATTTGTAGCCCATGAGATCATGATATATAACGACAAAAGTTATGTCTCCGGTTCTGAAATTTAATTGAGTGATAGTGAAATTTAGCAAATGATAAGACAGAAAAAGGAAAATGGGTATATTGTAGTTCTTTATCAAAAGAAAATGGGTATACTGTAGCCTCCATGTCAGACTTTTCTTTCGTCTTCACTTCCAGAAAGAAATTAAGCCAAGTATAAAAGTCCAATGCAAATTTTGTTGACCATGACTTTGCCATTAAAGAGTGGTTGTAAAATAAATATCTATGGAGAAAAATGGACGTTTTAGTCGTGGAATGGCTCTATCTGAGTTGACTGACTTTATTTATAATGACTTTTGATTGATAGGGAGACTGTAGCCAATAAAATATTACACCGATATTTTTTAAATTTACGACTTTCCACTCTTTATATAAATAAAACGATTAATAAGATCACAACTAATTTAATTTATTTATTTTTATTTATTTTTTTCACTCGATTGACATATTATATCATCTGTGTTTATCTGTTACATTTATATATTTTTTTGCTGCATGTCTTTCCTAGCTCCATTGCATTATCATCGTATGTACAAAAATATGCAATTCACAATGGGTAATTTTTCTTTTTCCTTATTTGATAAAAGATTAATTACATACTATAAAACTTTCTTCTCCTGGATTGTTGGTTGGTTCAGTAAATCAGTTGATGGCTTCTCATAATCAACTTAATCAATTTGGTTTGATTTATAATTTTAGAAAATTTTAATTTTGATTCGGTTCAATTTTTTACAGAAAAAAACTGATAATTAATCGAAAATTGAGGTTTTTTTTTTTAAATTAAAAAATTTTGTTGTTATTGTGGGACTGTTTAAGTTTATTTTTAAGACTGTTATACAACCTATGTTTATGGATTTTCTCAAATTTTGGTTTTTAATGTTTTATATCTGATTTATTTATATTTAAAATTATATTTTGTAGTTTATAAATTATATCTAAAATTAATTTGCCTAAGAAACTGCTAAACTTGTTGGTAGTTTCTTATTTAGATTGTGTTTTGTAGCAGCTTTTTAAGTAGTTTTTAGCGTTTTGATAGCTATTTTTCATAGTGTTCGTGTTTGAATTAGCTTTTAGAGGTTAAATTAACATTTTACAAAAATTTAACTCATTTAATATTTAGCTTTTAGTGTTTTATGAAAAGTTATTTGAACAGCTAATAACTAAACACTATTAAAATAATTAACAACTACCAAAATAGCTAATTTTAGCAAACAAACCCTTAGAGTTAACTTGAGTCATATAACCTTTTTTTCCCAAGATTACAAGTTTAGGGTCTAAATTGAGATTAATTTCCTAAAAAAAATTAATATTCTAAGTTTCTTTTAAAGTGGACTACGTAATAGAGGATAGTCATTTCTTTAGTTTATTAAATTGGTGAAAACTCTTGTGGTCAATGGAGAGAACTTAAACCCGAAACCTCTTATTGCTCATATCAATGAGAAAGAATCAAATCACTCCACGTTGGCAAATTTAAAGAATGTTTGATAACATGATTATATAAAAATTTGCATTCAATACAATACCATATTGGATAACTTTGCAATTTTGAAATTTTAAACATTTGTATCGTTCCAAATAAAAAATTCGGCTCTTAACTTTTCCAACACTCAATTTCAATTCTACCAAAATGCCACTTTAATTAATCACAATTAAGCTATGGTCCAAGAATACACCTTACCTTACTTCAGAAAACACTATCCCTCTCCGTCTTATTGGCACTTGAAAGAAAAGCTTAATACCATCCATCCAAGTTGTTGATATTATCATTATAATAAAAAAGTTATACTAAATGGATAAAAATTTTGATGAATGATGGTATGTGAAGAACTCTTTGCTTCTTTTTTTCTTTAAATGTAATTCATTAATAATAATATCAAGAAATATAAATATTTATATAAACCAAACATAGAGCTTTATTAGTAGTAACTAATAGGGTTTGCTGATCTTTTAATAAAATAAAAGAATTCATATTCTTTTAAATGATGAAACTAAAATTAAAAATATATATATAATATTAGATTTTTTCGCTTGGAATCAATCTTGACAAGATATATATATATATATAAATCTTCAAAACAGCAACTAGTCTGATATTGATTTGAACAAGAAAATAATAACTTCCATGGGTCTTCTATACCTAGGTTACTTTTCCATGAATTTGCAACATATGACAAACACAGATGAGTTTCCTCTGCTATGTATCAATAACATCAATGGAAGAACATACCACACTACTAGACTTCATCAATCGAAGATTCATACTTGCAGATCAAAATCTAAAATCTCCAACCAAATAAAGTCAAATATCATATTTTTATTTAGTAATAAACTCTTATAAAGAATGGATCACCCTCACAAAGAATGAACAAAAAATTTGAAATATGAGATAAATCAACAATAACAAAAACGGAAAAAAAAAAAAAAAAAAAAAACCGGGAAAAAAAAAAAAAAAAAAGAACATATCTGTTACCAGAAAAATGAAAAAAAAAAAAAAAAAAAAGACATATCTGTTACCAGAAAAATAAATCTGAGTTTATTAAAGTGAAGCAAAAGACAAAGTAGAAGGTAGGGGCTAACCGCTTATATTACCGTTAATAAACAGTGCAGCCAAACTGAAACTAATAAGGTTGGAAGACTAGAGAGAAAAGATAGAAAAAAATACACAAGAATCCAATTAGAAACTCTTTGCTTCTAGTTTGGAACCCAAACAATAGTATCACTATTAAGGAAATGGCAAACTGGTGGACCTCCTGGTTTAACATGGAGGACCGGAAAGGCAAAATGGTTTGGGTTCCAAGTGGACGTATTGAAGTGGCAAACAACAAGTGATTTAACTTTTGAGCCATTAGCACCCACCAAAGGGACTATATAAGCCTTTGTGTTCATAATTCTATGGCAATAAAATACAGCATATGCATATCTCTCCTTATGACAGACAATTTCATTGTCACCGATCATTCTGATTCCGTTTAAAATAGTATACTCTTGGTTTTTGTTCTCCACTTTTTCTTCTTCAATATTAGTAAACACTTCGACCTTTTTTCCAAATTTTGCAATGACATAATCTACCAGTGACTCTAAAGATGTAGCACAATACTTGTCTTCTCCTTCAATCCCTGGTGCCTCACAATCTTTGATCGTTTGCTTCATTATTTCAGCTACCTCTGACATGGTTTCGATAGAAAAATGCTTCAAGATTTCAGGTATATCTTTTGCTTGAAAAGGGTATAATTTTAGCAATTTCTTCTGGTAAAAAATTAGACCCATTTGCCGATTTTTGAAAAACAATGTTCATCTTTTTCCCATAAGCAAGATCATTATTTAAGAAGTATATGGTAGTTCTACTGAATGTCTCATTCTTCTCGAACTCTTTCGTTTCGGCCCAATACCCAAGTCTATATCTTGTTCTAGCTCCATGTTGACCACCAAATCGCATTCCTGATTCTGAAAAGGAAGTTTTATATATCCTTCTGCGCCTGTTAATACATTACATATATGACAATTAATAGCAAATAAACAAGAATTAGGTAGTTAAAATACAAATGAAAAAACAAAAAGAAAGAAAACAAGATGTGTTATCTAACTAAGAACCTGCAGATGCACACCGATACACAACCTAGTGGTAAGTGCATATACGATCCTCACAGTAGATTCAGTTGCGAATCACCTCCACAGTACTCAAAAAAAAAAAAAACAAAGAACCTGCAGGTCTTAAAAGTTATTGTAAAGCCTTAGGCATTGGAGAATTTGGTAGCATGGATTCCCAATACATCTCAGCTGGTAAACTAGCACTACTTCCTTTCAGAAAAACCTGCAAAAATATATAAAAGGTTGATGAAATTTGTTCAAGAAATTAAAAATAAGTAAAATGTTAATTAGTAATAAATGCTCACACAGAGTAAAGCAAAGATGGGAAGGAGGTGAAAGTGCTCCATTTCAAGTTAATTAATATATTGAAATTGAAACATCTAATTAAGCTGATATTAAAGTGAATATATACTCAGCACAGACATAAAAGAAAATTATAGATCCAAACCAACAGCTATCAGATAAAATATTTTCCGATATTTCTAGATCACAGATTTAACTGTTAGACTTTTTTTTTCTGCCCCCTTTCATGTGGAAGGAATATTATGAATAGTTTTCAGCCAATTTGTCAAACATTTGCTAGCTATGTTATTATACGATTAAAATATTATTCCCTTTATTGCAAAAATATAAGTTGTTTAAGGTGCTTATACAATGATTAAGAATGTAATTAATTATCCTAAATTATAACAAAATCAATGGTAATTTAACCAGATTACCCTTTATTTCAAAACTAAAGAACTTGTAAAGGTAGTTATTATATCTAATAAATAAACGTATATTATTTATTAATTCTTAAAATACTTAAAACTACTTATATTGTGAGACAAAATAATCTTTCAAAAACGATTTATATTTTGATACGAAGAGAGCATGCGATTTCACCTAGATTTAAATTTAAAGAGTTTCAACACATACACTAAGATATGCCCAGTGGTACGTTATATCGTTACAATAAACTATGTTTGAATCTCTTCTTCCTACCAATACTCAAAAAAAAATTATTTTTAAATCTTAGCTTCGTTCTTGCATCCATCAAAGTAGCATGAATTTGTTTTATTTGCAAACATACGAGTCAAAGTAACATGAATTTTGTTTGTAAATAATAAATTTTATTATAAAATTGTGGGACCCTGTACCTACTTTACAAATGCATGAAAAAATATAACTCATTGATGAATATTTTACCTTTTGATTTGTACTATACAGTAACTCCAACTCATTGGGTTTAATCCTGCTTGTCAAGCTTATAAGACAAACAATTTTAAGCAATGGATCTCTTACTTAAAAAATTTGAGTCTGTTTTATATAGACTAACTCCGGTTAGTAAATTTGTTAATGAATATTAAATCATAATATTATAGTGTTATGTAATTAATTAATTAGATTTTCAAATAAAGTTTTGTAAATTTGTTACTACAAAAACTTTAATTTGGATTAAATACTATACACTTAATAATTAAATTTATATATATATATATATATATATATTAAAATATATATATAGTAATATATATATAGTAATTTTTCAAATAGTTGTTTTCTTTTTTTTTTTCACTTTTACCCCCCTAACTTTCAAAAAATTTTTTATTTCCCCAACTTTTATTTTTGGCGTGGCGGCTATGTTTGCCATTCCTAATTGCAAGAGCATCAAGATTAAATAATTTATATATCTGCAAAATATTTCTTAAACTTATTGAATATATATAGTAATTTTCAAAATAGTTGTTTTTCTTTTTGTTTTTTCACTTTACCCCCCTAACTTTTCAAAAATTTTTTATTCCCCAACTTTTATTTTTGGCGTGGCGGCTATGTTGCCATTCCTAATTGCAAGAGATCAAGATTAAATAATTTATATATCTGCAAAATATTTCTAAACTTATTGACTTTCTTAAGTAGTGTGTGTTTCTTTGTTGTCATTATATATATATATTTTTATATCTCTATTTAAGTTTTGAAGCAACCAGACAAATTCTTCTACTTGTTTAGTTAAAGTCGATCCATGATGAATATTATTGTAATCACCTATGATTCATGTTGAAAAGTCAAAGATACTTTCTTTCCTAATGGTGAATATGAAGAAAGTCAAAGATACTTTCTTTGAGTTAAAAGAAATGAAGTCTCTTGTATTCTTCGATTCATAAAAATCGAAGTCTGTGGTGTATTTTATTGAATGCTTCGTTTTGTTTGGATTGTATGTTTTATAGTCTCAAAACTAGGCACCTAGATAGCCTAAGCTAATTTTGTGTTTTCCTTAACCCAATCTAATATTTTCTATTAATAAAAAAATTACTGGCTAACAGGTTTGTTCAGCGAAATTAGTTATTTTCGTAATTATTAGCTGTTTGGATAGCTTTTCATAAACTCATAAAAGCTAAATGTTATATGTGTTAATCTTTTATAAAACACTACTTAACCTCTAAAAGTTAGTTCAAACACTACGTTAGAATACCAAAAAAAAAAACTTTCTATTTAAACAATTTCACCCAAAAAAAAAAAAAACTATAGCGTGCTATTTAAAAAAACTATTGTCGAAGATGAAAAAAAAAAAAAAGTTAAAAAACAAAAATGTTAAACATGAATTCTTACATATATATAGACATCATTACAAACAAACGAGCAGACCAACAGCCTCTTCAATTGACACCATAATTACCTTCTGGCTGCTAGCTGTGAAGAAACTTGCCTCATAGTTGGCCGAAATTGAGGATTGGCAATCAAGCATTCAAGTGCAAGTTTTACAGTATGTATCAATGCATCAACAGTTCTATTTCGAGGAATTGGAAGGCGTTGATCAATCACATATTCAAATAGAGTATTTTGATCAATTGGCCATGACAATGATGTTGATGATGATGATAATGATAAAGAAGAAATGAAATCGCCCAGATGTCTTCCCATTATTATTTCGAGTGACACTATACCAAAGCTGTAGACATCGCATTTTTCATTGACTGCCATTGTATAAGCAAGTTCTACAAAAGAATGTGAACGATAAGATTCAATTCAAAATGACTTGAACTAAAACATAGATTAGATAACTTTAAATTATATTCTATCAAATAAATGTACCTGGAGCTGTGTATCCGTCTGTGCCTGCAAATGAGGTCCAATTTGACGAGTGGGACATTAAAAGCCTAGCTGTTCCAAAATCAGAGATATGAGCCTCGAAATCTGAATCCAATAGAACATTGTTACTAGAAATGTCTGGATGAATAATTGGAGGAGAGCAATCGTGGTTGATTGATTCTAGGGATTCAATCGTTAGTCAATCCTTTCTTTTTACTGTACAATGATTGAATTTAAAAATCGTCTAATTTAAAAAATGATTATCCTATTATTAAAGTGGTAAGAAATGATTATCCTACTATTAAAGTGGTCAATCTTTTTTTCGTACAATTTATTCTTTTAACATGCTGAACAACTGGGTATTTAGCCATCAACATCGTGGAACCTACAAAACGTAATCCTAAGCATCATTTATTTAAACTTGAAATTTATGTACATTAATCTTTATATAGATACATTGTAATTAAATTTGCCTTGTCATTTAGGTACTTTAGGACAATCTCATAACTCAACAGTCCAAAAAAGGAACTTTTTTCTGGCATTGTTTATCACCTCAAAGTTTCCCCAATTTTTTGGCTTTTACTGGAAATCCCAAAACCCAGCAAAGGCAAAACAAATAGAGAGGAACTTCACCTTTGGTTTCCCTCATTTTCTCAGGAAACAAATAGAAATGTCCTCCTTCAGTTGAGCTCTTCTTTTTTTTTTTTTCTTTCTAAAAAAAAAGGTACCCGTTTCTCGCCCTTCTAGTAATTTTAATCTATCCCCCTTATTCAAAATGGTTTGATACCCAACTATTACTAAACCTGAGAATTCCGAACTCCGAACAATGGAGAAGCCAACAGAAATTATAGCTGAAAGGAGAGAAGCCCTGATGGTATCATCTGATAGAAACCCAAGGCCTACCCTAAGAACAGCCTACTTCCTGAATCCTACTCATGCTTCCATTGAAGTAGCTGTTCCCAAAAACCCTTCGCTCTGCCTGTCCTCTTTGCCTGAGAATATTCCAGTAAATGTGATTTTCAACGGGTGGAAAGACCCAACAGCAAATTGGAAATCGTGGGTTTATCATATGGAAGATAAGTATCGGTCTGTGTGGAAAAAGGCAGGAATTTATGAAGCAGTCATGAGTTCTACTTGCAGGTTTAAAAGAGATGATGGTTTAATCACTGGCCTTGCAGAGAAATGGTGCCCTGAGACCAACACATTTATTTTTCCTTGGGCAGAAGCAACTATAACACTAGAAGATGTGATGATTTTGGGAGGTTACTCTGTTTTAGGTTCCCCTGCCTTTTTAAGTTCTCTTGAAAGCAGAGAACTTGAAGAGATTCACTATAAACTGAAAGAAGCTAGGACTGAGTTAGGGAGACGACCGGCTCGAAAGGCTTGCCAAAATGGATGGATGAAGATGTTTATGAATAGTGGCAGTGAAATAGAACATGAAGCATTTCTTTCATTGTGGTTGGAAAGGTACGTTTTCAAAGATTCTGAGCAACTAATTAAGACTCGTGTTTTTCCTATTGCAATCCATTTAGCAAAAGGGGAGCTTGTCGCGCTTGGTCCTGCTGTTCTTGCTAGTATATATAGAGACTTGGGTTTGTTGAAAGCAACGATTCTTGCTGCTACAGAGTTTGGTGATGCATTAGGAGTTACTCTTTGGTCACCATTTCATTTGGTTCAACTTTGGGCATGGGAGAGATTTGCAGAATTCCAGCCAAAGCCTAATGTCAGTGGAAATGGTAAACCAAGATCAGCTCTATGGGACGAAGTTAATGGTACGAAAGTTGTGAACTTTAGGCTTGCATTGGACTCAGCAGCAGAAGCTTTTTGCTGGAGGCCTTATGCCACAGGACCACACAAATCTCATTTCCTCAAGTTTTGCAAAGAGAAAGAAGAATGGCAAGATCTAGGATCTAATCAAGATTTATTGTCATTTGCTATATGCTTGAGAGTGTCTGAGCTAGTTGGTCTAGATTGTATTGAACAATACCTTCCTCATCGAGTGGCGAGGCAATTTGGATTCGATCAGGATATTCCTTGTGACATTGCTCGATTAAATGAAATACCAGAAGTTTCTTGGATTAATTACATTAGGCCATTTAATGATACCAAATTGTTTTTCCCATCTCAATTTTTTGAGCCTGATGTTACTGTCCAGTATTTGGAGTGGTGGAAGCAATCAGTATTGGGTTCAAATGACCTGCTCAAGGATGCTATCAATACTACTGTGCGAAGAAAAAGAAATCTAAGGAAAAGATCAGAAAGGGTGCCATGGGCTTCGGTAAGAAACAATGAAGATGATAATGCAGATGTTCTCTCTAGTCCTCCTGCTAAATATCACATGCCAAACATAGAGGAGTTTGAGGATAGTAAACCAACAATAGGGAAGCAATCATGTAGCATTGAAAAGACTGTTGCTTATAAACCATCCGTTCAAAAGGGTCTTTCAAATGCAGAAGCTAAACAGGCTGCAATAGGTGAATCTGCAGGAGCTTTGGAAGATGCAATTGACTGTAAACCTGTAGTTCCAAATTGCAGAAAAAGTGGAGGAGAAACTGGTGCTCATACATTTGAGGTACCAGGATTGGCACTTGAGTCTCGCATTGCCAAGCTTGAGAGAGCTATTGCTGAGCTAAAAGCTTCAAGAATTGGCTGCAGGTTTGGGAGAAACTGATCCTAAGAATGCAGTGGATTTTGTTTCTTTTGTTTTTTTACTTCATTAAGTGCATAACATATCTAGCAGTGGTTGCAACAGAATCCTAGAGATTATAGAAACCTTGAAAGGCCAGAAAGAAATTAGAGTGCATTTGCATAGTTTATTTGATTCTTATTAGAAAGAAATTGAGTTTAGTTTAACAGATATATGGGTTTCTTTCTCAAGGAAAATCGACGCAGAGATTATTTCTCAACTAAAAGTTTGATATAAATTTCCATTTCAAGATTAAGATACCTATTGTTAAGAGTATACTTCCAAGCTGGTGATTCTTTGCTGCAGAATCCAACTTGTCAAATAGGAACAATTTTGGTCTAATGATGGTTAAGCCACCATGGCTTGTAAAAATGCGCATATGCTTTGGTAAAAATGTTATTATGCAAAATTATCTTTGTGGTAGTTTGTATCTAATGATAAGTCTAATTTGTTACGTTCCTTCCCAACCTGTTACACATTGGATAGAAAATACTATAATTATATCATCATTAAATGTTCAAGTAATAACTTATATATCTTCAAAGAGGGATAAATGGGTTTTTAATAATTATGTTAACTCAAAACTAGTAATATTAAATGTGCATGTATATATGAAAATTTATTGCCTAAATCCTGTGTATGTATGGTCCCATATACAAGCCAATTTTTTTAAATAAATGTTATTGTTCTGTTCTTTTTTTACCAGTTTATAGTCAGAAATACATTTGTTTGAATAAAAACACCGTTTACCGGAAGTTGGTAAGTATGTATAATTAAGTTCTAAGCTATTTGTTGATTAGCCTACTTCTAAATTAGTTTTCTCCATTGTCCATTTTGGTTTGAGCTTGATTGCCCCTGCTCTTCTACTTTCCGAAAAGATAAGCCAATGGCTTAAATAAAAATTTTGGCCAGGGAAATTTTATATGAGAAACTGTGGATTAGTAACTCTTCATCAAACTGACAGGATACAGTCATTACAACAGATGTAGCAGCAGGACAAGCATGTTATTATGAAGGGAAGTTCTTTGCAAACCAAAACCAATATGTGGGAAGGAAAAATAATCACATGGAAAGGTTGAAAAAGAAGAAAAAGAAGTTTTTTGAGTAATGGTGAAAATTTTTTTATAAGCAAATCTCATTAACACTTGTTTCCATTTCCTATCCCTATCAAATCAATCATCTGGTCTATTTGGTTTGTTTTGATCTCGGTTTCTATCTATATTAGGAGAATCTTCATCTACATTGCCATCTTCCATTTTCATATCTTGATCTTACTCCTTTTCTTTCTTTAGTGCTAAGTATTCAAGTGCTGTTACAACATCACTCATTAATGGCCTATTAACAGCATCTTCTTGAAGGCACATTGCTGCAACTGCAAGTGCTTGATAAAGACCCTTCTCAGGATAATCCCCTTCTAATAATGGGTCTGCCATTAATGTGAATTTTCTTCTGTCTTTAAATAATGGTGTTGCCTGCATAAGGAAAAAAAAAAAAAGGCAATCAAGATAAGAGAGCTTTATGCCATGTCATATCAGATATTACAACATAGTTTATACATACCCAAACAACTAGATTCTGCTCTTCTAATGGTCTTGAATTGTCAATAACTCTTCTTCCTGTGATTATCTCCAAAAATACAACTCCGAAACTGTATACATCAGATTTTGCTGTCAATTGGCCTGTCAATGCATATTCAGGAGCACAATAACCAAAAGTTCCCATAACTCTAGTGGAAACATGAGTCTTATCCCCAGTTGGACCAAGCTTTGCTAGCCCAAAATCTGAAAGCTTTGGTTTGAATCCCTCATCTAATAAAACATTTGATGCTTTAAAATCACGGTATATTACTGGAGGGTTAGCTGTTTCATGCAAGTATTCAAGTCCTTTTGCTGCACCTTCTGCAATTTTCATCCTGGTTTTCCAATCCAAAGGCTTTTTACCTTTTGGTAAATCTGAAAACAAAAATTCCAGCAGAATGTTAGATATAAATGGCATAAACTTCCAAGCCGTGAAACCATTTTTACTATAATAAAGGCCAAAAAGGTTGCATACCAAGAAGGTGATCCTCAAGAGAGCCATTAGGCATATAATCATATACTAAAATTCTTTGGTCACCATCAGCACAGTATCCAACTAGATTCACAAGATTAGGATGGTGAAGAAGACTTAACATCAAAACCTCAACTAGGAATTCTCTATTGCCCTGAAATCCATTTCGGTCAAGTTGCTTGACAGCTACAACCTGAAGCAAATGAAAACAGCACAATAATCTTTACCGAATTTTCAATTTTTTCCTTCCTTCATAGTAAAGAAATGAAATTTTGAAACTGGAAAGGAATGAATAAGCAGTGTACTGCAGTAATATACTTTGTTAGTTTTTTCAAGCTGCCCTTTGTACACCCTTCCAAAACCACCTTCTCCTAGCAGATTAGCAGGGTTGAAGTTTTTAGTTGCTACATTTAATTCACCGTATGTGAAAATATCAGCAGATATATTGCCTTTTCCAATTTTCTTTATTTCTTCTGTTATGTACCTTCTTCTGCTGCTATCTGCCGAATATAAATTACAATTACTTTAGATTTAACTCCTTGAGGTTGCACTAAAAGTAAGAACTGCATCATTTTATTTCAGGCACATGTGCATTAAAAACAATATCCATAATGAAACAAAAATGGACCGTTGAATCACCATTTTGAATGGAAGAAATCGGCAAAGAAGGGCAAGGTTTTTGCTCTATATAGAATCAATCATATCTATAGAGAGAGATGACCAACAAGACATTCTGGTTATGCTTTATAAAGGACATCCTAGTGCAGGAAACTCTCTGATTGATAAGCCCATAGACGAAATGTTTATTATGTTGCTTATGATTTACGAGAAAGGTGATGTTCAAAACTACAAGAAACAATGGTAAGGGAAAAATGTGTTCTTGAAAATTTTCATAAAATTTAAGAAAATAAAATTGGAGCTTACAAAATTTACCGCTTTTGAAGGATATGCTAGCAAATGCGGCTAAAGTTTTTGTATCTTGATATTCTTTGATGCTTTTCTTCAATGCTCTTCTGCTGACATTCTGTTCTGACATGCAACATTGAAAGCACTTCATCTTGCCACCTCCACAAAATCAACAACCATAAAAAATCTTGAATCTAACAAATATCACAGAGATAAATTAATGAATAGGCTTGTTTGAGACTTGGGAAAAATCAGTCTCAAAACAAGCAAAGGCATTCAATTCAAGATTTGGGTTGATAATGGAGAGGTGATCTGATTAATTAGCCAACTGAAAACCTTAACCCTGGAAGAGATTTTTGTTTTTCAGGAGATACAAGAAAACTCTTCCCTTCATCTCTTGTGCTTCATCTCTGTCAAAACCCAATGAGCTTGGAAAAGGAAAATAAGACTTAGTCAAATTTCCTAACAATAGTAATGAGACAGGTAGCTAATTCTATCTACTTTTTACCTATCCTAAATTCTTGCCATTTATAAAATTCATATGAGGCAAACTGGGCTGTGGTTTTCTTTTCTTTGATTTCCTATGCTATGCATAAGAGGTTGGAATGGAATATAACGACTTGTCGTTAGATACAAACTACCACAGGATAATCATACGTTAGACCAAAGTTGTTAATATTTGACAAGTTTCTTTTGAAGTTGGATTCTGCAGCAAAAGATTAACCACCTTGGAATAATATTATTGGGAATATGTCCACTATTGGTGGAGTTTGAGATTTGACTCCTTGTTTCATCTCCAGGAGCGGAATCAAAAAAAAAAAAAAAAAAAAAAAATCATACGTTAGACCAAAGTTGTTCAATATTTGACAAGTTTCTTTTTGAAGTTGGATTCTGCAAAAGCCAAAAGCATTAACCACCTTGGAATAATATATTGGGCAATATGTCCCACTATTGGTGGAGTTTGAGATTTACTCCTTGTTTCATCTCCAGGGGAGCGGAAATCCAAAAAAAAAAAAAAAAAAAAAATAAAAAAAAAAAAAAAAAAAAATTTAGGGGAGTGAAAAAAATTCTTCAAAATTTACAGGGGGTAAAATTGAAAAAAAATACACTATTTTATATGTAAAATATAAATTTTTTATAGTTTATAAGGTAAATTTAAAAAACAATTCTACTTCGCCACTGTAAGTATTGGATGGTAACATCAGATACAAGAAATTTAGATGGAACAAAATGTTTATGAGTGTTTGCCACCTTGGGGGTGAGGCCCACTTTCAACCTTTACAACTCAACAAAATTAGATAAGGTATCACTTGCAGTCTGCAGGGCAGAGCAGGATATTATCCATACACCATCAAAATTGAATGGCATATTCGTAAATTACACATTTCTCATGCCTTACTTTTCTGTAATAAAATAATAAAATTTGTGACGGACAAATATTTGCCAGCCATAAAATTGTCCACTAATACTGGGGTTTTTATACTCATTAGTCATCGGTAAGGGTTTTAGCTTCCGCTTCGCTTTCTCTTTCGCTTCTCTCTCTCTTCGCTCATGGCCACAAGCCTCTGCTCTACCGCTGCTTCTACTTCTCTCACATACCCACTTGCCTCACCTTTCAAACTCAAATAATACCACCTCAAATTCCAATCTTATTTACTGGGTTGCCACCAAAAACCCAACAAAACGGCTCTTCTTCTTTGTAGAGGCACTACTTGCAGCTGCGTTAAGCTGGGGAGAATTACACAGGTGGTAGCTATGGGGCTCTCCACCACCCAAATTAGTCCACTGAGACCAACTTGCCCCTCTTATTTCAAAATTTCGCGGTCTTATTCTCGTTTTGCCTCTCTCGGTTCTATCTCTCGGCCCTTCTCTAATGCACTTCACAGGTTCACTTCTACTTTTTAATATTGTTATGTCTTTTTAGCGGATTTATTAGCTTTTTCTGTCTAGGTATTGTATTTTTTTTTTCTTTTGTGTTTCATTATTAATTTTCAAGTATATATTCATAGCGATTGAGTAGCTTTTGAGACCTACATTTATGTGTTTGTGTGTGTGTGTGTGTGTGTGTGTGTGTGTGTGTGTGTGTGCCTTTTTTGCCCCTGTAGTGTTGCTATATGGGTTTAGATTATTTGTTTCAAAAAGCTCTTGCTGATAGTTTTTGGTTGAGATTTATGTACTTAGTTTCTTATTCACAAGCATGTATAATCAACTGGCCTTTTTTTTTTTTTTTTTTTTTTTTGGCCTTTTTTTTTTTTTTTTTTTTTTTTTTTTTTTGCGGTTTTGATAGTTTATCGTGTCTTGTTGTTAAACAGAATATTGAGATAATTATATTTGCTAGGTTTTGGGTAGAAATGCCTTCGGGGGCAATAGATGGCCTGGAAAGAATAGGCCAGAAGAAGATATTAGCTTCCAAAAGTTACACTACAACCTTCAGTCAGGGGGTTGCCACAAGACTCGATCACAGCACTAAAAGCTCGTGGAGTCAAAATACTAAAAGCTTGCAAGAAAGTAAAAAGTTACAAAAGAGTGGAAGCCCACAGCAATATAAAATGGAATATACTGAAGTTAATAATGAATGCATAGAAGTCGGTACTTCTTATTCAGTTGTGCCTGAATCCATGGTTGCTGGTAAAAAATGCATGCTGACATATGATAAATCCAGTAGTCAGAAACAAGTATTTTCAAGAAATGGTAGAGACCATTTTGTTGACAGTAAAGATCCTGTTTCATCAGTTCTATTCAGTAGTGACGTCGAGAGTAGTGGTAGTGAAAATATAGCGCTGGATTATGTGAACGGTGAAGAAATTGATAATAAAAGGCCAAACAGTTCATATCTAAAAAGCATCCAAAGAGAGAGTGAACGAACCGAATTGAAGACTGGTGTTAGTGGAAATATGGCCTTGGATAATATGAATGATAAAGCAATATATAATAAAAGGCCAAATAGTGTATTTTTGAAAACCATCCCAAGAGAAAGTGCACAAACTGAATTGAAGACTGATGGTAGTGGATATATGGCACTGGATAATGTGACTGGTCATGCAATTTATGATAAAAGGCCAAACAATTTATCTTCAAAAAATATCACGAGAGAGAGTGCAGAGATTAATGGATTGATGATGTTGAAAAGCAATATGCCTCTAGATAGTATGAATTGTGAGGCAATTGATAAAAGAAGGCCTAATGGTTTCTTTTTGACCAAAATTTCTAATATTCGTGCGCGTACTGATGAATCATTGTCTGTGAGGATATTGGAGCACCGGCAAGAAGAAGCTTCCAATGAAATTGAGCATGCAAGTGCTGGTCAAATTGAAAGTAAAAGTAACCAGATCAAGGGAAACCTTGCTGCAGTTAGTGATGTTGACAATTCTTTCAGCGCCAAAGAGGGATCTCGCTATCCAGATATTAAAAAGAAGCTTCTTAGTATCTATAGCAAAGTTCTCGTAGTGAATAATGTCTCTATGGCGGAAGAGGTTGTAAGAAAGCTTACACATGAATACAGGCATCTTATCCATGCATGTGATACTGAGGTATGTGGTTAACTTAAATTACATAGTTTCATTTTTCCCTTCACATATGGTTGGTTGCACCTGCACTATAGAGACATTGTAATGCAAGACCTATAGGAAATTAATAAATTTATTAAACTGATGTGTCAAGCTTGTAAAAGATTGTATGAAAGGAGGTATTCAAGGATTTAATAGCAGCAAACTGGGACCAAAGATAATGCATAAAAACAGTGGTAATGTTCACAAGATTTTGATCATTATTTTCTGCATGCCTTAAAAAGAAAAAGTAAAGCCCAGATTTAATTCGCCGATGTCTTTGAAGAAATCTTTCTGTATGCCAACACAATTGGATAAATGCCTAAAAAGGATTGTAATAGAACAAAATTTCCAAATTCAAGGACCTGATTGCATGAAGGAACAAATTGCAAATTTTAGGAGATTGAACTTAAATGCAGGCATTTTTCTATAAATTTGCATATATCTTTACATCACTGGAATTTTAAATATATGAGCGTTCAGTTCTAGAAGTTAAAACTAGGTAAAGTGTCATGATCCAAGCCTAAGTGGACTGCCAACCTCAAAACTTGGATGGCTTTGACTTGACACCATGGCCTGAAACTGACCGCTTCTATTAATAGTAGTTCATTCATGCCTTTTGACACTAACTATCTCCTAAGTGTCTCTCCCATTTGGAACTGGAAAGGACCATGCATGATATGAGCTTGTTAAAAAATGAATTAGTATCGCTATGCCAATAAAAAAAAAAAAAATGGAACCAGGCAAAGAGAAAAGAAAAACAATCCTGTATAACCAATCAATACTAGTCTAAAAAAGTTGTGATTTAGTTGAACTCAAAAAGTAACTGCCTAGTTCTTGAAATAACATATTTACAGGTGGCCAAGATTGAGGTTAAGCAAGAAACGCCTGTTGACCATGGAGAGGTAATATGCTTCAGTATTTATTCAGGACCAGAGGCAGATTTTGGAAACGGGAAATCCTGTATCTGGGTAGATATTCTGGATGGTGGCTGTGATCTTTTGAATAAATTTGCTCCATTTTTCAAGGACCCGTCCATCAAAAAGGTTAATTCTCTGATTTATTTCTATTGTTTTTCATTTCTTTTGGCACAATCCTCTTCATTCAGTCACTTTAGCATAGCTTGATGATCATATATGTACGCAATGTAAATCTAAAATTGCTAATGTGTATAGTATTACTGCAATCAGTGATGGAGCTAGGATTCAACATTAGGGCTGAAATTTTTTTTTTTTTCGAAACTAAGAGGAGAATCGCGGTAAAAGTCGAAAGGAAAAATTTTTTCTACACATTTTATTCAGTAAGTTAGGAAAAATTTTTAGAGATTAGGAAAATTTTTTTGGGCTAGGGTGCATGGTGGCTACCCCTGGGCCCCCCTTTCCCTGCTATTGACCACAATTATTTTCATATTCATACAAGTTCAGTGCATCATACAAAGTATTGACTTGTAAAACCAGTTACTTTATAATGGGTTTGATAATTTTGGCTTCATGTCAACTAACTATTTGGATTAACCTTTTTGTACATGCTAGATATTTACCGTATAGATTTTACTAATCGGATGCATTGACCTTTCTTAAATTTCATTTTTGTTGTACAATTACCATTATGGTTTTATCCAACTAAAAGTTAACTTAAACGTATACTCTTACCTGCATTGCCCTCTTGCCTCCCATGGGACCAAAGACTGATTATTCCAATTGGCACAATGTATTTTTTACTCAAGAAACTATCGGATTCTGGCCTTCCAAATCCTTCCCTGGATAGTTAACTAAACCTAATATCATGCCATCTACACTTCAATTGAACTTAAATTTTTTGTTAACCAGCTTTGACTTTTCAGTTTGTACTGCTTTACTTTTATCTTCAATTAGCTTTTGCATTTTTGGTGCAAAAAGAATGAGGAATGCTGACAAAATAGCTTGTTCATTCTGTAGGTTTGGCACAACTACAGTTTTGATAACCATGTCATTGAAAACTATGACATTCCTGTTTCTGGTTTTCATGCTGACACGATGCACATGGCACGCTTATGGAATTCATCAAGACGGACAGATGGTGGCTATTCTCTTGAAGCTCTTACCGGTGACAAAAGAGTCATGAATGGGGTTCAATCACACTATGAAGAGTTGATTGGTAAAGTGTCAATGAAAACTATTTTTGGCAAGAACAAGGTGAAAAAAGATGGATCTGAAGGCAAAATGATCACCATTGCTCCTGTTGAAGAGCTACAAAGAGAAGAACGAGAATCATGGATATGTTATTCTGCTTTAGATGCAATAAGCACCTGGCAGCTTTATGAAAGTTTGAAGAACAAATTATGTAGAATGCCATGGAAACTTGATGGAAAACCATCTGGAAACATGTTTGACTTCTATAAGAAATACTGGCAACCATTTGGTGAAATTCTGGTTAGAATGGAAAGGGAGGGGATACTCATTAATCGAGCATATCTTGCTGAGATAGAGAAGGTTGCCAAAGCAGAACAGGAGGTTGCTGCTAATAGATTTCGCAATTGGGCAAGCAAGTACTGCCCTGATGCCAAGTATATGAATGTTGGAAGTGATACACAACTCCGCCAGTTGTTTTTTGGTGGGATTGAGAACAGGTACAACCTTTATAATTATAATTGTATTGACACATTTTTATTGCTCATCTATCAGTTAATAATGCCAAAATCTCCATGTTAAAGATCATAATCTTTTTAAGAACTATAAAATCAACAAATAAAAATTTTAAGGTCTTTTCAGGGAAGGCAGTTTTTATCTCCTCTGAAGTAAGTTGTCCCTGCAATTTGCACAATGAAATGTGTACAGGTCACTCAGCCCACTTTCTTCACATGGAAATAATTCATCCTATTGAAATAATTACAGTATGCATAAGTTGTTAGTTGATGACCTCATAATCAAATGAGGTGAAGGAAAAAGCACCATTTATTTTTCTTGGTCTCTGTTGCAGAAAGAATCCTGATGATAGCCTTGAATATTCAAAAACATTTAAAATTCTCAATGTTGATAAAGTGATTGAAGAAGGGAAGAAGGCTGCTACAAAATATCGCAGTATCACATTGCATAGAATTGGTAATTTTCATGCTGAGATGTTCACAGCAACTGGTCGGCCCTCAGTCAGTGGAGATGCTTTGAAGGCCTTAGCTGGAAAGGTCACTGCAGAATATGATTTTATTGATGATGCTGTTGTGGATGAATGCGAGTTAGAGGCAGGTGAAGATTCGGAAATAAAAGTGTCATGTGACCTCAAGGATGTAGATACTTCTGCTTATGGCTCGGCTCTGAAAGCATATACATCACTAGAAGAAGGGATTGAAGCTTGTCATGCTATTGCTTCCTTGTGTGAAGTTTGTGCTATTGACTCTTTGATATCCAACTTCATCCTTCCCTTACAGGTGACTTTTGCTGCCATTTTTTTTTTTTTTTTTTTTTCCTTCCCTTACAGGTTGACTTTTTGCTGCCATTTTTTTTTTTTTTTTTTTTGGTTAGGCATGCCTGTTTCACTGTAGGCATCATGATTGGCAATCATTCTTAATCTTTATATCACATTCCTTCTTTTTTTTATAACCCATAATTATCATGATTAATACAATTCCATCAAAATTGCCTCAACTGCGTTGACGTATATGAAGGCATACTAAGGAAATTCAAGAAAATTCAAATTGAAAAGCTCAAGATAATTTTAAGAACTTTCCTGGTCTAGGAATTTTACATGTATGGATTTATTTCGTAGATTCGTCACATTTCCTTAGATTTATATTTTAATTGTGTCTATTTTAATAAATAAGATGTCTAGTCAGAAGTTTAAGTCGTAAGGAAGCCAATTATTTTTTTTTTTTTTTTTTTTTGGGTTAGGCATGCTGTTGTACACTGTATGGCATATGATTGGCAATCATTATAATCTTTTATATCACATTATCCTTTTTTTTATACCCATAATTATCATGATTAATACAATTCCATCAAAATTGCCTCAACTGCGTTGACTATATGAGGCATACTAGGAAATCAAGAAAATTCAAATTGAAAAGCTCAAGAATTTTAGAATTCTGGTCTAGATTTTATGTAGGATTTATTTCGTAGATTACAGTACATTTCCCTTAGATTTATATTTATTTGTCTATTTTAATAAATAAGATGCTAGTCAAGAAGTTTAAGTCTAAGGAGCAATTCTATAATTTCATCTTTGCTGGAATGGTGTCTCTTTTTATTTAGAAATATTTATATTTATTCTATCATTTTAGAGTCCTTATTAATTTACGATAATGGTATTCCTTTTTCTTTTCTTCTTTCGTTCCTTTTTTTTTTTTTTTTTACTTTTGAGAAAAAATGGTATTCCTTTTTAGTTGATTGTTGAGTCCAAATCCTGAAGGATGAGGGCTAGTTCCGAATTAAGTAAAGCTGGTATAGGAGTAGTTAGATTACATAAATTCCATGCTTGTACGCATTTTGACTAATTTTTCAGTCAATAAAATTACAGCAGATTATGTTTTTATTTCTGAGTTGTGCGATGCAATTCTTATAGCAATTATTTGTGGACGTATGGTTTGAGTTAACTTACAGATTGATTGGAGTTTTAATAGAATGAAATGGAAGGTTATGGAAAGGAATGTAAATGGGTTTTAATTAAATTTACTTTGTTTGGGAATTTTAAAAGGAGTAAGAGTTTAATCAATACAAAGCTATTTAGAGCTTTACGTTCCCCTCTCTTAACACTGATTTGAGGGTTAAGAAAATTGGCATTTGCATGTAAATATTTAACTTCAATTAATTTTCATTTACATTATACTGTTTAACCTCTTAAATAAACTCCCATTCAATACCTTATGGGAGCAATACGATATATGTCCATATAAAAGTTTATTTGGATTCTAAACCTTAGAATTGGACATATATACTGTTCAGCACATCGGCACATGTGCAGCTGTCAAGCTAAATTGCATCTTGAAATTTTACGAAAGCACTTCTAAGTACAATTAGGAGTTAGATTGTGAAGCATAGTATGTATTCTTTTTAATTTTATGTACTAGTTTTCGAATATTCAAAAAAGTTTCAATAAGATGGTATACTTCACATCCTGGCCTCCAAACTTGCACTCCATTCATCCTTTAAGTTATATAGCGCTAAACTTGTGAACTGCTTCATGCTGATGTTAATGCCTTAATACCGCAGGGGAATAATGTATCAGGCAAGGATAAACGTGTTCATTGTTCCCTGAATATCAATACGGAAACTGGACGCTTATCCGCTAGAAGGCCGAATTTGCAGGTTTTCCTTTTTTCTTTTTTTTTTTCTTTTTTTTTCCCCCTGCATCAAACATTTCCCTTTGCTGTTCCATAGCTAGTCTTCTTTAATATTTATGTAGTCATGACTTAACAGATGAAAATCTCTATTCAGCTGCATCACTGAGTGTGAGCATGGTTCAAATGGCAATGAACTATTCTAGTTTTATGACTAATTACAGCTCCATTAAAGTCTATTAATATTGAATTGAGATTGCCATTGGTTACATTCTTGCTGAAAACACTAAAATAGTCTCATGAGAATTAGATTTCTGTGGCTAATGTATTTTTATTTCCTCTTTGGACTTATCTATTTCACCATCTGTTATATGAATGTCAGCCTGGGGTTAGTTCAAGGATGATTCGATCCTCTATAGTGGTTATGATATTCTTAGACAAGAGAGACTTGAATGTTGTTTACTTCAGAATATCATTGGAGAACTAGTGTATAACTTCTTGTTTCCTACAATTCAGAATCAGCCTGCTTTGGAGAAGGACAGGTATAAGATACGTCAGGCATTTATTGCTGCACCTGGAAATTCCCTTATTGTTGCTGATTATGGGCAGGTTAGTGGTTTGAGTTATGCACCAAACTCCTTTGTATTTTAAAGTTAATTGAAATAGTTATTTATCCTTCCACAGCTGGAACTCAGGATTCTTGCACATCTTGCTGACTGCAAGAGCATGTTGGAAGCCTTCAAAGCTGGTGGAGATTTTCATTCAAGAACAGCAATGAACATGTATCCACATATTCGTGAAGCTGTTGATAAAAGGGAAGTGCTTCTTGAGTGGTATCCTCAACCTGGTGAGGATGAACCCCCAGCTCCTCTATTGAAGGTGAATTTTCTTGCAATCTGATTATGTAGTTGTTTTCATGTTTTTCATTTGCTTACTTTCTAGTTTTAAGAGATTGGATATAGCTTATTTTTTTCCGTATATTTTCCACCTCCATTCAAGGAGTGTGGGATTGCGATAATGGTTATGTTGGCAGGACAAAAGGAAATTTGGCCATTTTGCTGCATAAGATTTTTTCCCCACACAATAAATATATGAAGTGTTCTAATAATGGCTTAGTTTGGAAAATGAAAATATAATCTTTAACACTCACAAATTGCATTATGCTGCATCAGATGCATATACTGAATTTAATTTTACTGGGCAAGTTGGTCCATGGTCATTTGAGAGAAAGAGGATAAAAGAAAGAGAGAAAGGGGGGAGGGGGGGAGGAGGAGAGATTTGTATCACATGGTTTTGGTTCCCTATTTAATTATTTCAATTTTCAACCCCCCTCGCATTGACACAGAACATGTAGTTATTGTCAATAATTCCCTTAAGCTTCAGCAGTTAAATACTTTTGGATTTGAAACTCAATTTGCAGCAAAGCTTCCTGGACCAACCAGTTGAAACTCAATTTGTAGCAAAGCTTCCTGGACCAACCAGTTGACACTGCAGTAGTTGTGATTTAGCTCTGATTCCTAAAGGAAACTCCTTGGCCTTTGTATTCGAGTGATTGAAAACCTCCTTCTTTCCCCTTAACCTTCTGATATCATAAGTGGAATAAAATGTGGATGCTATCAGAATTAGCAAAGCTTCCTGGACCAACCAGTTGACACTCAAATAGAATCAGCAGCTACAATAAGTGGAATAAAAATTCTGATATCATCCTCATTCTGCAAATTAGATTGATATAAAAAAAGATGATTGATTGTTAATCCATTATCTTTTTCACGGTTTATTAATGTCTCTTAAGCTAAGACGTAATCTGAAACAGGGGAACTTGAAGAAATGATCCCCTTTTGAAATGGAAGAATTAACACGTTTATTAATTTTCCATGTTAGCAAGTTATTTTGGAAAATATTTAGAAGTCTGCTTCTTCATTTCAATAGTTGGAAAGTGACTTGAATATTACCTCATGGATAGAGGTTCCATGGGACTATGCTTTTCTATTTGGGATAATTCCATATTTATATTTTCAACCATGTTATTATGCGCTTTATTATGTCAAATAATGTTCTTCAATTATCTTATGATCAAGAGATGTTCAGATTTTTTATTCAAACTGCCTAAGCTTACTGAATGAAATTTTATGCTTCAGGATGCATTCGGTTCTGAAAGAAGAAAGGCTAAAATGCTCAATTTTTCTATTGCATATGGAAAAACGCCAGTGGGGCTTTCCCGGGATTGGAAGGTAATAATGAAGTGGCACTAAATAGTGAGAGATACCTATTGGTTTCACTTGAATCAGGATAAACCTAGCTGTGTTCTACCATATTTGCTCTCAGGTTTCTGTAGAGGAAGCTAAGGCAACTGTTGATCTCTGGTATAAGGAAAGACAGGAAGTACTTAAATGGCAAGAAGATCGCAAGCAAGAAGCTAGAAAACATGGACGTGTTCACACATTGCTTGGGCGGGCTCGCGTTTTCCCATCAATGGCTCATGCAAGTCATGCACAAAAAGGTCATATTGAGCGGGCTGCTATAAATACACCAGTGCAGGTTCTTTCATTCACTCTCATGCACTTAAGTTTCCTGTGCTCTCTCTCTCTATCTCCCTCCTCCCACTCCTACACCCTAAGAATCAAATACTGATTTTGTTGGCTGCTACAGGGCAGTGCCGCAGATGTAGCCATGTGTGCCATGTTACAAATATCAAACAATGAACGTCTGAAGGAGCTCAAATGGAAACTACTTCTACAGGTTAGGTTCATGTTCTTTTTCTATTATAGTTCTATTTTCTACTTTGAATATTATGTTTTTCAATCCAAAAATGAATTGAAATTTTAGCTTGTTGGCTAGTAATCCTTTCCAATAAAATTTCTGGAAATTAACTTTATTGGAAAAACAGATTCATGATGAAGTAATCTTGGAAGGACCTACTGAATCAGCGGAGGAGGCTAAGGCCATAGTTGTGGAGTGCATGTCCAAACCCTTTGACGGAGTGAATAATCTTAAAGTCGACTTATCTGTTGATGCTAAATGTGCTCAGAATTGGTACTCTGCCAAGTAAAATTGTGGTTCCTTTGCCACAATTAGAGCTCAATTTTTGTTCAAATCTCATTATGAGGTCTCTTATAACCTTGAGAACGTAGATCTGTTTTCCATTGCTACCTCCACTTCCGTGTGAAGGTTACATAGCCCAGGATTTTGGCTGCAGAAATTGGTTTCCGTGATATTACAGCAAAGCGCAATTGTCATTATAGACCAGCAGTCTCAGTTGAGGGTAGATGAGCATCCTTTGAGAATGCATTTTCTGCGGCTTTGGTGGCCTTTCGCAACTTTAGGGAAGCTAACAATTGAAGACTATATCTTTAATTGTGATGAGTTTACATTATCAATTTTTCTGTAAATTCATGAAATTTTTGACTGCAAATGTATATATACCCACCTCTCTGTAAATCACACTCTTATGAGGAAAGCATGGCATTTCTATTTTGGGTTAAGAGCTTATGCCCACAATCATATACTCAAAGTTTATGTTGAAAAGTTAACTAAAGAGCTTGTGCTATCTGCAAGGGTAAATCTGATTCTAGGTGATTGAAAGGAAGTTCCAACTTCACCAAATCCACATTTGTTACAAAACCTGTCTGCTCATTTACATTTAATTGTAAAATTGAGGTGTATTTTTCCTAATCATCCAACCAAATGGTTTGTACAAAACTCATAACAAGCAAACACGCAATTAATTACTTGTCAAAATGTTGCAGTTCAATACCCCAAGCTGATGCCAACTGTATCAAGAGTTGGTCAGGAGGTGCCCCTTCCCAGTCTTCAGGAGGATCCATTGCCATAGATGCTTCATGCAAGCTCAACAGAAGCTCCTTCTTTGATTCCATCGGAATGCCCAGGGCATCAGGTCCGTTTTCCAACACTATTTCTACCAACTGAAATCACAAGCAATCACATGAAAATATATTACTACTCTCGTCAATGAAATGAAATATAAACGGCTGCTTAAACATAATCCAATGGCATAAGCTCTATTGCCAGATCCTAGATGTATTCATGATGTCATAGTCTGAATGACAGATGTGCAAGACAAGAAAAACTTCATTGGTAATTTAATTCCATACCTGTTGAATCCAAGACAAACAGATGTCAAACAAGTTCTGCTCAAGTAGAAATTGCTCAATAGCATGAAAGACCTCACATGCTGTCTCATTTGAAAGTTGGTCAACCACAGGACCTGATCTGTCCATTAGCTTCACAAGCAGGAAATCATCCCCTGTGGACACAACTTCAGCATAAGCAGTATCCATATCACCCACTTTAAGGGCATCCATTGCATTACTCCAGGATGTCCAAATAGGATCCCTCTCTTGGCCACCATTGTCATCACCCATAGCTTCTGCTGTCAACTCAGGAATGGCCACTCTAGCTGTTCGCGATAATCCATTATCCTCCCCAGCAACCCGAATGGCTTCCAAGGTAGCTTCATCCTTAGAGGCTTGCCAGACACTTCTAGCAGAAGGCCCTTCACCAAGCCTAACAGGTCCAGCACCTTTATCCCAGGCTCTCCTGTTTCCAACCTGATCACTTTCAGATTCTGATTTAGGTGATCTAACATCCAGAGAACTACCACCTGGAGCTCTCCTAGAGCTGACCTGCCCATTTCTGGAAGCACCATAACTTGGAAAATCCCAACCATCAGACATATCGGATCTCCAATGAGAGCCTCTTCCTCTCATTCCTGATCCAGTAACATCAGATTGAGCAAATCTTTCTCCATAAGGAACACGTGCGTTATACTTAGCACTGGAATAGTCAGCAAAACCATTATACTTCCCTAAAGATCTATTGGAAGATCCATCAAAACCCATAGTAAAATTACCAACCCTTCGACTTGATGATATTGACAAATCACGTGCCATATCTTCAACGATTCTCTCAAGACCCCTAACTCTGTTTTCCAAAGTTACCATGCTATCATGTGACCCACCCATGAAATCCTACAACGTGCAGCACTTGTAAGTAAAACAAAAGGATGCATGAGATCGCAATCTCCTCAGTGCGAAAGTTTATACGTACCTGCAGCATATTCATGAGATGAGTTTGTTGCCTCTCCAACTGCAATAGCTGCCTCTGGATAGCCAACCAATTTCCTTTACTATTTATCAAGGATCCTTCAGACTGACCATCAGATTTGGAGAAACCTGCACGACTGCCTGATGATTCCCTCCGATTTACATCAAGCCTGTCATCATCAAATATTCTAGTTCTTGAATCTTTCCCAACAATTCCTCTCTCAATGTTACGATTTTTAGTATCCAAAGATCCATGTAGGTCATCTGATTGGCTGTTTCCAGTGCGGTTTGACCTTCCCCTTGATTCAGAATCATTTGGTTGTGGATCTTCCTCATTGTTCAAATTTGAGGAATTGGCAAATCTACGAGGAACAACAACTTCAACAGGCAGATCACCAGACCCCCTCGTTTCAAGTTTCTGGAAGAATTCAAGATTTAAGTCTTTGTCCGTCAAGGCAGGTGCTTTTTTCTTCAATATTACAACTGCTTTATCAGGAATGCTTCCAGGTTTGCTTTTAGTAGCAGAATCCACAGTTGGGGGAGAACCCCTGGATGAATCCCTTGCTGATGATTCTGTTTTCTGACCACTAGGTTTTGGAATTGTGTCTGACGACTCTGGTTGTTCAGGATTGTTACCATCTGAACATTGATTATAAAGAAAATGGGCAAAAAATAAGGATTAGACATTTCAAGATTCCGTTTAGAAATTAAAGTATCACTGAAAAGCTCACCACAAGAGGAAGCCTTTTGGTCATCCACAATGCCATCTCCTTTTCCTGCAATCTTCTTCCATAATTGCAACGCTTCTGTCATGCTATCTCTGACAGGCTTTATCTTTTAAACAATAATAACAATTATTGCATGATGCTAGTCAAAAAGGGAGTAAAAGGTAACATACAGCTGTCTAATCTAATATTTTAAAGCAATATATTTCAACCTACATATTAGCTTATCATCCTTCAACAGCAGGATAATTTAATGTGGTAAGATATGAGAACCACAAGAACAATGCGTATGTTCCACAGATGGTTTATAATCAAGTTAACCAGGTTAAAGTTCATTCTTTTCTCAAATAGATTCATGATGTAATTCCAAAAGTTCATGGCATATCCATTGGATTTGCTGATTGTGAAATCAGCGTGGCATCTAAAGCTAAGGCTCTGAAGACAACTATGGATTACTAATAAAAAATACAAATAGTCCTGATTCCTGTAATTCTCATTCTTTCATCTTCTTTTGTTATCAGCAAAGATAAGTTCCATTCTGTTAGTGTAGACATTTGGGAATAGGCGAACAAGCTCTTGCATGCAAGGGATATGTAAAACAGTCAAGCCCTCCACTTAGATTTTACTTTATTGAGAAAGATGAAACAGTACAGTTAATGTTATTTTTATATAAGAGTTTTTGCTTTCAAAATATGAATTGGATTTTTTTTTTTTTTTTTCGATGACGAGAGAGAGGATAAAACGGAAGGGTCTGACCACATGAGGATTGGGCAAACATATAATATCTTTTGATGTTTTAAAAGTATAACTAATAATAACCGGTGGCATTAGAAAACAGAGTTGGGAGGTCTTTGAGAAGTGTAAGTATCCCAATTGTAAAGAAAAAATAACCATCGGAACTTAAGGGCAAACACCTGTGAAATCTTCTTAAGCAGAAGATTAATTACCCATCAACAGCCCAACATTAATCTACTGCTGATACTTTGCTACTCTGTCAACCCATTTGTCTCCTAAAAAATGATGTATTTCCAAATCACTGTTGGATAGAAATTGCAGTCCTCGATAAATCACATAGCATAAACATTTCCTTCATTTTAAAAAAAAAAATAAATAAATAAAAAAATCTTAGAGAAACATTACTCATTCATTGCAATCATTTAAAATTGCTCCAAAGAATTCTCCCTTCTTCAGCCTTCCATATATTACAATAAAACATAACCTTCCATATATTACAATAAAATGTAAAGTAAAATTATTTTCAAATCAGACTGTCAGACTATAAAAGATGAAAAGATTTCCTCAAACCTAAGAAGTACAAAACCTAGAAGTAACTTATCTGTTTCATCTTTTAATAGTTTTTGCATTGCTTTCTAATGGGAACAGCTTGTACTTAAGCATTAAGAAGACTGCTTCCTTCTAGTGGTTAAGAACTATGACAAGAAATATAAAAACTTAAGCATTGGAACATCCAACATTGCTTGAACAATACTCCTGTAAAAACTATTAGAAACTTACCAATAAGGCTAATGCTAAAATGCACTAACATGAAAAAGGTTTTAAAATGCATTAACCTGGATTACTGGCCGATGATGTTGAAAAACCAAATAGGATTCGTATGCAGAGGGAAAATGACTTAAAATAAGATACCTTGTCAAAACGGCAAGTCTCAAGCACTGTAAGTGTGGAATTAGTAGCTCCATCTGTAATCAAGCCACTTGAATGCAATGCTAAGGCACTTAGAGCATCAGCTGCAGCCTTACGTGTTGCCCAATCTGTACTGCCAAGGCACTCATGAATACTTTGCAGCAATGGTTCCAACCCTTGAGGTGCAATTGACCCCACCTATAACAATTTCATACTTCTTCAGAATAGCACAATTTTGCATTGTTTCTGGCAAGGATCATACAAAATACATCCGGTATGATACACAAGTTCACATGCTCACAGCAATTTAGGTTACTTCAACAAAAATGATTAACAGTAAATTAAGTGAATTTAGGTAATCCTGAAATGCCGAAGCGTATGAACATCCTTTGACACAAAATAAAAGGAAGCTAGCTTATCAAAGTAACTCCTTCAAACTTATACCAAGAATCCAACAGTCATTGTTTGTCACTCAACAGCAATCAAACATCAAGACTATTGACAAGCATCACTCAATGTCTAGTTCAATGAAAAATATAATTGGAATATATTACCCACACCTGCGACAAGTTTGCCACAATGCCCAACATTGCAGCTTTGGCATGAAAATTCTGCGCATTCAACAATTTACAAGCCCGAGGGCACAACATTTTAAATGCCGTGACAGGCATGTTTTCTGCCATAGCACACTCTACCATCTTTGCCATACACATAGCTGCACCAAGTTGGACTCCTTTGTCCTGCTTGTGCATGGCCTCAAACAATGGCCTAACAAACAACTGCACTCTACTCTTCCCTCCTAGTCCCTCTTTCAAATACAACCCTGACAAAACCCCAATTACATGACAACATGCGTTCCTAACACTTGGATCAGAATCTTCCAACATTTTAACAATGTGACTAATGATTTTAGTCAAGCGTGTTAATTTCATACCACGATGAATTTGACAGCACAAACAGAGCAAGTGAAGAGACTCCCTTTTTACTATGGATTTGTTGTTAGGGTCAGATGACGAACTATACAGAGAGTTGAGAAGCACAGAGAGAGCATCAGGGGACACGGATTCCACAATAAAATGAAGGTCTTGAAGGGCAAGCTGATGGGTGTCACGATCAGCAAGTTTAGAAAGAGAAAAAAGGATCCGTTGCTTGAGTGCAACATTAGCAAAGTGAGTGGAAAGAGAAGATACAGAGGAAGGTGGGATTGATGATTCATTTGCGTGTTTTTTGGGTTTGGGGGATTTAGGTGCTTGTGTGCTCATGCTGTGCAAGTTTGCATAATAGGGAGATGGAATTTTACACTATGATGGCTAGCCTTGTAATGTGTGGAGGAGAGAGGGATGATGGAGGCAAAACCCACATTGATATCTTTGTTGGCATAAAACTTTCTTAGGAGGCCAAAAGGAAAGGAGAGTTACCCCTCCCTTCATTTCCGATCCCCTCCTATGATTTGAAATTCATTACAGTACAATTTGGAGTATAACAAATTTCACCTTCTGAGGATTAACAATATCTATTTGTATAATTAGAATTTCCTTTCTTTTCTCTCCCACTCATTCAAAAAAAATATAAAATATTTCTCTTCTCTGCCCTTTATGATTTAGTTTCAGCATTCCAAACACAAGGCACTAAATTCTTTTTTCCATCTCTTTCCATTCTCTTCCTTTAAATCCCCTTTCCTTTTTGCCACAAAGTAGTGTTATAGAATTAAAAGGGAATCAGATATAGGAAATATGAAATGACTACTATAATACTTCAATGACTGTATCTCTACATCCAGCACTTTGTCAGTTATCAACTGAAGCTTCAAGAAGATAAATGCCACCATACTTCAGCCACACCCTAAACTGTTATTTTTGTTTCCTTCATATTATTAACCAAATCAACCACAGACACCAACTATGTTTAGTAGATATAACATATGCAGATTATCAGAATTGCATAATCAAGCATGCCAAAATAGTTGAAGTCCTTGTATTCATATTTATTTTCTTTCCATTTCTCAAATCAAACACCAACTTCATCACCACATATGATATATTGCAGATGCCAAACCAACGTAAACCACATTGCCAAAACCAATATAAACCACACATTAATTAACCAATCAACAACAGCATTATCTATCCTACCACAAACTTACATACTAAATTTATCATTCACCGTACAAAGCTAAAAAACTTCAATTACACATAATCCAAATATATGCTAACAATCCAGGATTCCAGCCCTTTCTCTTCAAATTCTAACCAGCCAAATAAGAAAAATTTTTAAACAATCATTAAATTCAATATCAGAACCTCAACTCCTCAAAAACCAGACCAAAAAACTCAATCAAATTCATTATTATCAAAAACAAAGTTTATGCACAGTGATAAAAATAAATAAAATCTTACAAACTCAAACCTGTGCCAAACTTGTCACCACCCCCAATAAAGCAGCTTTGGCCTGGAAATTTTGCCCATTCAACAGTTTACAAATCCTTGGACACAACTTTAAGAAAGTCCCAGTAGGCGCATTACCACCATCACCACCATTGCCACTAGAAACATTCGCCTCCATAGACGCACACTCCACCATTTTCGCCATACACATTGCCGCACCTGATTGAACACCTTTGTTTTGCTCTCCCATAGCCTCAAATAACGGCTTAACGAACAACCCCACCAAGGATCCCACTCCATTGCTATCTCCACCTCCCTCTCCACCACCGGCCCCGCCACCGCTACTCTTCAAATACAGACCCGATAAAACCCCAATAGCATCTCTACACGCATCTTTAACACTCGAATCAGAATCCTTCAGTCTCTTAACAATGTGGGAAATGATTTTTGTCAAATGGGGCAATGTCAAATCGCGATGAGATTGGCAAGTAAGAGAAAGTAAATGCAAAGATTCTTTCTTTACAGATGGTTTGGCATTAGAAGAATCAGAAAGGGAGTCATATATGGAATTGAGGAGCATAGGCAGCGCTTCAGGTGAGATAGATTGAATAATGGAATGAAGGTCTTCAATTGCGATCTGATGGGTGTCTCGGTCGGCAAGCTTAGATAAAGAGGTAAGGATTCGTTGCTTGAGCTCTACCATGGCTAAATGTGTCGAGAGAGAAGAAGATCTCGAGGGGGGTTGGTTTTGGTTTGGGGGTTTTGTAGGCTTTCCAGATTTGGGTGCTGCTGTACTCATTGTTAATGGCTAATGGTAATGGGTTTTTGTTGCAGAAAGAAAGCCAAATGGGTTTTTGAGAGAGAAATGCAAGTGGGTTTCCAGAGAATGGAGAGGGATTATTGTAAAGGAGAGAGCTTCAGAATGAGAGAGAAATGGGTATGGAGTGAGGGCTAAGCTAAACTAAAGCATTGTGTTGTTGATTGTCTTTTGTTGAGGAGCCAACATGTGAATGGTGAGAGGGTTGAGATCTAAAGGGGGGTAAGAGTGAGGGAAACAACAACAGTTGGCTTATTTGAAAATCAAATAAGCTACAAGTATGTTGAGTTTCATGTAAAACAAGGCAATTAGGATTGAACCAATTAGGGATTAGACCATATAATATTTATGAGAGTTGAAAATTGGAATTTGAGGTTTATCAATTGCTGATGTGGGGTCATTTGGGTTTGAAGTTGGAATCAAGATGATCATGACCCTTCATTTGTATGACTTGGTATGCAATTAATGCCTTGATCTTAGGGAGTTGTGGGAGCCCATTTGTTTTTGTGGAACCATTTTGCTTAAAATCTTGGAGAAATGAAATTGTGGTTGGGTTGGTTTGAAGGTGTTTTTCTAATCAACCATTCTACATTTTTCAAAACTAAGGAAAAATATTAAACAATGTAAGATTTGATGGTTGGATATAAGTTAAGTGATTTTTTTTTATAATAGACTAAATGGGAGTTATCCTGAATAACATTATGCATTGCACTATATGAGATTTTTTTTTTTTTAATACTACCATTCATTAAATTGTTAAAAAGAAAATATTAAACAATGCAATATTTGATGGTTGGATGTAATATAAGTTATTGTTTTTTTTTATTCATTATTCGCGAAATGATAATATTTATCCTAAATTATGTATTAGAGGATAGAGTTTTTTTTTTTCAATGAAGAAAATTTCAAAATCCAAGACTTTTTACATTTATAGAAAATGGGGAAATTAATTAGACTACATCTATCGGTGATTTAGGGTCTGTTTTTTAAAATTAATTATTTCGGTAGTTGTTAACTGTTTTAGTAGAGTTTAGTTGTTAGGTATTTAAGTAACTTTTTATGAAAAACTAAAAGTTAAACGTTACATGAATTAATTTTTCACAAAACGTTACTATAACCCCTACAAGCTAGTATAAATGTTATGTTACCCAATAACTTTTTAAGTAACGTTTAGTATTTAGCTGTTGCCGAACATAGTTTTAATTTACTATTAACGCAATGAACTTTCTTTATGAAAAAAAAAAATAACGATAAAAATGTTTACACGTTACATTTCTTGAAGAGTTAATGGAAGGTATGTTATGTTTGGGAGGAGAATCTTACATATATTATCAAATTATGCAAACGTCCATGCAAGAAGGGACCAACCGTCCAGCTTTTGTTATCAAATATATGTAATTGCGGTTTAAAATAAATAAAATAAAGTAAAATTGAGAGAATATAGATATATATAATTTATAGATTCTTAAACCAAATTTATTTTATTATGCTATTAAAAAATAGTAAAAAAAATATAGCGTGATTTTTTATTATTAAAGTAAAAATTAATAGATAGATATGTATTCAAGAATATGGATTAAAAATATTAAAATTTATGAATAAATGTTTACATCACGTTACATTTCTTGAAGAGTTAATGGAAGGTATGTTTGTTTGGGAGGAGAATCTTACATATATTAATCAAATTATGCCAACGTCAAAATCAAGAAGGGACAAACCGTCAGCTTTGTTAAAAATATATGTAATGTGCCGGGTTTAAAAATACCATAAAAAAAAAAAAAATAAGTAAAATTGAGAGAATATAGATTATAATAGTTTATAGATCTTAAACCCAAATTTTTTTATTATGCTATTAAAAAATCGTAAAAAAATATAGCGGGATTTTTTATTATTATTAAAGTAAAAATTAATAGATAGATATGTATTCAAGAATATGGATTAAAAATATTAAAATTTATAGAGATAAATAAAAAGAACAAAATGAAAGGTGGTAAATTCATTAATTTGATTTATTGGAAAAAATAATTAACTCGTTATTTTATTAAAATTCATGAATAAATAATTTATTTGAAATAATTAAGAGTTGTATAAATCTTCAATTTATCATATTATTAACATTATAATTAATCAATTGTATTTAACATAATTTAATTTAATACAAAAATTTAATTTTTTAATATAAAATAATAAATAACTGCACATACCATTAAAATTAAAATTATGTAATTTATTTTATAATCATGTAAAGGTTATATAGAATTGTTACTTAACACACTATTAATTCTCTACGGTTAATATAATCATTCAATTTAAAACGGTTTATTCAATCATAAATTAATTTATTTTTCAAATAAATATAAAATAAACAATTAAAATCATAACATATATATTATTTGGAATCTCACAAGCAAACTAATAAAAACTTTGATGCCTTCTTTACATATTATATATATATATATATATATATATATATAGTATAACATGTTAAATAATATTTAAAAAAGGAGACAAAAAAATTTTGAGTAAGAACTACTAACCCCCATTAGTAGAAATAGTTGAAATGTAGAAAATTCTGAATTTAAAAAAATATATATATATTTAAAAATAGGGACCAATACACTTTTGCTAAGAATACAGAAAAATATAGTGATACAATTTATATAATATTTTTAAAAAAGTTAAATTTTTTTCTAGAGGGTAAATAATTTAAATTTTAAAAAAATTGCATTACTACACCGTTTTAAAAAAATGAAAATATTTAGATAGAAAACATTAAAGATACATCAATGGTTGTCAAAGGAAACGTTTGTTACTTCACAAATTTGAGAGTAAATATTTGTTACAAAGTAATACATTAATACATTGATTGAATAATTTATTGTTATTAAACTTTATCACTTTTTAAAAACTAATAATTAATAATAATTATAATAATTACTTAAAATCCATTAATACATGAAATAACTAAATCAAACCAAACCAAAAACACTAATTCAAAATAAATCCAAACCAAACTAATGCATTAATACATTAAATAATCAAATCAAAAACACTAATTCAAAATAAATCCAAACTAAATCAATGCATTAATACATTGAATAATCAAATCAAACCAAACCAAAACACTAATTCAAAATAAATTCAAACCAAACCAAACCAAGCCAATACATTAATACATTAAACCAAACCAAGCCAATACATTAATACATTAAATAATCAAATCAAACTTTGCTAAGTGAAAGCCTAATTGGAGGAATATGCCACATATGAAATTAAATGCCAAGTGGATATGCCACCTAGGAAAAAATACTTGCTTTATATATTTATTATTATGGACCGGAGTTAGTAACTTTTAGTATTTTGACTGATCAAAACTCTAAAATTTTTACTGTGTTGATAACATAACATTTGAATTAGCTTTTAGAGATTAATATAATGTTTTATAAAAAATTAAGTCCTATAATATTTAACTTTTAACTTTTTATGAAGAGCTATTAAAAGAGCTAATAGCTACAAAAATAGCTAATTTTACCGAATAAACCTTTAGACGATTGTGAAACGAAAATCCTATATTATTCTCGTCCACTTCTAAATTTTTTAGTGCTTAACAATGGATTTAATAATTAATATCGAATGTTTATTTTATATTATATAAAATCCCTGCACTTTGCGCGACTATCTAATATATTTATTTTTGAGATATAAAATAAATAAATTGTTAAGAATTAAAGTACATACAATGCATCGATAGTATGATTCAAATATACCATGTGAATTGAAAATTTTTATCCTAAGTAATAGTTAATTATTCATGTAATAAACTTAAAAGGAAAAAGAATGTTGATATAGTATTTACATGTGACCAAAATCAATAGAAAAGTATATTACTTTATAAACACGAAATATTGATGAAAAAATTAGTGAGAACATTTATCCCCTTAGAGTAATAATTTGAAGTATAAAAAATGCATATATAAATATATAAAAACTACTCTATCTGTCCCATTTTGTTTGATTGTTATTCTTTTTTTGGATGTTCCAAAATATTTACAAAATTTCTAAATTTAGACATGGAAACAATTATTTTTCCTATGATAACCTTTATAATCATTCATTAAATGAGGGACTTTTATTAATATCTTTAATGAGTTAAGGTAAAAAAAGACAAAATAGCTTTTGTTGACTAAATTTTTAATATGTGTGTTTTGTCAAACTATGCAAACAAAGTAGGATGGAGGGAGTATTATTTTTATTTATTGCAGTTAATTTCTGATATATTTTTAGTAATATATTTTTTGTCCTTATTTATATTATTTGTTTTGATTTTTAATTTTATAAAATATTTTTTAGGCCAATTTATAAACATATCATCATTTAGAAAAGAAAGGGCTTTAATTTTAAAAAGACACATTTGATATTTGAAGATTAATATTATTATTTTGAATAAAAAAATTGACATAAATATAATTAACGTTTCTACTTATAGAATTGATCAATATTTGAGAACAACCATGTAAGCGGTAATCAAGTAGCTGAAAAAAATATCAAGAAAATGATTTGAAATACCTAAATTTCTAATTTGGAGGCTCCAACAAACTGGCTAATGCTTAGAGCTTTTTCAGCCAATTTATATGTGTTATTAAAAGATTATTATGTTAAATTCAAAACATACATCATAAAATATGCAATGCTCAACAAACTCATAAAAAATTAATAAAAAAAAATCAAAAGTCATAATATTTAAAACTCTCTCATAAAAACTATAAATTAGAGAGAGAATTTTTAATGAAAAACAAATTTTTTTTTCAAAAAATTACAATTTTTTCTCAAATTAGTTAAATATAAATACTCAAATCTTATGAAGTCTTTCTCTTCAAAGGAAATGCCATGTCAAAACCTAATAAAAATCAATGATTCTCCTTTATATATAAAAAACAATGATCTCTCCCTTTCTATATATTATATATATATAGATATATATAATATATATATATTTTAATATATTATATATATTATATTATATATTGATTTCAAAAATAGTTGTTTACAATGGACGTCCATTCATTTTCCATGTCATAAAAATTATGACTTCTGCTGCTTTTTTTTTTTTATTACTGTTAAAACGGTTATGCAATATATTATTCGCCATTAGTTAGGAAAATTAAATAATCATGGCGGAAATAAATAAATCAATGAACTAAATAATTAAATTTTAAAATTATAAAAAATTGTAATCAATATATTTGAGTATAACTAAAGGATTAAGTACTAATTTATCCTTTTAAATACTTTTAGATACAAGATTGTTAGAGTCTTGGAGATAATAACAATATTTTATTAATAGCTAATGAAAAATAAATAAAACAATCAAGTAGTGCAATAGAGATAAAAATGAAAGAATATGTAATTAAATTAATTTATTTTGAGTAAAATCGAAATATTAAATAGTAACCACTCTAAAAAAAAAAATCCGACAATGAGAGAAAAATATATAATAAGAAAAAAATTATTATGATAGCGAGCAAATAAATATAATAACTTTCTTATTACTAATGGACAAATGAACTTTAATTAATCAAAAGGAATGGATAGCACATCAACTGCATGACAAGTTTAAATAACGAGAGTACCTCTTGCTTGGTATGCAAAATATATAATAATAATAATAATAATAATAATAATAATAATAAACATTTTTTTGTGAATTACCATGACTTAATAACGGTAAGAAAAACAAATAAAATGAAATGTCTATTGACAGTGACCCTAAATTGTGAATCTTGTTGAAAATATTTTGTTTTACTATTATCGAAAAAAATAAATGGAAAAAACTTACTGTTTCTATTCCATAATATTTATCACATTTAAAATTTCACGTCTTTTAAAAAATTATTAAATATTTTTAAATTATGTTAAAGTATTTAGTAAATTGACTATATTACTCTTAATTTAATACTAATTTTTTAAAAAAATCATTAAATTAAAATAATAATTATTGATTATATACAAAAGGTAATTGATTATATACATGTAAATATTGAAAACAAAAGGTAAATATGAAAAAAATATTTATTACTTCTTAAAATTATAAATATGATAAATATTTTAAAATTTTTTTTAAATGTAATAAATATTACAAAACGAAGGTAATAATATATTTATTCAATAAATAGAAGAAAATCTTTTATTATTTCCAACTGAACTTTATGATTTTTGTATGCATTTTCTAAGAATACAATAGGGAAAGCCCAAACCGGTGCGTGTTTGTTACGGAGCTGAGTAAAAACGGTGCGTTTCCCAATGCATCGACCTGCTCGTAGTACTCGTAGTAGACGCTGCTTGTCTGCTCTCATGGCAAAAAGCTAAGAACTTCACTCCATTATTACTGTTAGTGGTTTAACCAGAGAGTCACATTCACTGCTCCATTATTGGTGCTAGTTGACCACCACCACTCTCTCAAGGCTCAACAATGCAAATAAAGAGACAAAACGCTATGGAGGAAAGTGGGTTTCATTACAAATTAGATTAGATTTGCTCTTTTCAAGGTGACATTATCTCCTACTCACACGTGGTGATTAGCCCATAATACTGTTTTATAAGGATCTTAGTTATCAAAGATTCCAAGAATAGTTTTTGGGTTTTTGTTGTTTTTGTTGTTTTTGTTTCATTTTTCTGTTTGGCTCAGATTCGTTCTTGAAAATCTTCACAAACTTGCTTCAGCTATCAACACTTTGTATTACTGGTTTTCTTGCTTGTGGGTATGTTTTAATCTCAATCTCTATTATTTGCATTTGATTCTTTTGTGGTTTAATTACAGTTTAGATGTCAGTTTTATACTATTATTGAAGGCGCTTTATAATTTTGTGTGTTTAAAGAACTGGAACTTTATGGCTTTATTTTGGATTCAATGATTATTGGTTGTTGGGTTCTCTAATTTATATTCTAATCCAATTTAGAATATTATTCATTATATTTGAAGACAGAAATAGAATATTCTAAATTCTATTAGAATATATGTACTCATATTCTACTTTATAGGTTTTTTATATGGATTTAGTGTCCTATCTATTTCCTTAGATCTATCTCATCCGCATTCTGCCTCATCAGTTTACATGATGTTTTTGGTAACTCAGAGATATCTTTTTGATGTTTTGAAAGAACTTTATTTTTTTAGTAGTTTGAGTTTCTGGATTCCTATTATTATTGCTGGATTCTCGCCTACTTTACCCTTTCAATTGATGGCTTTGATTTCAAGTGATTTTCCCTTTTTTTCTTTTTAATTAAGAACCAATATTTATGCAACATTCTGATTCTGCTAATAATATTATGCTTAATGATAATTATATTTGCTTTGTGCATTTCATGTAACTGCAGCTGTTTAAGGATCTGTTGTTTAATTATACTTCGAGTATTCTCGTCGTTGGTATAAAGGGAAGATTTTGGTGACCTTCTTTTTGCGTTGGTATAAAGCTAATTACTATTAATCAAATATCTGAATTCAAGTTTCAGGAATCTGCATTCTTTAGATCTGGTTTTTGAACCTTTTCATGCTTCTCGTTTATAACTGTTATGGGAAGATATTCATTATTATGGATTTGTTGCATCCTGTGGTTAATTCCTTGTTTTAGTCATTGTGATAGAAAAACACTTTATGTCATTCCTTTTTGTGGGATTTGTGCTATATGTAAAGGCAATCCTGATTAACTTGCAATATTGGGACCGTTTTAATTTGAACCGCTAAAGATCCTGCTTTTTCCTGCAAAATCTATCATCTACTTTGTTGGAAAGTTCTGTTGTGTGTGTATTTGAGCATGCTTGTGCTTTCATATTTATTATGTTCATTTATTTGTAATATTTTTCATATTATAATCTGTGATGTGAAGAATATGATACATATTTTAGCTAAAAGGATATAATCTATGCCTGGATGTAGGTGCTATTGCATAACAGGCTGAAGAATCCTTTTGGACACGATTCTCTCCACAAGCTTTATAGGCCTAGAGCTATTCTGTGAAAAAGCATAATCAAAATTTTTGGCTGAATCTGTTTTCAGAATGGTTCAGAAACTAAAAGCTATCAAGGGTGGTGGAGGATCCATCAGGGTCGGCACCACTGGAACAATCAGTGCCTTGATGACAAGGGAACTGGAATCTACTAAATCAGCACCACATGCATCAGTCTCTCATCAAGACAAGCCAAAGAGCGTTCCAGTCTCAGTTCCCTGTAGTGCAACTACTCCTAAAAGACTACAAGCAAGAAAATCATTAGATGAGGCAAGCAGCAGCAGCGCTATTCATAGAAGCCCTGAAACAAACCGGAAAATGAAAAGCTACACGAAAAGTTCCCATCGAGTCCCAATGCTCCGTGCTGAGAATGTCACACTAGATAGAACTCCTAGCAGGGAGAAAACCAATAAGAAAGGAGCTAACATTGTTGAAGTTGTGGATATAAAATGTGGTCACCCGGATAAAGCATGGTCTAGCCCTATAACTAACAAACTTAGGAAACTTGGTTTCTCAAAGCTATCAGAGAGCTTTGGTTAAGCTTGCAACTTCTTGACGTCAGATTTCAGGTTCCTGTAACTGAACCCTGAAGCCCCAACTGACCGGTTATGTTCTGACACTTCCACCATAGAACACATGCTTGGTAGAAGCCGGCTGCTTCCTTTCTTTTTCTTTTTTGGGGTTGTTGTCGCCGATCCAAGAGTGGACTTGATTTGACTACTAGTTGAAGCTGTTCCAGTAGCATGGGACTGATGTTTGTGCGAGCTTTCTTGACAACTTGAATCAAGCTGGCTGAAGTATCTGATTTCTTGCATTATGAGGGACCCAACGGTGCCCTTAGTGCCTATTTCTACAGGAGGATGTGTTGCCATGTCTTCAGGGACTTTTGTGGCTAAGGTGATAGATTTATACATGTTTTCTTGGTTCATCTGAAGGATGTGTGCAGATGAAGAGAAGTGTTTTGGGGTGCTGATCTTGGTGGGGAAATTGCTTCAAGCATAGGGCATATGGTGATTGGCCTTATACTCACTATTTTCTCATGAATTCTTTACCTCATGTTCTTTATCTGAAGTGAACAGCATTGGATTTCCCTTTTCCCCTCTTTTAAAAGATTAGATGGTGACATTTTCATTGTATTCATGTGCTTTCTGTCAACATATTTAATTTGCTAACCACTATACTTTAACTTCTTGGTTCTTATTCACATGTTAATCGGTGCGTATTTGGATTATGATTATGACTGGTGGATTATGTTAAATTATCTGCATAATACATTCATCATGCTTTTTTTGACCTTAACATCTTACCTCACTTCCCAGTTAGTGTCAAATGATGATGTGAGGCTCCAAGAGAGGGACAGCTTCTTTCTTGTCTATTTTCAGTAGTGCTGTTGCTTTATCTTCATGTCTTGAATGACAAGGGAAGAAAAAGGGGTTGCTGTGTGGTATGGTTTGGTGTATAAACTTGAGTACTTTTTAGGCATGAGAGCTATTTTGTTTTAGTTTCACTTCGACTCAACTCGGAAAGTATTTGAAATCAATTCGAGTTGAGCTAAAACTCAATATCGAGTTGAGTTAAATTCAAATATTATAATATTTGATTCGAGTGGTTTATTAATCTAATCGGGTATTCATTTTTATGTAATTTAAAATAAATTCAGTATTACATAATATTTGAATAATATATGATTTTGGTGAAAGGGATATCATGAGGAAAAATATGATTTGACAATTGTGTTTGTGACAAAATTGAATTCATCTTGTTGGTTCACCGGCTTTGCAAGAAACTAATAAATCGAAGTAAAGAAGCCACCGCACAATTGGGTAAATACCCATTTAAAACTGAATTAAATGTTATATTGAAAATTAAATCTTTGAATAAAAGAAATAATATATATAATTTTTTTATTAAAAAAATATTGAGAATTAAATCTTTGACTTCCAATAAAATAAAGTATAACACTGGATTACCAATATTTTTTTTGACACATTAAAATTATTAAAAGAAAAAAAAAAGAATCACGGGCTCTTAAGTTTCCATCATGGGCTTTACATTGCATGATTGGGCTAAACAAGTACACACAAAATGAACCAAGAGATGTTGGACTCAAAAATCCATCAATCAGGAATTCACAACGTAATAACATGCAGCTGCGCACAGTCTATCATTTCTCCTTGCCACACTTTAGAAGGACAACTGAGCAGTGAGTGGATAGAAAGCTAAGTGATAAAGCCATCAGCTCTATTATTTTTATAGTTTCTTAGAAAACAGAGTAATGGCTTCAATACCATCGTGTACAGCAACAAACCATCTCTGCTTTACTTCTAAGCCTCAAAATTCTCAATCTTTATTGCCTAAATTCAGTTCCAAGTTTCTGGGTATCCAAAATAATGTGGGTCGGGTAAGAACCTGCAGAATTGGACCCTCAAATGGGTCAAGAGTGAAGTGTTGGTTTAGGTTTGGTAACCGTGGTGTTGATGCTGAAGGTGCTGGTATTTATGGAAGCCAATCTCGTGATGACTTTGATAGAGATGATGTTGAGCAGGTCCTCTCTCTCTGTCTCTCTCTGATATCCTATGACTTAAGAGAAATATGATGTAATTGATTAGTAACGCTTTATAAATATGGTTTTATAAATATGTGTTTTTGTGTATGAAGTTTCATGCTTTGCCTCTGGTTTGAGAATTTTGATTTTCTTGTGTGTTAATTGTGTTTTGGAATTGGAATAGATTATTGATGTCTATTTGCTTAAATTGCTATGCTCTTTAACTTATTGTGTAGACATGAAATAAGAGGATAGTCTCCGTTCTATATCTAGGTGTTTGGTCTTCTAAACACGAACCTTATTGTTTAACACATCTTTTGGCTTATACTGAGTCCTTTCCAAGAATGTGAGGTTGTGAATTTAAACCAGTCCAGCTTAACAAAACAGAAAAGAAAAAAAAGGAAGAACTAAAGTATCTCGAGAAATCTGCTTAGACAATGGCCAATATGTTTCTAGTAGTGATTATTAAGACTTGCACAAAATGCTCATTACTTTCTCATACCCATGGCCTTGCAATTAAAGCTTGTTTTACAATGTGATTGAACTTCATCTGCTTTAACAAACATTTCATCAGCATATCTGGGAATGAACTTTTTATGAAGTTGTAGAAGTGACATTATACAGCAGATGGTCAGGGCAATTTCATCATCTCTTAAACATTCAGAAATCAAATGTTAGTAATAGCTCTGAGATGTACATTAGATAACATATTAGAAAATGTTTATGGCCACATTATTTCTTGTTAAAACAAAGATTTCAAGCATCTGCAGAGAGTATTCTTGGTTGAGTACATTTTTAACTCATTCATTTATATTAAATTTTCATTTGATTTTGGCTTTTGAAACAGCCACTGTATACGTATAATTGTGTTTGGATTCATTTAGCCGACCCAAGTGGTTTGGATTAAAGCTTAGATGCTGTTCATTCTCTATGTTCAACCTTTGATTATGATCGTGAAAATTTTGTCGGCTGAGAAAAACTAAAATAATTTGCAGTACTTCAATTACATGGGGATGCTTGCAGTTGAGGGTTCGTATGATAAGATGGAGGCTCTTCTAAGTCAAAATATTCATCCAGTGGACATCTTATTACTCCTTGCTGCTTCAGAAGGTGACAAGCCAAAGATTGAAGAGTTGTTAAGAGCTGGAGCAAGTTACACTGTGAAGGATGGTGATGGACGAACTGCCCTTGACAGAGCTAATGAAGAAATCAGGGAATTCATTCTTGAATTCTCTGCTCAAAAGGCATGATTTAGATTTCATTATCATCCATTTACTTGTATTTTGTTTTCTACTTACCACTCATGCTAAAATTTGCAATTTTGATTCTGCATAAATATAATTTGATGGTGTTAATTAGTTTATGTATTATCATGGTGGATTAGTTTTCCTTGTCTTCCATTTTCTGTAGGACAAACAACCTTAACTATCACATTTGAATTATAAATATAACAACAATAGTTTCTCTATTAACTATTAGAATCTATATAACTATCTACAACCTGATGATTTCATACTGATATTATGCAGGCAGCTCATCCATTCTTACAATACTCCTATTTTAGAGAATCTTGATTTTTCTTTTTGGTATTTCTTTTTTAAGTTTTCAATCATTGTAGGTAGAAAATATTTTTTAATTATATTCATTTAAGACATTCTAAATTTTTTATCCCTTGAGAAAATTTAATTGTCTCAATAGTTTCACTTAGAAATCATCAATGGCAACTATAAATATTTATATGGGAGGTGGAGAATGGATGTGTAGGGCAGCACAATCTTCTTGTTCTTGGTTTGAATCTGGTCGTGACTTTATTCTATAAACTACTACTTCCTAGTATTGTTCCGGTAGGTGTTCAATTTATAATTTTGTGATACTTAATTGTATTCTAGGATTTACAAGTATGCTTTAATTGTAACTTATATGCTTTATGTATTTTTTTTCTTCTTATCATGTTTGTTTTAATTCTCAATTTAAATTATAAGATTTTAAATGTAGAACCCACGTTTAATAACTTGCAATGCTTTAAAAATATTTCAAATTTTATTTTATTTAAAATTATAAAATTCATATTATATGTCAATCTAATCTAAAATCAAAAATATTTTGTAAATTTAAAGTACACAAAAATTAATTTCACCTTCTATCATTCAATCAAATCACCTAAGCAAATTATTAAAACGACAAAAATAGTTAAGGTACTTACTAAAATTTTCCATTAAGATTAATTAAATAAAAAACTTTGACAACATGTGCATTGCGCAGCCTCACGACTAGTTATATAAATTTGAGTTGTATAATTATAATTATGCCCCTTTTATTTGATAAATGCATCAATTAATATCTGACATTTTATAACTTGTAATTATAACCAAACTCAAAGTGACTGAATAAGTCAATTACCTTCTGTTATTTATTTATTTTTTTGGTAAAAGTAAGTTTCTCGTTGAACATGTATGTCATAATTTTCTCGTTCTTTTTCGTTTTCATTCTTTATCATTATGGCCCTTCAAAATTCCAAATGGAGACAGCCGACAACAACTTTCCGCATCGAATAGAAATTTATATCTGAACTGAATCGATTCAAACCGAATCAGACAGTACAACTGATTTTAATTGGTTTTTATCATTTCAGATTGATTTTAAACATAATCAATTAATTTTTGTAAAATGAAGCCGAACCACAGTTCAAACCATCTAACTGATAAAATGAAATTTCTTTGAGCAGAGTGACCAAACCGAATTGAAAATGGATAAATTTGGTTTGGATTATGGGCGGAGGGAGGGCGACTGTGGGAGTCCGGGCCCTCCAAACTTTAAAATTTTTTTAAATTTTGCTTTGTAATTTAGTAAAAAAAATATTTTTCTTCACTTTAGTCCTCTTAATTTTAAAAGAATTTATTTTCACCTTTCAAATTCTAAAGTTTAGCTCCACGCTGATACATCCCTAGTTTCGAGAATATATTGCTTTTGTAAATATTTTCAAGTGTTGTATTATTTTGTGTTATAAACCCATTTAAGTAATAACATGGATGTATAAACTCTGGCTTAATGTATCATAATATGTCGAATTTTAAAAGCTTTTGCAATTTCTATCATATTTTGATCTTTTTATTAATTTTTTTTACCTCAATTTTGACCATTTATATCACTCTCAATTGTAATTAATGATAGAATTACGAAAAAAGTGCTTATACTCCTTTTTTTTAAAAAATAATAATAAAGTACAATTTTAAATGCGCTTTATATATTAAATTATATTCACATCTAGGAGATGACATATTTATATATTTAAAAATATAATATTTGAGACATATGCAATTAAAATAATTAACAAGCTATTTATTTATAAATGAATAATAATTTTACTATTTTATCAATTCAAAAAATTACATAAGATTTTTCATTTTTAAAATATAGATAATATAAAAACATAATTAAAAAATTATATTTTATTAATTTAATTATTTTGCCATGCTTGAGATTTTCTAGCAAATAACAGAAATTTATGTTATTAAATTATTAATTAGCACACTTATTTCAAAAATTAAAATTTAATCTATACAATATTATTTGTATAGACTACTGGAATTTTTTTTAAAATTTTTATTTTTTAAAACGATGATTTAATGAATGATGGAAATGCTGTTTTTATTTCCTTCCATTCTTAATTACAATTAAGGGTCCTATTGTTACAAAATTTCTAAATTGAAGTAATTAAATTGATAAAAAATATCCAAATAAGATGAAATTGTAAAAGGCAGTAAAATTTAGGTTATTCTGGTATATTTTAGGGTTATAAAATTCTAATGAATTTATCGCTTGCTCAGTTTCGAATCAAATCAAATTAAATTGCTAAAAACTAAACTAAAAACTGAATTTATCTAAAATCATATAAATCGAATCAAATCGGTTAATCACAATAATTAAATCAAAAAAACAAACAAGGTCAATTGATTCGTGCTCTGTCCAAATTTAGTCTTTCTAGCCATGTTTTTACCATGTACAATAGACATATATAGACAAAAAATTTATATCTATATGTCTATAGGTGTCACAAGCACAATCTGTATCTACAATGGAGTATCTACAACAATTCTCCATTTTCTCAGCCTTGGTTACTTTCCTCCTATTCATCTTTCTTCTACAAAGAAAACCTAAAACCTCCTCCCGGAAATCAGCCCCAGGGCCATGGAAGCTACCAATAATAGGAAACATGCATCAACTCCTTGGCTCTCTACCTCATCACCGCCTGAAAGATTTATCAGACAAATATGGCTCTGTAATGAATCTCCAGCTCGGCCAAGTTTCAAATATCGTCATTTCTTCCCCAGAAGCTGCCAAACAAGTAATGAAAACTCATGACATCATTTTCGTTCAACGGCCTTTTCTCCTCGCAGCAAATATTATCATGTATAACTCCAAAGACATTGTTTTTGCCCCTTACGGCGATAGTTGGCGACAGATGCGTAAGATTTGTACGCTTGAGCTATTAAGCACAAAACGCGTGAGATCATTTAGAGCAATCCGAGAAGAGGAGACATCAAATTTTATTAGATCAATTTCCAGCTTATCGGAAGTTAATATCAGTAAGATTCTGTTATCTTTATCTAACGCGATTACTTTGAGGTCTGCATTTGGTAAGGTTTCAGAACGCCAGGAAGCTTTCTTGCCACTTGTGCAGAAAATTGCGCTGATGTTAGAAGGTTTTAGCATTGCTGATATTTTCCCTTCAGTTAAATTTCTTCATGGAATTACTGGGATGAGGAGTAAGTTGCAGAAGTTGCATCAAGAAGCCGATATAATGCTTGAAAATATAATTAATGAACATAGAGAAAATAAGAGATTGGGTAGAAGAAATTCTGAGGGCAAAGAAGATGATCTTGTTGATGTTCTTTTGAATCTTCAAGATCATGATAATCTTGAACTGACAACAGAAAATATGAAAGCAGTCATGCTGGTGAGTATAACTACTACTGGGTATTTTCATTTATCAAAGATCCTAGTGATTATTTAGTTGTTTTGCAAGTAAAATTTTATATATACACTAAAGTTTAATTATTATTATTGTTTAGGACATGTTCCTAGGTGGAACCGAATCGTCTTCTACAGTAATTGAGTGGGCAATGTCAGAAATGGTAAAAGATTCAAGAGTGATGGAAAAAGCACAAGAAGAGGTAAGACAAGTATATAATCAAAAAGAAAACATAGATGAAACAAGACTTGATGAATTAAAGTATCTAAAGTTAATTATCAAAGAAACTTTAAGATTGCATCCTCCAGCTCCTTTGCTTATTCCAAGAGAAAGTCTAGAGGCAGTGGAGATCGATGGGTATGAAGTCCCAATCAACACCAAGGTCATTATATATCAATGCATGGGCAATTGGAAGAGATAGTCGTCACTGGACAGAAGCTGAGAAATTTTATCCAGAGAGATTTCAGAATAATTCTATTGATTTTAAAGGGAATGACTTCCAATTTATTCCATTCGGTGCTGGCAGAAGGATGTGTCCTGGTATAGCCTATGGAATGGCAGTTGTCGAGCTTGTACTTGCAAATCTGTTATTCCATTTTGATTGGAAACTTCCCAATGGATTGGAACCACATCTTTTAGACATGTCTGAATCTTTTGGAGTTTCAGCTAGGAGGAAAAATGAGCTAAACTTGATTCCCATTCCATACAATCCTTCGCACAGTCAAGAAATTAGTTGAAGATATTATATTTCTTTATTTAATGTATCGATTATTCAAGTATATTTGTTACATATGTTGCTTATTTGTAATTGTGATGTTCCAGCTTATGTTTTGGAAAATCTAAAATCAATGCCAGTCGTTTCTATTTATTAAAATTTTTAAAAAAGTTTAAAAGCTGGGCAACGGCTTTTGATTTAGATTATAGTCTTTGGCCGAAATTCTACAGTACTATTCCACAATATAATATTGATAATAGCTTTTAGAGATTAAAGATATTTTTTATTAAAGTATTATTTTATAATATAATATTGATAATAGTTTTTAGAGATTGAAGATATTTTTTATTAAATATTAAACACTCTAACGTCTAGAATTTGATATAAATTAATTAAATTTTTTTTACAGTTAATTTTTTTTATCATTTTAATTTTTTTTTTTTTTTTCGAATCCTCCTAATTTAAATTATTATATAAATCGCTTTCAGTTAAAAATTAAAAACTAACGGTGCTAAACACTAAATTGATATGTTTAATTTTATAAAATAATGTATTTATTAGGAAAATGTCAATGTGACACTTACTAAAAAAAAAAAAAAAAAAAAAAGCCAGCACATCGGTACAAAATTTATAATTGATGCATATCCGAAGAGAATCTCACAAATTCCTCAATGATACTCACAAATAATATATGCACCAGTGTTTTTAGGACATCTGGGCTGAACCCTTATGTTCGAGACTTTATTCCGACAGAGGATGGGTAGTTTCACGTGAACGCCTTTTCTGTTTTTATTTTTTTTTTTTTTTTTAGCCTCTGTAATTTTTTTTTTTTTTTTTTTTTTAGCCTCTGTAATTGTGCACGTGAAAGTCGGATGAAAAACTATTTTTTTTATTAAGGAAAATATTATGATGGTACTGTGAAAATTAATTATCTTGTCTTTATATTTTCTAAAATACATTATAATACCATTGCGTTTACATTCCGTCAAACATTATCCCCTTCCGTTTATTTTGTACACTTTCAGCTGTTAAATTACTATAAAATAACATCAATAATCCTAATAACAAGACAAAAATAATTTTGAGTCTTGTAGATTCACCGTTGTGGCTGCCGGCGGCGAGATCAAGTATGATCCTCTCAATGTAAATCACTTTCTACGGAACACAACTTTTTTACCTGCAAGAAATGCTCAAATCTAAAATAAACCATTGTTCCGTTGAAAACTTGTTGCAACAGTCAGGTTAGTGTGAAGAACGAGACAAAAAGAACAAAGAAAAGACGAAGAAATGTGATATGAGACGCTTAGGCTTGTGGATATGGTGTTCCATTGGAACCAGTGGCCATCAATCGAGCAGCTGCTCGAGTCTAATCACAGTTAAACCTTTTCGCATTTTCTTATAAATAAACTAAGCAGTGATCAAAGACGAGCTTTTTCCTCTTACTTAGCTTACGTTGCCAAGCCATGTCCCGTAGTTAATATTTGAAGTTTTTTAACTAACCATGTCTGCAACATTTGTTTCAAAACCAATTTTTCCCTTATTAAGATATGTTACAATTTTACCCTTATTAAGATATAATGTGTATATATATATATATATATATATATACACACACACGCACGCACACACAAATAATCACCCGTTGATTTTTAACACCTAGAATCATAGGCAGTTATGATGTACATGCACAGGCTTTGATTTCTAAATTATAATTCCATTAATATTTTCATCCTCCGTTTAAAAAAATCAGAATTAATGTCAATAGAATCATAAATTAGAGATTTCATAATATAATTTAAAAATTAAGTTATTTTTTTATCTCAAAACTCATTTGTATATAATATTAATTTCGTCTTTTTTCAGCCAAATAACAGTTCCGTTTGTTTCCGTAAAATAACTTGCAGAAAAATATTTTTCATAATTTTTCATTGTTTAGGACATTCAGGAAAATAAGTCATCGAAAAATAGTTTTTCTGTTCAAAGGAAAATTAAGTCTTTTTAAGAAAAATAACTTCTCATTTTTTAGAGAGTAAAACATTTTCTAAAGATTGACAAACTTTATACATCTATATTTTTTTAATTTATTAATCATCGGAATAAATAACTTTCTCATTTTTTTTAAGAGAAGTAAAACATTTTCTAAAGATTGACAAACTTTAGATACCTTCTCATTTTTTAGAGAGTAAAACATTTTCTAAAGATTGACAAACTTTATACATCTATATTTTTTTAATTTATTAATCATCGTAATCACTACTACCAGTCACCATTTATCATAGACCATCACCACCGGCCACCACCACCATCGGCCACCAGTGACTTTAATAATTTACATTTTTTTTTGGCATTCTTTCCATATTTAACAATAAAATCTTTAAATTATAAAATTTCTATATTATTAATATTTTTTATGGTCTTATGAGATAAAAGACTTTAATATTTTTAATTAATTTTCAATATTACAACTAAATAATGGAAAATAAGTCATTTGGAAAATATTTTTTATGGAAATATTTTTCAGCAAGTTATTTTCCTACAAATTATTTTACGGAAACAAATAGAACATTAAAAGATATTATTTTAAACATAGAGACCCAAAAAACAAACCTCAGATAATTTTTAACAGCAAAAACACTCAAATATTAGTTTAAGTATAATTTTGCTACGGTGGATTATTTGTTAATATTATTGATTAAATTGTCATTATCTTATAGAAATGACTGTTCTATTCAACAGCGGCTAATAATAGATCTTGGCTTAAGCCTCATTTAAGTTATTTAGACGAAAATTTAAAAATTAGTTAAACAAATTCAATTCCATATAAAAAAAAATTGTAATTGATCATTATTTTAATTCTCTGAACAATTAATGGTTTCTTAATGGAAATATCAAGCATAACTCTAAAATGAGTCAAATTACTAGAAAACTATTAGAGATTTTTTGATAAGTTTTTTAATCCATAGCCGACAACCGATGAAAGTCTAATCAGCTCTTGATTTCATAAACTATAATTTGCAGATTTTTCGTATCTGGTGCTAATTACTGATTGTATTTACATTATATTTGAACTTTATTAATCTTATAAAAATAATCACAAATAAAATTATTTTAAAAATTAATGTTTTTTATTATTTTATTTATAGTTACTTAAAAATAATAATTTTCTATCAAATAATATTTTAAAATTTTAATTTTTTATTATTTTATTTTATAGTTACTTAAAAATAATAATTTTCTATTCAAATGAATAATTTTAAAAATTGTTAATTAATATTTTTATTTATATAATATATTGTAAAGGATATAAATAATATATTCGATCATAGACAATTGGAAAAAAGAATATATATATATAATATATATATATACTATAGTATATATACACTATAATATTACATGTCCATAAGTATCTAAAATAATTTATATCATGATTATTTTAATTTTTAATTGTCACGTCATAATATCTAAAATAATTATATCAATGATTATTTTAATTTTTAATTGTCACGGAATTAGGCTTCGTAGCGTTTGACACTCGTGCGGCGCCTATACTTATCTCATAATTTAAGCCAACCATGCATACTCCGAAGGTCTTAGCATAGTATCCAACTGTAGCACATCTGTGTATGAGCTCAAGGCCTTTGGGCATCTCAGGCAGCATAAAACTGCTTATACCGAAACCTTCACCTGCGCATAGATATGCACTATATGCGTTTGGCTCTATAGTGTCCATAGAGCTCCTTCTCTATGGAGACATCACCTCCTCTTAGTAGAGCATGATGTCTGCATCCTAACTCACTAGGGCTTGGTCCTGCATATCCGCCTTATGGCGAAAAAGAGCATTAAGTCGGGTCTCTCTTAGCATGTCCATTGATCATATTCTCATCCCCCCTAGCCTCAGCTAGTCCTTAGGATTACCGTGGTATGTCTCCACGGGTATGGGCTTGAAATTTTACCCAATGTTAACATAATCAGCTAATCACTATTAACTAATAGTTACTATCAACTAATATAAATAGCTGAGTTCAACGAGCCATTAGCTAAAGAAAAAGTTGTTCAAGTTCATTTAATAAGCTTAATGGTCTTATTTAATAAACGAGTTAAATTTGAATTCTAAAAGAGATTCATGAGTCGTATTATAAAAATAAAGACCATGTAAGCGAGCTCGAGCTCTAATTTAAGCATATGAATTTGGCATTCTTCAAACACTCAAAAATTTCTTATTTATTTGGGTTCCTTAAACTTTGTTTTTGTATTCTCCTTTATTTCTCAGACACATGATATATTTATTTGTATGTTTATCTGGTTGGCTCCCCTAGTGCGTGGTACGATCAAATAGCACTATCGAAATAAGATATCGTCCTTGAAGATAGAGAAAACTGAGTATTAATTTTGATTTGTATGCGATTATCTAAGAGAATAGAGTTTAATATTAAAGGGGGGGGGGGATTAAGACTAAAAACTGCAAATAAGTTAAACAAAGAGAAAAGATTACTATCCAAGATAGCTTGGTCTAATGATTGAAACGCACTAGATCTGACTATGGTGATCTCACGATCAAATTGTGGAGTCGGTATCTTAGACACTGAAAGAGATTAGTCTTTCATCTGACTATGGTGATCTCACGATCAAATTATGGAGTTGGCATCTTGCACATCTGGAATGAAAAGGAATTAATCAAGATATCGAGTAATAGGGTCGACATCTTGGGGGTCCGAAAGGGATTAATCTCAATTCTCTAAAGGGATTAATCTCAATTGTCTAGGGCCATAATAATGTGGCTCACTTTTTCTAAATAATGGGGAAGACCGAAGAGGACCAAGACATGACATTGAAAGACTCTAATAATATATTTGACAAGAAAATTTCTTTTTTTTTAAAAAAAAAAAGAAACGTGAAAATTTCTTTTAATGCCCAATTCTTGCGAAATTTCTGAAAATTTTTTATATGAATTATCTCTTGGTATGTTTTCTACTTTTATTTTCTTATTTCCCTATATAATTTTATACTGTTGGGTTTTATTGTATTCATTTTATGGTTAGAAAAATGTAATCAACACTTCTTTAACTTCTAAAACGACAGATGAAACATAATAAAAAAAAAATTTAAATGATGTTTGAAATGGAATGGAGGGTGTTAGCTAGTCTTCTAGTCACTATATAATATGGCGTAGAAGAAAAATTATCTATAGGTGTTGCGAGCACACAGTCTACAATGGAGTATTTGCAACAATTCTCCATTTTCCCAGCCTTTTTCACTTTCCTCTTGTTCATCTTCATTCTACAAAGGAAACTCAAAACCTCCTCCGCAAAACTAGCCCCAGGGCCATGGAAGCTGCCAATAATAGGAAACATGCATCAACTCCTTGGCTTTCTGCCTCATCACCGCCTAAGAGATTTATCAAACAAATACGGCCCTGTAATGCATCTCCAGCTCGGCCAGGTTTCAAATATCGTCATTTCTTCCCCAGAAGCTGCCAAACAAGTAATGAAAACTCATGACATTGTTTTCGCTCAAAGGCCTTTTCTCCTCGCAGCGAATATTTTCATGTATAACTTCAAAGACATTGCTTTTGCTCCTTACGGAGAAGGTTGGCGACAGATGCGAAAAATTTGTACTCTTGAGCTATTAAGCACAAAACGGGTAAGATCATTTAGAGTAATCAGAGAAGAGGAGACATCAAAATTTATTAGATCCATCTTCAGTTTATCGAATGTTAATATTAGTAAGATGGTGTTTTCCTTATCAAACACCATTGCGTTAAGGTCTGCATTTGGCAGGTTTTGTGAACACCAAGACGCTTTCTTGCCACTTGTGCAAAAAATTGTCCAGATGTTAGAAGGTTTTAGTGTTGCTGATATTTTCCCTTCTGTTAAATTTCTTCATGGAATTACTGGGATGAGGAGTAAATTGGAGAAGTTGCATCAAGAAGCGGATATAATTCTTGAAAATATAATACATGAACATAGAGAAAATAAGAGATTAGGTAGCAGCAGTTCGCAAGGCAAAGAAGATGATCTTGTTGATGTTCTTCTGAATCTTCAAGATCAAGATAATCTTGAATTCCCTTTGACCACAGAAAATATAAAAGCAGTCATGCTGGTGAGTATAATTACACTTTTGTTTATAAGTCTGAGCTTTTATATAGGTTAATTATATAGTATTATCTTTCAGGACATTTTCTTAGCTGGAACCGAACCATCTGCTACAACAATAGACTGGGCAATGTCTGAAATGCTGAAAGATTCAAGAGTAATGAAAAAAGCACAAGATGAGATAAGACAGGTGTTTAATCAAAAAGAAAATATAGATGAAACAAGACTTGATGAATTGAAGTATCTAAAGTTAGTTATTAAAGAAACTTTAAGGTTACATCCTCCAGCTCCTTTGCTTCTTCCAAGAGAATGTCTAGAGACAGTGAAGATCGATGGATATCAAGTACCAATCAACACCAAAGTCATTGTTAACGCATGGGCGATTGGAAGAGATAGTCGTCACTGGACAGAAGCTGAGAAATTTTATCCAGAGAGATTTCAGAATAATTCTATTGATTTTAGAGGAAAGGACTTCGAACTTCTCCCGTTCGGTGCTGGAAGAAGGATGTGTCCTGGTATAGCATATGGAATGGCAGTTGTTGAGCTTGTGCTTGCAAATCTGTTATTCCATTTTGATTGGAAACTAGCAAATGGAATGGAACCACATCATTTAGACATGTCTGAATGTTTTGGAGCTTCAGCTAGGAGAAAAAATGAGCTGCACTTGATTCCCATTCCATACCACGTTTTACCTTCAAAGTAAGTTAAAGTGATTCAGAAAATGATATTAGATTTCTTTTGTTCAAATTGCTTATGAAGCATCCACTTCAACCCATGTGCCACAAATTTTAAATTGTTGGTTATCCTCCGACGAGAATCTCAATGCGCCCTTTTGTATCATGTAATGAATAAATTTTGCAGTATGATTAGTGGGTGGGTAGTCGCGATGTCCAAAGAATCAACACAGTAGTTCGAAATAAAAAAAAGTAATATTGTTCTTCACAACCAAACAATTAGCTTTTACTCTCAAATGCCCTTAGCGCTGTCCATTTTTCTCTTCAAGGAAAGTTGCCAGGAAAAAAGAAAAAAAAAAGATTTAATAGGGGCTTTTTTTTTTTTTTTCTTTTACTAGAGATATTATTAATAGAAGTAATTTAGTTGTATAGAACAGTAGTTATGAAATAGCGCATAAGAGTTGCATATGGGTTTACCATGGAATTTTATAAGCAGGGTTGGAGCATTATCAAACGACATTGTCAATTATTTTTCAGGAGTTTATTCAAATGGCAGGCTTACAGATGGGATCAAGTCGAGCTTGATTGTTTTAATTTCTTAAAAATCTCTCCTCGAGGCCAAAACGACGTTAGGGGAAAAATGGGTTTTGGGAATAAAAAAACTATTCATGTCCATCAAATTGTTGACTCGTTACCAGGCATCATTAACTGGCTATAAGAAATTATAATGTGACAAACACAAATGGCCTTTTAAGTTTCATTGTATAATTTATCTCAGGACAAAATTTGTACCTATGGCTCCTTATTTGACTACAAATGCACATTGAAAAACTTACAACCATCAAAACTCTTAACTACCAACTCCAAAGACCAGCGACAAGTCCCTCTTGTTGCAGAAAAGTTTTTCGATTGAAGATTTTGCTGTTTTAGTAATGCCTCTGCCTCCAAAACTCTGCTCTTTTGCAGTAATTAGATATTAGGAAATTATTATTATTATTATTTTTTTTTGTTTCATTTTTGCATGACTTTCGCTTTCTTCTTCACTGATTGAACCAAGGCCGAGAGTTCATGATTACCCATTTCTTTTGCATCTCTAGTTTGCAATTTTCCATTTTTCTTTTTCTTGCTATTAGAAGGCACTGAAAGTTGCTTGGATTTCATCTTCAGGGATTTTACCAACGATGATATCTCAAGCTTTTCTTTATTTGATGGTAAAACATCAGCATTCTCAGTTTTCTTCTTGTCTGGTTCATCAGATTGAGCTTCAGATTTTGTGGCTTGTTTCTCATGTTCTCCTCCTAGTTCTCGAAGGTCACCCTTTCGCTGCTTCTGTGCCATCTGTCTAGCATAAGCTGCAGATCTGCAATATCCGCACTCACAATTTGTAGTTATAATAGAAATGAAATATAAGAAACTTTTCTACATATTCCAATATTCTATTCTAGACGCTTCTAAGAAATTCAACACACTGGAATTACCTTTTGAACTGTGGATCTGTAGGATCCAATGCATAGAGAGGTGAAGTGAAGAGAGCTGAAAACCGATCATCATAATCAACCGTTGGTATTTTGTTCTCATCTGGAACTTCCTTTTTTCTTTTACCCTTTGCCTTTTTACGTTTCATATTATATCCCTTTGGACCAGTATCAGCCCCGTTCTCATCAGCTAGTAACAACTCAAGCTCTGCTCTACTTGCTTCTGCTTCCTTATCTGTATCCTGGAGTTGCTTTACTTCCTTTTTGCTCTTCACTTGAGCATCCTTCTTTCCTTTTTTAATTGAAGGTTCTTCAACAAAGAAGTCATCCGCTTCTTCTCTCATTTCATCATCACTATCGCTACTATCCTCCTCAGATGAATGCTTAGATCTCTTTCTTCGAGCCGCCTTCTTCTCACGTTTTTCCCTGAGAGTTGCTTCCCAAACGCTTTCTGATTTCTTATCCTTTCTTTCCAGAAGACGCTTGCTTAAACCTTCTAAGCCAGTGTGAAAAGTAATTTCCATATCCTGGCCTTCCTCTTCATTTTCCCCATCTGAACCATCACCAGCCTCGATTAAAGCACGATATTTATCTCGTTTTTTAATCTTCTTATCCACTTCACCCTCTGCAACATCATCATTTTCATCTTCATCACTTTCACTCTCATCAGAAGCTAAGAACTCCTTCAACTCCAAATCAGCCAGCTAAAAGCAAGCAAAATTAGCATCAGTATACGTGCAAAAAATATATAGCACCTTAATCTATTTTGTGTTTGCTTATGTGGTTATTTTTGCTTCTGCTTCTTGAAAACTGCACCCGTTTTGTTGCTGGGTAGTTATTTAGTTGATATTCCTAACTCCTACGTCTAGCAAATGCATAACATGTAATATTAGATAGAAGAATAAAAACACAAGATGTGTTTCATATTTTTCTTACAAGTATCGCATGAAGCATTTAATAACTAAGCAAGCAAGAAGATTCAAGGTTAGCCAGCAGAAACAAAGACCTTGCTTAAAATCCATCCCAGCTTTATGTACAACTAAAGTCTACATCCACAATTCTCACATGAACAAAAGACGGGATTTATAAACAATGGGAGGATGAGAAAATAAGAGATGTTATTAGACAAGGAGCTCTAGTTAGTGTCAAAACTCATAAACATGTCCAAATGGTGCGGCAGTTGCCCATAAGAATAGGAGGAAGCTCAAGTCAGTATATAAATTTCCACCTAAACATAATCGATAAAAAAATAAAATCCATGAAGTAGAGGAAGCAATAGAAGATTAGTGCAGTCGAATCTTATTCAGATCCCATCACAAGAAGATAAAGAATAAGCACCCCAAATTAATTTGACAGAAAAGCATCAAAAGTCAACAAGAATGAATGTTCATCTTGTTGTGGTTCATCAACCCCAAATTAATTTGACATACCTGATCAGCATTAAATTTTCGTTTCAAGGTCTTTACACGTTGTGGTTCATCTTCATCCCAAGAAATAGCAATATTACTGTGCTGCAGTGCTTTGGTATGGAAGTCCAATCCATCATAATTCGTGGGTGCCTGCGCAGAAATACGAAAATTTGTAGTCACTGACATTTCTTTAAACTGAAGTACCAAGAATCCCAAACAAGTTGAAACGATGGACAGAGGTTTTAACAGAAAAATCATAGAACACTGTATAACAAGTGAACCACATACCTCTTCAGCAATGTCACGAGGCGGATGTTTAAATTCCATAGAGTCGGGCACAAATCTAAGATCAAGCACATTGGAAGATCTTTCAAACTCAACTCCATCGCAAGCTTTGTACAAGTGTTCTGCTGTTGCAATAGAATCACATTCCACTACAGCATAGAAATACCTGAGGAGGAAGATGTGTCAATTCAAAAACAACAGAGGAAAAGGAAGCTGGAAGATGATAGTTACATGCCATGATGAGCATTCTGTGTCCAAAAGCAAACAAAAACTCGTGTAACTGAAAGCATGATACAGAGAAGATACTCAACTATAGACTCCAGGCCAAAACAAAAAGTGCCAAAGGGTCAAGCTAACATTTCTTTTGGCATCGAAATTTGGTGAAATAAAGGCCAACCAAAATCAAATCTAAAAGAACAAAATTTTATAAGCGACCACAAGAACCTGGCAATAGATGGCCAATCCCTATAGAATCTCTAGAATCCCATTCCCAATGAAGCACACAATTTGCACAACATATGAAACCACATAAAATGTGAAGAACTAACAGTTTTAACAAGAGAGACATGTAAAAAAGTGCATGAGAAGATGTGCACACCTCTCACAACTTTTTTACCCAGGTTCAGTTAGGCTTACTTAATTCTCTGCTTCATTGGATCTAATTCAACTTCCATATGCATATACAAAATCACTCGCAGGACAAGTTCTGCATATATCAAACACGAGCGCACTTGCATAATGTCCATCTCTACATACAAGTCACACCATAAAACAACGCACACATAAATTCTTGCAGGAATCAGCATTTGTTTTAAGCCCACTTGACATATTATGACAGAATGATCCATTATAAAATACCTCAAGCAGTAGTAAGACACAATCTACAACTATTAAACATGAAAGAACTGCAGAAACGGTGTAGAACCAATCACCTCAGCCTACTTTTCTCGTAAGCACGCAACTTCTCCTCATCAATCTCATCATCACCACTGTCATCATCTTTTTTCTCATTCTCATTGTCAAATAAGCCAACAGGGCCATGAAGTTCTTCCTCTTTCATACGCTCTAGACCAAATTCAGATGGATAGACAGCCACCGACTTAATAGCTCCTCTTTTTGGAAGAAATGAGGATAATACCACATACAAGTCACCAGCCTACATAATCCAACAGCACTTGAGTCAAGGGTACACGAGAAAGGCCTAGAAAATAATAAAGAAATCTACAAACAGAAGATAATGCAAACTGATGCACATAACTCAAGCCTCAGCTCAACCTTGCATGGTCTCATTCAGTACAGGACCAGTTATATGCCACTCCTTTCTTTTAAAAAGTAAAACTGCATAACTGGGAAAAAAATTTTTGATTTAATGAAAATAAAAAACTTGTTTCACTGATCACAATCTTACCATTGCTGATCAGGGAAACAAGAAAATAGAAATTATTGAATGTGTAATGAACAAGAACCATTTAATCGTGAATGATAAAACATGGGGATGGATCTGCAAATAAAAAGATGAATACTTCTTTTTCAAGACAGTTGATGCATGCTTACATGCTAATGCATATAAACTAAGCAAACCTGTACACTATGAAAGTCTGCACACTATGAAAGTGAAATGTAGCAGCACCATGCTGTAAAAGAGGAGCCACCATAAAATGACTTCCAGTAATATGGTGGCAATATCACCCACCAGCAAACAGGGGATTACCCAGCCCGGCAAATGGTAGCAGTGCTGGTAAGGATCTAGGTCACCCATCCCACTGCACCATGATCGTTAGAAATACAGTTTCCTATCGTATTTTGACTCACATAGCATCTAATTTACTCGGAAACATACTATTTATATCTATATGGTTTCTTCTTCCTTAATAATAGCATTCAATATTTAATATAAATGCTTAAATCGTTTAACGGCAATATATAATAATTTTCAGTAAGTTTAAAATTATTAAAAAAAGTCATGTTTTGAGTAAAAACTTTTAAGAAATAACCTTTAAACAGGGAATTCAGTCCATTGCTATTCTTAACTTCCAAAATGCCAGCATATGTGTTTTACTAATTTCACATCTACACATTTATGGCGCCTATACAAATCTAAGAATTAATTTGGTGCCTAAGCAAAATGATTAAACACACATTCAACCCATGAACTTTTTGCTGACAAATATGTGAAATGTAATCGTACACATATTTACGCTTATTTGCTTCATAACACACTATATTCTCCATTCCAATAACTTACCCTTACATGCCTCCAGTCCATATTAACAACCGCAAGCCTGCGGGTTCCATCTTCAATTGTTGGTATATTTTCCACCTGTTAGATACAGCAATACAATCAATCAAAACAAAATTCATCATCGAGATTTCAACACGTGCAATGGACCATCTTAGTTCATAGAGTCCAAAAGGCTGGAAAAATTTAGCTTGAATATAACAGTAATTACATTAGACCTCAAAGCATACCTCTACCTCGGGCACATCTTCCTCGTAAAACATCTCCTCATCCTCTTCATCAGTAGTCGACTCCTCGTCATCTTCGGATTCCGACGCCTCCGACTGACTACTTAGCTCTTTTTCATCTGCCTCTTCCTCCTCCTCCTCCTCAGCCGCCGCTGCAGCCGCTCGACCCAATTTCCCTAATTCCTCACTCTCACTCTCATCTTCCACTTCCTCTTCACTGTCGTCCTCCTCATAGCTCACGTGCTTCTTATCCTTGTCCACCTCTTTTCTTTCTTCTTCTTCGATTCGGTAATAATGGCGCAAAGCATTTTCCGTTTTATTCTTCTTGACCTTACCTCGCTTGTCTAACGGCGCAGCAGATGACTGAAAGTTTTTATCGGTGAACATGCGGCTGAAGCGAGAATCGATCGCGACTTTCGATTTGAGCATTGAAACTTTCTGAAACCGAGGGTCGTAGTGCACAGATACGAATCGAGGGTCAGCGATAACCTTCCTTCCTCCGCCACCACTTCCGGCCCCGCCTCCTTCATGGTGGTTTTCTTCAGCATCTAAATCTCTATTTGGTTTATTCTTCCTCTTCTTATTGTGATAATCTGCATTTTTGGAGCCCATTGCTAAGGGTAAAAAATGCAAAGAAATTTCGGGGCTTCTTGTTCTTATTATTAGGGTTTAACGACTAAAATCCAGGTTGGCCGCTGGTCGTGTAGCCGCTGTAATTGCCCTATCTCAATCAAAATTCTAAACCCGTTTAAAATTACAAATATATTATCCGAAATCATACCAAACCCGTTTACCCGAAACCCGTATAAGTATGTCTTAACGATCAGAATACTCATAACCAAATACCCGAACTCGTATATATATCCATTTTAATATCTGAAATTATATAAAAAAATAATATATAAATTTCAATTAAATCTATATAGCATATGTCAATGGGATAACTCAAAGTACTTATAGAGTTAATCATCATAATTTGAGTCATGGGTTTGGTAATCTCTGCTTTTCTAAATTATTTTACTTAAATATTTTATCCATCAAAAAAATTTAATTGTCTTTATAGTTTATAATTCCTCGTCAAATTCATGATTTTTTTTTTTTATTTTTTATTTTTTTTGCTTTTCTCCTTGTTTAGCTTTGTATTCTTACTTGCATTCTCCCGTGCTGTACTAGGATTACAGTACCATGAAATCTAACCAAAATCCAATCTTGAGTTTTTTATACCAACATCACAAGGAGCTCCTTCACATTTTGGGTTTAGGCATATTGAAATTGTTTCCTAACTTGATAAACCCACTTCCTAATTCCTTGGAGGAATTAGGCTAGCAAGGAAGATCCAATCTCCATCTATTCTTTTTCTTTGGAAAAAATCGAAAAGAGAGTGTAAAGAGAATACTAATATATTACGTTATCAATTCAATGCAGATTACATGTTATTTGGTTGGTTTAGCAAACCAAATTGAATTAGTTGGGTAAGTTTTTTGGGACCTATTTCAACCCTAATATAGGAATTGACCTTTTTTTTAGTACAAGCAAGAGGTTTAATTTTAATTCTTCTTAAAAGAATAATATTTATAGGGATGGATCTTATATTCTCAAGTTCAAATTTATATTACTTCAGAGTCACTTGTAAATAAATTGAAATTGATAATAAATAAACTAGCAATTTTGATTGAATATAACATATCTAAAGCCTTTATTTGAGAAATCTGAAGAAACTGAAATAAATTAAGCTAATAAAGCTAAGCTAATGCTTCCTGACAACGCCCAGCTTCAGCTTCAGTTTGGTGGTGGGAAGAAAATCTCATCAGAAGTTCTCTTAGAGCGGAATAGCTTCTCAACATCAGAAGGAACCTTGAAAGATGCCTCTAAAACTTGAGGTGACAATGCCTTCCACACTGAAGTCCTACCAGCCAAATGAGTGAAAATAGGGCTGCAATGATCAACCATAACCAACGGTCAAATATCTGAGGATTAATTCAAATTCAAAATTACAACAAACATAAGCAACAATGGACAGAAAAACTCACTTGGGAGTAGTGATTATAGAGAACCAATCCATGCCATCAGGATCACAAATCTTGGAAACAACATAAAACCTTGGAACAATGAACAGATTACCGGTCTTCACAGTAGTTTCCAAGACTCTCCGGCCATCAACACCCACAACCTGAACCCGGCCACTGCCTCTAACAATGTAAGTAACCTGCAAAGCCGAGTCACAGGAAAATCCAGGCGAGCACATAGCACCGCCGTCCAGCCTTACAAGATCAGCACCAAGACCAACCTCAGCAACTAAAGGAAGGTTCTTTGTGTTCAAGACAACAACCCTTCCGCCATTTTTAATATCAACATCTAATGGAGCTTCCTCACAGTTATATACAAACCCGGTACGATGTTCCTTTTTAGGTTCAGGCATCTTGAAAGATGGTTCGAGCTTGACAATTCCCTTGCCTGATTGGTTTCCAATCAGGGCATTCACAGTTTTGTCATCTAGATCCCATGCTCGACTTACAAATTCAGAAGAGAAGCCAGTGAATATTCCATTAGTACCAGTTAAAAAGAAATCTGTAAATTCACCAGCTTTGTGGCCTTTTGAGGTATCTCCTAAAAGGAGAACAACTAATTCAGTGTCTTCTTTGTTGTACCACCATGTAACAACTCCAAATGGAAGGGCTATAGCATCTCCCTTCTTTATTGCAATTACTTTCTCCTCCTTCTCAGGGAGAACAATTCCAGCCACGCCGTTCCCTTACAAACAAAATTTATTTTAATTTTAGAGACACATCTCCAACGCAACAAAACAATTTTACAATTGAAATACTCACAGAGATTGCCATATAAGAAATTCCTAGAACAAAAGAAAGATTACCTTGGAGAACATAAGCAACCTTAGCAGAATCAGAGTAACGAGGAAGAGCAAAGCCATCCTTTTCGAGAGCAAGTTTAGCTGCTCCAATATTCCCTTCACGTAGCATGGCAAGCTCTGATGGACACCAGGCAAGGTAAGACCCACCATCTCCACCGTACACTTTGGTGGGCAATCTTGGGGAAAGATCAATCTCCATTTTCATGCTGTCGAGAAAGAAAGAAAAATACTAAAACAACAAAGAGAGCAGAGACAGAGAGAACTTTTCTTTTTTGGCTTCCTTTTGAAATTGCAATGAAGAATCAAACAAAAGGAGTCCAATTTATAGAGCTAAAAAAAAGATTTTAGATAGAGATAAAAAGTTTAAGATAAAATCCTAATCAGATTCGGCTAGATTTGCCAAATTATACCCAACAGCAAACACCCTATCTGATAGTTCACAAAGAGCTATTCAAAGTTCAAACTCTGATAAATATTTATAAATAATAATTAATTACAACACTTAAAATTATAACTGAAAATATAATGAATATTATTTGAATGTATTATTGTTTTTTTGAATGAAGGATATTTATTTGGACATAAAAAATGAAAATGTAATTAAAAATATTGATCCGTTTGTTGTTATTACTTTTGGTATTAGTTTCTCAAATATAAAAGAAATATTCATTTTGTTATTTGGTGTATTAAAATAAAAAAGGAATTAATTAAAATTGAAAATAATAATGATAATGTTGCTTGTTACTTTTATCAATTTCGATATCCAAGGATCATATTTTTAGCTTATAACATAATTTTTTAATTATTTTAAATTTTCAGTAATAAAAACTTCAATCACATTGCTAAAAAAAAGTCTGAACTGAATTATAAGTTTTGAAAAAAAAAAGGATTATATATGATATAATTTTTTTTAATAGATGCATATAATGGAATATAAATTAAAGCCTAAAAAATAAATAAAAAATATACATATATACTCACTAATATAAGAAGACCAAGCGTCGTTTACTTATTAGCTCCCCCCCCAAAAAAAAAAATCCAACATATATTCCACTTTTCTTTTTTTGCATTATAGTTAATCCATAAATTGTATACTATATCCTTATTAAATTTTATCTTATTTTCAATAATCTTCATTGATTCTTATTTATTATTTAAGATGAGCATAATAGAAAAATTACATGAATAAAATTATTTTTTATTTAAAATAATTGTTATTTCTTAATCTATATAGAAAGTGGACTATCTTTTTGAGACAAAGGAGTACGAGTTTAGTTTTAACTCTGATTAGTTGCCTCTCTTCTAAGTCTGAACATTCTCATAGAACCTTAGGAAGACGAAAGAAGTCCAAGAACATAACAAAGAAGAAGAAAATCTACAAGATATATTAGTTTAATTTTTAAATTAATACATGGTACTTTGAAGTGTGAAAAAATAGAGACCCATTTGATGAGCAAAAAAATATACAGGAATGATGACAACAAACTTGTAATTTTGGGGTTGACTGGTGGCATTTGGAGATAGATAACAGAGTTTAATGAATCTCCAACGTACAATTTTGTACATAGAGAAGATTTACGTTAATACTTTTTGTCAGCAAATGTTAATGACCGGCATCGCCTCAGAGACTTGGCGTGTTGTCCTTGATTCTGCATGCTTCACTCCCAAACTTCATTGAATAAGTTCCGGCTATGAAATCAGGTCGAGGGTGTCCTTGATTGCTGCTTCCCATGCTCAAATGGGATCTGAGCAGCATAAAATATAAGACTATAATGTTTTCATATTTTCAAAAAAGATTACCAACAATCTCCATTAAATCAAACACTAATCCCTTGTTCGAATAAACAATCAAAATACTGAGCCGAGGAAGTTCTCAAACAAATTTTGTCCAACTTAATCCAGCAAAAAAAAAAGGTTAAGATTTTGGTAAAAACATTCCATAAGCACACAGTTTCATGGGCCAAAACTTTATTATACTAGTAGTCATTCTTAATGCTGATGCTTGTTCCCTAGTTAACATCAATACGATATGTCAAGTAGTTGAACTGCATGCAATCATACGAATTACTTGCTCATTAATCTTTGCTTAATTGTTGAATAAGGCTAAAACATTAAGTTTGGTCCAGTCTCCAAAAACATAGGTTAGAAGCAAGATACCTGTTATTTTGTTTTCAGGATGAATATCAACATGCCTTGTTAATAATTTGAATGAATTGATTGATGTTCTTTGTTAATAACTTGAATGAATACAATGCCTTGAAAACATTCTTGAATGCCATGAAATAACTGCTTAGAATAAAATGCCTAAATTATATTTGAATGTCATTGAATAAAATGCCTAAATTTTAGCTTAATTGTCAAATAGTAACCTTAAAGACCTCAAATTCTTACTTGGTTCCTTGGACTTAATCGACATCTATTAAAGTTCCGATTACACCTAAGGTATAAAAACACCAAAAATCTGAATTTTAACCAAATTCAACCTTGTTGGATTTAAAAGCACATAACAAATCAACAGAAAAAGCCCAATCTCTCACGTAAAAACAGCAGATTAAAAACTCCATGCATGTTTTGATTCTCCTTTCAAAAAAGTGTTAATTATTGACTATTTTAAATTGGAACATATAGGTAAAGTTTGAAACTCTCCAACTTTCTTAAAGTTCTCACAGCTGAAGATACATTCTCCACTCACATCACTTTCTTAGCAAGTAAAATTCATAAATTCGCTATTCATTCCTGGCGATACAAAGCCAATTAAACATCACGTCTATAGTCTTCCTAAACCTACAGAACCGAGATTCATGAGGGAAAAATATAATCGAAAATGGAGTCAGATAAATTAGTTTTTGCTGGAATCATATACTTGACCAATGCACTATGTGATTGACTTGAAATATTCGAAGGATATTCAGAGGAGATAAATGATAGCATTCCAAAAGAAACTTAATTTACTGCATGATGAACATTCATTCCATGTCCACATAAATCTAATTTTACGTACATCAGCATTTAACAAATAACATATGTATTTTTCTTCAATGTAAATTGACCAACACATCCAGACACCATTCATATAGGAACTGAGTTATGGAAAAACAAAATAAACAAAGTTTCATCCCCTAGGGCCTAAGGTATAAGAGAAACGACAAAAGCAACAAAAAAGAAAATGCTTAAAGAGTACAGAGTATTCATAAGTACCTTGTAAAGTCTCCAGTAGCATCAATACCCAATGTAGCTGGGATCCCCAACATACTCTGCAATTTGTTCAAGCTTAACATTGAGCAATTCTTGTGTATCAGAATCCTGCACAACACCAGTTTCTTCATCCAAATCCCTTTTAACTAAATTCCCATACGCCCCTTTATATTTGCCATATAGAACAAGTACAGGACCCCCACGACGAGGCAATGCAGTCTCAAGAAGATCCTGATCCACTCCTTGTACCAACTCCTTGGTCTCATCCATGGATATATCACACACATACGGACCAACAACATCCACCACCTCTCCTTTCTTCAAATAAAATCTGCCTCCTTTCAAGTCTTTACTTATAATCCTAACCCGAATGTGATTCCTCAGCCACCGCTGTCTGTCATCTTTCACTTGACCACTCTCTCTTCTAATACTCTTTTCATTGTCCCTATTCTTTGTTGGCTTGGTTTCTATCTTTAAAGCCTTTAACTTTCTCAAGCACTTCTCCTCTTCTTTAGACCCCAAATCAGCAATGTCAGAAACAGACACTTTCACCTCCTTACTTTCTCCAACCTTCAAAACAACCCAATCATCATTTACCCTCTTCAAAATCCTGCCCTTTAAGCCAAAAACATCTCTTCCGCCAGAAATCACTCTCACATCTTTACCAAGAAAGAAACCATCTTTACCATCATTATTAGCATCCCGATGTTCTTCTCTTTTCCTCTCCTTTTGCTTGTCTTTATCCTTAACACTTTTATTAGCATCATCAAAACCGGTAGCAACAAATCCTAACCCTTCTTTTGCAGTTCTTTTCTTGTATTCTTTCACTTTAACATCTTCCTTCGCGTTTCTACCAATACCTCTACCTTCCTTCCAACCATACCCGGCAAGCAAAGCCGCACCAAACCCTTCAACAGGCACATCTTTAAACTCCTCAAACCCACGATCCTCCGGCAACCGTTGTAGATCATACTTCAACTTCTCCAACAGCATATTCTCAGTATTCTCCACCTTCCGCTCAGCTCGCAAACCTCCATCTTCACCATCGCCGCCGCTCTGCTGGCGGATACTGAGACCGTAAGGAATACTCTTGTCGTCACCGCCGTCAAGACCACCAGTGGAAATCTCGAATTGGGGGCCATCAGAGTCCGACTTTAGAGAAGGAAGAAGGTCCAGGTTCTTCATTCGTTTGTGAGGACGCCATTCATTCTCCTTTGGAGGGATAATGTATTTGGGTTTAGAATTTAGGTTTAGGGTTTCAGATGGATCAAATTGGGTGACGAATTGTTTGACAGTGCCATTACCGTTGTTTTGTGTTGTAAAATCAATTTCAGAAGAGGTTAAGGGTTTAGGTTTGGGCGTTGATTTGGACGATGATTTTGGAATTGAGAAAGAGAGTTTCATTGTCGATTGAATTTTTTGACGGTGAGTTATTTTGCTTCAGTGTGCCGCTGGTGGCTTATAGAACCAGACCACCGTAAGAATGGAAGGAAATGTCTCCTTTTTATTTTATTTGATGAATCAATTTTACATTTTTACTATGAATAAAGAAGTATAATTTGATGCTCAATTTATCAAATTTGCAATGTAAATTTTAATTTAAAAGAAAATCTACTTCACAACAAATTAAATCTAATTTTAATTGAAATAATAAAATTTAAATTGAATTTATATATATATATTATGTTCGTTTACCAACAAAATTAGTTTTTTTACTGAAAATTATTATCAAAATCAATGGGAAAGCTCTTTTTTTTTTGTTTTTTAAGAAATTCATTGAAAATAGCACATCAAGATATAGTCTAACGGTAAATGTATATACGATATTAGAACACCAAAGTTTGAATTCACCTCTCAAATACTCAAAAAAATTCATGCAAATCAAACATTATTCCTTTTCAATATCTTTATGATTAAACATGTCCAATCTGCTTTTAAAATAATTTAATTACTCTCCGTTACTAAGTTTAATGTGTTATTTCAGACACTTCAATGAACTTCAATTCAATTTTCTACTAATCATACTGCGAGCATATGTTTGAAATGTTACATATATATCATATTTGCAGCGTTTACAAGAGATAATAATTTCTAAAGAATGTTGCTAGTGTTAAACAATAGCAGTTGTACATGAATCTGAGATTAAAAAAAAAAAAATTCATTTTCTATTTAAAATAGAGCTCCAAAAGCTTCTTCAAAGTGTCAAACACACTTGTAAATGGGTTAAATTCAACAGGTGCCTTTAATCCTAGGTCAGGGAATTGGTTTGTTAATGCCTGTTGCATCCCAGACATGGACATCATTGCAGCTAACTGGCTATTAGACATCACTTCACAGTCTTGTGGGGTGTCCTTGATTTTGCTTGGATCATACCCGAAGTTCGCCAAATAAGCCTTGTATTTCTCTATAAACTCAGCTCCAGGGTCAGGCCGCCTTGAATAAATCTGAAACAATTATCCCAACACACATTAGACTCTAGGCGTGGCTGCTGCATCCCTGAGTTCAAATGTAAAACAAGCAGAAAATACAATCTCAAAGTTCTTCTGATGCACTTTTTGTTTTAACTGAATGTTGTTATGCTTCAAGAACCATGTAATTTGGATGATCAATATTATCCCAGAGAGTGCCTAGCAATATGTTCTTCCAAAGTTGTGATTACCTGAACAAAACTTTTGTCCTTGGCTCCAGAGACAAGAGCAAAGTTGTCATAGTCAGTAGCAATCACATCGTAAGGCTCCTTGGGGATAAATGGTAATGTTGGAAACCTCAGGTAACACTTTTCTTTGATCATCTCTTGCCTTTCTAGCTCAGTCTCTTTCTTCTCCAACTCTTCTTCTGACAAGCATTGGACTTTTCCTCGTATACCAGTAATATATCCATCAGGGCCACCATGAACACAAAAGGTGTCAACCTGAATAGCTGGGGCTTGCATATCAAATGTGTACACTCCCTGAAAGTTATAATTAACACATAATTAGACAGGGATAGACAGAAGCGTTCTTTTTTTTTTCACATTCCCTACAGAAGACCAATCTGTGAAGTGTGAACGCTGCCTATAGCCCAATACATCTAAAACAAACTCCAGTATGCACATAATTGTCTGCAACTGCCTATCACACGGTTTGGAAACTTTGAGGCCAAGTGTATAATATTATAAGTGAAATTAGGTTTCATTTCGGCAAGTGAAGCAGTTTGAAGAGGATGAAAATCTTTTATGAAGGGCTTACAAAAGCAAATACCACATGTAGCCCTTGAATTTACCTGAGTACAATGACAGTCTTCTTGACCTTGTCCTGCAAATCCACGTTTGAGAGAAGCTACTTCAAACCACCTTCCAGAATATCTGACTGGGTCAAAATCCTTAGCCGTCATACCTCTCATCATCATAAGCTTCCCATTTCTTTCATCAGAGCTCTCATCAAGTGGAAAGGTTACTTTATTATCTGCAGCACTTGCAAGCTGGCAGATAGCATGGGAATATTGAGATATTTCTGCTGCAAGAACCTGCCAACAAAAACCGACTGCTCTCAGATAGGGATCATGCTTATCATCAAGATATGCACAATTCACAGCAGTGTCTTTTATCCTATTGAGTTCAGGATGCCACAAAAGAAATCTAATGTTTAATGAGATTTCTCATTACACTTTTCCTTGTCAACCTATCTCAAGTCCACCACAAAGGAAGCGTTTAAAAAAGCAGGTTGTAAAAGCAAACTTTTGAGAAGAAAGGAAAAGATCAGCCACATGTAAACATGACATTTAAGAGTTCATGCTTATAATTGACTTACTATGCATTGCTCACTGCAATATTCTTGTATCCTCTGAATCCAGTGACGCTATATGGAAATCTAATTTTGGATGAGATTTATTCAATAATTTTTTTCTATGGAATCAAAATATTGCAGGTCTACAGAGTAATGTATTTAAAAAACAGGCTTGAACCTAACTTTTGGGAAGAAACAAAGGAAAAGGTCAATAGGTAGTGAACTACTATTTAAGAGCACACAACATAAATTTGTTTTCTGCAAACTTCTGAGCTTCTGATATAGAGTAAAGTTATGAAATAAATGCTAAACTATCTTACCCTCTGGCTACTATTAAATTAAGCATTTCACCTCTATAAGCTTATATTAGGTCTTCCAATACTCTATGTTCTTCAGATGAAATGCTTCATTCACAATGTGTGTCCCTAGCAGATCAGAAATATATGTTTCTTATCAATTTAGGACTTCAAATCATTGAAAAATGCAAAGGTAAACCATATAGTGCAAAAGAAAATATAAACTAACCTGATTTGTTGGGGAAAGAAAAATTAATGATGCTGCAAAACCAGATAGTACATTTCTAAGCACATACTTGTTCCAGGTGGGATTTTCAAGTGAGCATTTTGACACCATTTTTCCAGGCATCCCCCTGTGAAAGGAAGAAAAACAAATTGAGAAATTAGGAACCTAATATTCTAGGAAATATGAGAAGAACAACAGTGGAATCGCATATATTAGGAAATATGAGCGGAACAAGAAGAAAACTATGACTGGTTAAGTATTACGCACCAAGGGACATGAATAAGGGGCATGCAGAACAATGAAGAGAATGACACAGAATAGGCAAATAAAAGTGAGGAGATTTAAAGATAAATCAATTTCTAACTGATTAACAATCGTAAATTGTATAAAGTGCAACCACAGCAACTAACTAAAGTAAAAAATATATACAGAACTATTCAGAAGAAGTAGTTGATTGCAATAAAGATGATTTCAGGGTTTCAAAAGAATAGAAGATATCAGCAAAATCCATTTTGCAGCATATTCCTTCAGTTGGAGCTATTTTAGACAATCCATCAAAGACACAGAAAGCATAATGTTTTCCTCAGCTATCTTAGACTCAGTGAAAAGTAAGTTGTTAGCAGTTGTATGCCAAACTGAGAGCACATCTAGTTCTTTGAAAAATGTCTCTTGTGCAACTTTTTGGTCAATGCTGATTATATCTAATCATGTTGGAGATTTTTTGCAAGTCATCTTTTAAATTTTTACAGGTCTCTTGGTCAAGAAAAATAGCAAGGCCAACCAATAGAGCTCCATTGCTATAGCTTTAGACTACTTCTAAATTTTAATTCTTCAATTTGAGGAGCATCTGCTTCTAGAGACTCAACTATGGCTTCTCTTGACAATATGTTAGATAAGCTAGTGGTAGCTTGTATATTCTCCAAGTATTCCAACATACGGTTGAGCATGTCCTATAAAGATGAGCAATTAGAAATGGGATAAGCAATACTCCAATAAAATTGTTCAAATATGAACCTAGAGGCAGAGAACTTTCTTCAAGAATGATTGATAGTCGTTTGGAGCTAGTTTTGCCAATTACACCTTCTTATGGTTCAGAGCAGTTTGGCCTTTGGTTATCTTTTGGTCAAACTGCCTGATTCCGCTTTTGTTCAATCTCTGAAAAGGTTAGGCCTTTTTTAGCAAGCTTCATTTTGAGCTTGCTCATGACAAATCCATTCCTTGACATTGAGCTTGATTCCTACATTTTGATGGTCATTAGACATCAAAGACTTTGAAACTGTCGTATATAGTACCCCAAAAGTGTTCAGAAAGCGAAAAATAGATGAGTTTCTACTTGAATGCATACAGAATACAAGAGGGAAGTTTCAAAAACACCAGAAAATTCAAGGGATCTGCCAGAATCTTCAAGCACTCCCTAGAACTCTTTAACTTAGGCAATTTGACAGTATTTGGAAACAAGGATTTCGATAGGTAGAGTGAAAACGTGTTTACCTGGGGTGGTTGTAAACAAGAAACTCTTATGTAACTAAAAGATTTAAGCAAGAAGTGCAAAGGTAGCTCTTTAATGGCCAACGTGTAACTCCACGCTTTTCAAGAATGTGGATTGTACTATATTCGCCCGCTTCAAGAATCGGCTGCATTTTGATCTTTAGTATCCCTTTTACAAAGAATTTTCCACCTTTTCACAAACTAATGCCAATATCCACCATACCTAATTGCACAATTATTTACCCCCACTTTCTCCGCAACCAAACAAGATTAATTAATGGCAACTCAACCAAAACTCAAAAGGCAATAAATTTTCAAGAAAAAGCATGTCCATATACACGCATCAATCAAATAGATAAGTCCAGTTCATAGCTACAAAAAAGAATTCAACACAAAATGAATTACAAAGAGAAAAAGCCGCAACAAAAAGTGGATAGATGGGTATAAGAATTTGGTAACAGTACCTGGAGATCATAGGAGGATAAGAGGAGCAACATTGAAGCAGAGATGGTGATGTTTGATGATTCATAAAATTCATAGCATTTACCATTTCTTTCTCGTAAATTAATATATCACTATTTTTAAAGCTTCTTTTTGTTTTTCTTTATCTTTATGAGATACATGCAGTTTTTATGAGTCTAGCAACGTCCATTGATCACTCGTTAGTTCGGTGATTCGTCCCTTTCAGATAAAACCCCACTTCTGGAAATACCAGTTAAACGACACCGTCAGTTCATAAACTATAACACCGGGTTTTTTTTGTAAGGGGAAAAAAAACACCTCTCAAGCTAACACATACCTCCTCATATCCAAGAACTAACCAACGCTTCCTAAATTAATTTAAACTATTGATTTTATTTTATTAATTAACTTAAATTTCACAAAGAAAATTACAAATTGGTTAATGATTATAATTAATTTAGATCTCAAAACAAAAATTAAAAATTGGTTATTAAGGACGATATTGGTTAAAATAAAATCTTAAAACATTTACTAATTAAATTACAACAATTACAGTCTCGGTTCCAAACTAGTTGGAATCAGCAATATGTAAATTAATCAAAATAAAATCATAAATTCAGTACCACAATCAATTATTTATAGTCATCAATCAAATTTCAATGTTACATGTACTGCCCTTAATTGCAGTATCCATAAATGGCGGATGGAAAGAGTAAAAATTTCATTTTGTTAAGCTTGGATGGTTCATCTAGCTGCATGTTTTGTTCTGAATCACACTGTAAAACGACGAGTCGTATTTAATCTCAAATAAAAATAAATAAATAAATAAATAAACAAACCCTATTAGTAAATCTGAATTAGTTCGAAGCAAAACTTTGGCATTGTTTTTCCAATTGCATAGCAGTTACATGTGTGTAGGAAGTGAAAAGACAAAGTACTAGATATAAATGACATCTTTAGGATTTCCAAAAAACCATCAGAACAGACTATCTTTAAGGTTTCCCCCAGTGAGCAAATTGAAAAACGAATCTTCTTTGTTGCTACTGTCCTTTTCATCTTCCTCAAAATGAAGATCTGTTACACTTGCAGTAGAGGCTGTGGGTCTTTTAACTGAGATAAATGCCGCTTCTGAGGTTGCAGGTCTTTTAATCGAGATAAATCCCACAGATTTTGCAACAGACTTTGGTGTCAAAGTTTTTGCGGTTGAAGGTGAAGTTGAGGTTGAAAGCAGGCTGCCTTCTGGAGGGAGTTTTTCTTCTGTAGTTCCCCCATCAGCTGGATTATGTCTCAGTTCAACGTCAACACCACCTTCAACCTCCATCCTGTTCTCATTTTCTATAGAAGGTTCAGCAAATAAATCCTTCTTATCTTCTTTGATACAAGGAATACGACCTTCTTCAACAGTGCAATCCTCTTTCAAGTTCTCAGTGTCAGAATCATCTTGTACAAAGAACAATAGTAACCTTAAGTTATAGCGCCAAAATCAGAAGGCAGCATAAAAGAATTAGTAAAAAGAAAATAGTGGAGATTGTAGCACAGTGAGATGCTGAGATTACGATGAAGTATGGTAAAAATGAGTGCTAAAACATATGGAGATGGCGTGAAAAATGAAATTCGGAAGTTTTAACAGAAAGCAGATACAAGACTGCAAATAAATCAGTTTAGGCAGATATATCAAAACAAACAATGCCTAAAGTGGAAAATAGAAAGCAGATATTCTCACCTCCAAGAAACGACTCAATACTCTTATACAGAAGAGCGGATGTTTTAACAGAAGCGTTTCCAAGATCCACATCTTGAGCTTCTGTGTTACTTTTATGTGTTCTCTCAAGCAATATGAATTTATCTCTCTTCCATAAACACTCTAAAGTGACAAATTCCTTGTTTGATGGATAGTACTCCCTAAAAACCTGCATCATAATTAAAGGGAAAAATCAGAAACTAAGATTTAAGCAAAAGGGTAGTAAAAACGGTTTTAAAATATAAGGATTTCAAAGCACATAGGAGGTCGACCAACCTCAATTCCTTCCTGAGTTATTTTTACTGATTGCTTCTTTTGGGAGAGAGAAGAGACCATGTTGAATACTGAAACAACGTCAAATAATATCTGCAGAGAAAAACAAAATAGAAAAACAAAATGGGTGTCTCAATCAAAACAACCAGCATAATTTCATACTTGCAGCAATCATCCAGATATACAGATGCTGCCATCATTTGAAACATGACAAACTTCCAAGTATTAAACAACTCTTATTTGCGCATGCTTTTAGTATCTGTCCCATATATCAATTGTTCCACTTCAAGTCATCCATTGAAGTGTGACCCTTTCACATTAACCCCATGTCTTCTCAGGTAACTTTGCTTCCACCACAGTGTAACAGTCTAAGAAAATAGGTATTACTTACTTGCTGAACCAAAACTCTAAGGCGCGCTAGTAGAGCCAGAGTTGTCACAGAAAATCCCATGAAAAAAGAACGTGCAAGCAAAGTAGATACCTCACTGTAGAATTGTCAAGGAACTCGTACAAATGAAAAAGAAGAACCAAGCAGCATGGTCTTTCAAATAATTGCCTTGATATAAAAACAAAATATAATAATATAAAAAAAACTCTAAGGCGCGCTAGTAGAGCCAGAGTTGTCACAGAAAATCCCATGAAAAAAGAACGTGCAAGCAAAGTAGATACCTCACTGTAGAATTGTCAAGGAACTCGTACAAATGAAAAAGAAGAACCAAGCAGCATGGTCTTTCAAATAATTGCCTTGATATAAAAACAAAATATAATAATATAAAAAAAGATCTCCACCAAATGACAATGAAAATACAAAAGCCAGTCAAACTAGAAAATGAAATTTGCAGCTTCTTCAAAATACAGGGAAGAAAAAGATGACCATTAGAACCTAAAAATTCCAAAGATGAAGCAGAAAGCAGAAAAACCCAACTGTCTATGAAATAGCAATCAAGGCCTTTTTGAATCCCATAGCTTTAAAGTCTGACAAATTAAAAAGTTGGGAGGGAATAAACAGGCAAGACTCGCAAAGTGTGTATTACTCAGAGCATGCAATATCTCAAATTCGAAAGAGAAACTTTGGCTGCAAAAGGCACCACCATTAACAAACGTATGCTTTGATAAAGGTTTCTTGTGTATATGTAAAATAAGTCATTTATGACTATTGGGTAACTAAGACGACTCCATAAACGAACAAAATCCAATTTATCAATTGAAGTAAAAGAACACATTTAGGATGGTGCATAAAAATTTCAAATTCACAAGGCAAGCAAAAAAATAAATAAATAAACCATCAAATACGTAGGAAGAAATCTAAAAATTATCAGTAAAAGAAAAGTTGTTACAAATTAGCCAACAATGTTACTAAAGAATAAGGATACGTAGCTGCCTTCAGCATTGGCTCAACCATCTGCAACCACAAACAAAAGCTAGTTACTTAAGTTCATCACCATTGTTGTATGTATGGTTAATTGTTTTAAGAGTTCTTCAAAAAATTTTTGCTAGTATATTAGCAGGTTGTTATAATAAGTTAGACAGAAAAGATGTGCAATCATAAGAAGGCAAAAGGAAAATTGTACCTGCGATAGTAAGCGTGCAGCTCCTAGAACTCTATCCATAAAATTAGGCATTCTACCATCACATTTTCCCCACTTCAAACTGAAAAAAAAAATTTTAAAAAAAAAAATCAACCATATTGAAGAAAACTGAAGGAGATAATCCTGTTCCATAACAACTGTTTCTGACTACCAAGACTAACTACCATAATATTATAAATGCAACGAATTTATAAAATCAAACAGTTGTATATCCACTGATTTCAGAATTAGATACACATGACATTATTCTACAACTAGAAACATTAGCAAATGTTTGTTTAGCTTAACAACATTCTCTATGTGTCATTCCGTTCCCATCTAAAAAATAAAAAACCTCATATACTATTGTGCTTTATATCCCTGCGTGCAGTAAGCTAATGCAACAGATTCAATTAATCTACAAAATGGCCAAATAAATATTTGAACTGTAAAAGTATACCTTTCTAAAAGATGCACCTTTTGTTTAGGTTTCTTTCCAGTGATAACATGAAAGCAGGAAGTCAGTAGCTCCTCCAACTTAGCTGATTGCAAAAGCCTCAAATCCCTTCTCACCTAACATCCCAAGCCCATCATATAATTTTAAAAAGAAAATAAACATAAAACAGCATGAACTGTTCTCTGCTAGCAAGTTAAGGCAATAAAAGAAAAGAAAATAGAGATTGGAGTTTACAACAGTTTATTACATTTTCTTTCCTTCAAAAATTATAGCTTCCTTCTTTAATATATTAGCTTCCTTCTTTTAAATATATATATATATATATATATACGCGGAGCCAATAACGAGATTCTCTTTTCTCTTCCTCAATTTTCTCAACAACCAAACAAAACCCATAAATCTTTCACTTGAAAGAGTAATAAACCGCCCAAAAAATTTAGTCTTTACCTTTAGAAGATACTGAAAGTAAGAGCTTCTTCTATGCTGGTTCTTGTTTTTGTACACAATTCTTTCAAAAATTCCATGCTCTGCTTTGAGATGGCCCAAGAAACTCTTCAATCGCTCCTCTAGACTCTCAATTTGATCGCCCATTTTTCAATTTGTTAATCATTGACAGATAAGAACTGAAATACTCAAGTGTTTCTGTTAATTGTGGGGGGGGGGGGGGGGGGGGCGGGTGGTGAGGATCTTTAGGGTTTTAGGGTTTTAAAGAGGGGAATTTGGCTTGTTAGTGATTACCGTTAGATCATTGATCATTAGGGTGCATTACTGTAGAAAGATATCTAATTGAATTTGCACATCGTGAATGGTACTTATCATCTTCTTACATTAACAAGTTTTTAACTTACAATTAATCTTTACAGTTTCTCTTTAATGCATCGGTGAATGAGGGGGGGGGGTGAGGATTTTAGGGTTTAGGGTTTTAAGAGGGGGAAATCTTAGGTGCTGTTAGTTGATTACCGTTAGATCATTGATCTTAGGGTGCTTACTGTAGAAAATATCTATTAATTTGGCACATCTTGAATGGTATTTCATCTCTTACATTAACAAGTTTTTAACTTACAATTAATCTCTTACAGTTTCTCTTAATGCATGGTGAATGAAAATGGACTTGTCTGATATAATATTCTTGCTGGTGATAGAGATTTGTTATATTCATAAGATATATAATCAAGAAGAAAAAGAAAACATATCTAATCATGCTTAATGGAGGTGTCCAATTAATTAATTTTTTTTCTTAATTTATAAAACAAGATATTTAAATTATCTAATCATAAGATATTCATGAGATTTTTTATATATATATATATATTCATAAGATATTTAAATTATCTAATCATGCTCAATGGCACATCTTTGACATTTGTTGCACATACTTGCTTCATAAGAACAAACTTCATCTTAATGCGTATAATTGATAAATTTTGACATTTTTTCCAAAAAAAAAAAAGACTAATTTTTTAAATTATTACATTGTATATGAAAAGATTTTACATCAATCCACAGTAGGTGGCTCCAAATAAAAAGATGTATTTGAGTTCAATAGATGATTTATATAAAAATAAAGGTTTGATAGGTAAAAAAAAGCTTATAAAAACGAAATATGATAAATTTTAAATCGATTAAACTATAAAAGGAAAGTTACAGAATTATTCTTATCCAAAAAAACAAACAAAAAAATATAAAGCAAACAAAATATGTGAATGAAACTATATGCAACTAGTGAGTTGGTGAAATATACAAATTGTTTTAGTCCTTCCCAATTTGACTTTTTTGGAAATCTCCACGGAACATATGCATGTTTGGTTAGAGCCTCTAAATTAACATGATTGATCACTAAATTTGTAATCTGGGAATCAACAAATAAATTTTAAGTGATTAGGATATGTGCGGCAAAATTAATTGTTACTGTTATTAACGGTTAACTGTAACATAATTTTTTAGAAAACGTGCTTAGATCAAAAGCTATCTTACCGAATTTTATAGAAAATGAAAAATTTATTTAAAAAACCCTGACCTATGCGTTTTGTATTAATTGCACCACATTTTGACCTTTAACACTCCAATTTCAAAGCTCAGTAATAATTAAACTCCAATTTAAATTATTATCTAACAAATCAATAAACAATTCATTTGTACGACTCAAGACCGACACAAAAGTTAACTAACCAACCCATTAATTCATATGTCATATGATACCGTTTCCACCTAAGAAAACAAAACCCTAAAACAAAAAATAATTAACCCTTATGTCAATCTCTGAGTCTCACAAATGAATTGTTTATTAATTTTTTAGACTTTAATTTTAAATTGGAGTGGAATGTTACTCACCTTTCAAATTGAGGGATTCAATGAATTAAAGTCAAAATAAAATGCAATTGATACAAAACTCATGGGTCAAAGTTTTATAAATGAATCTCTCTATAAAAAACAGTATTGCCGAACACGATTTTTTAGCCCGTAGATTATTAATTAGAACTTCTTAAGCACACAATTTGAATTTACCTGCTGATTTGAACTGTCTTTTATCTAAATAGTTATAAAAATAGAAAAGGGTCTTTTTCAAGCTCCCAACTAATCTTGAAAGTTATGTTGAGAAAACTTGAATTTGCTTACTCTTCTCGACTAATATTTTTCAATCTTTGGATTTATATTTCAAATTGTAAAAATGAAGTCTTGTTCAGTCTTCCAATGGACAATTAGGTAGTGTTTTCTAGTGTCGGAAATTATGTTGGCAGAAAGGACAATAAACACCCTAACTTTATAAGGAAGATTAAGAAATGGCCCCATGATTTATTATATATTAAGAATGATTGGAAGGGTTACATATATTTTTCATTTGAGAAAAAATAGGGTCCAGAAGAACTCTGTTAAATCGATCGAATCAAATTGAAGTAATCAGTTTAGTTTAATTCGACTTAGTTTGATTTTGGTTTTAATAAAGAAAATCTTTTTTTTTTTTTTTTGGTTCGCTTCGACTTTTATTGTATAATATCAAAAACTTAAAAATCATAAAAACTTAAAAATGAAAAAATCAAATTGAATGGAATCAATTCGATTCAATTTCATGAACAATTTGATTTTTCTTATATAAAAACTCAATTTATTTTGTTTATACTAATTCAATTTGATTTATATCGAATCGACCAAATGCTCGCGACCAGAGGAAATTACAGTACTTTTTTTTAGACTCTATTACCCCTTATTCTCTATGTATTTTCATACAAAATTTCTATATAATCCAAATGATTTGTTGTTTTTAGTATTAATTAATTAAAATTTTTTATTGCATATATAAGTGAGATTTGAACCTTAATGTCAACTTTTAAATAGTTTTACATTGATATTAAAATAAAATATTAATTAAAAATTATATTTTCTTCTTATATTGATTCTTATAAAATAGAACACAGTTTGGTACTTGTTGCAATTTAAACTAGATGAGTGAAAATTGACTAGGATGATCTCAGATAAGGAGTACTTAAATTCAATTAAATTTATGATTTTGGTCTAATGATAATGTTATTTTTTTATAATATAATAAATTTTGGACTTCTAATTTTTTAAAATGACTTGATTCTGAAAAAATGATATCAATCATATCAGAAACAATCATGATTTTCCCACTAGGCTGCTGTGTGTTGCTACTAATTCCCCCCAAGAAAGGTTAAATTGGATGATTTAATTTCTGTACTCAAGAAACTTTAGTAGCTAATAGCTAACCTTTTGCCTGCCATGATTGGATATATGGATTCCTAAGCTTTTCAATCTCCTTTTCATATGCCGACACGTGTATTGACACAATCCAAATCACTTGAATACTTGAATAAATATTTAATTTAATCCTTTAAATTTTCATTAGATATCTAACCAATGTGACCCAAAATTCACTCTAATCAATTTAAGACGTATCGCCCAAAATCAATAAATTGATCACAAATTCAGAGTTTATATTTAATTTAATTCAAAAATTAATTTTGAACTAAATTGTAGATCGAGTGCAGCGGTGGAACTAAAAATAATTTGCAGTGAAGTCATTATTTAATTTGATTTTTAACGGGATCAAATAGATTAAAAATTCTAAATTTTTTCACTTAATAACAAATGCTGATATATCATTACAGATTATATAATAAGGGCAATCGTCCCCTTTAATTTACCAAATTAATAAATGCAATTATGATCGAAATGACTCGAACTGAAGACTTTTTACTCTTTACATAAATAAGAAGATCAATAAAACTACCACCTGATTAACAAATTGAACATATATTGAAAAGAGCTCGGCAACAAAACTCAAATTGTAATCAATGAAGAAGAAAAGAAAACATACCTAATCATGCTTAGTTGAGGTGTTCAATTAAAATTTTTCTTAATCAATGAAACAAGATATTTAAATTATCTATAAGCTTTGACATTGTTTGCACATACTAGCTTGATAAGAATAAACTTCATTCTTTAATGATTAATTATAGTTTGGCATTACTTTGTTATGTCCTAACCAACACCACCAATTAATGGACTATATAGCCGCCCAACAACATAATATATAATGGGTAGTTAGGTAGTTTTAGTCCTAGGTGACTAGGTGTCCACCCTCAAGCTCCTCCCTTACCAAATGTCACATCAGATCAATAGTGTTTAAATTTTCAATTGAGGGGTAGGTACCCTCCAAAAGCAAACACAATTATTTTTATAAAACAATATTTTACAAAATTACAATGTATATTTAGTTAAATATGTATCTATCTATCAGTAAACAATTGCCCGGGCCTAATGTACAGACATAAATTTTTTTTTTGATACGAAAGACCCGATAGATCGAAATAAAATTGTGGTATATAGTAGAGACAATTCTTCCTTTTGAATAACATTCACTGTATTTGTGATAATTTTTTTAGTGAAGAAGACTCGAATTCGAGACTAATCAGACCACGCCTGATTGACTTATAAAAATAATTATTAAACTTTATTTTTTTACAAAGATAATATTGTTTAATGTTATATTTTATAATATGCAATTTCGGCAGATTTCAAACTCAAGCTCGTGGATTGATATATTATAAACTCATTTATAATATAAGAAATATTCTTTTGAAATTTGAAAATTGATTAACTAAATTTATTTTATATTTTTTTTTTGAGAAAATAGTTTATATTAACTAGGAATCACATTATTGGGAATAATTTTATCTAGTAATATAATAATTCGTAACTTAAATTCACAATATTTTTCTTTAATAATTTACTATACACTAGAAAAAGGATTTAAAAATTAAAAAAAAAAAAGGAGAGAGAATAGAGTAAAATTAAATCTCAAAAGCCGTGATACAAAAACAGGTTGAAAGAGCCAAATCGATGAACGATCATCACTTTTACTGTGTGCTTATGGTTGGAGTTTTGTAATTGAATACAGACTCCACTTTTTAGAAACATTGGAATTTTCAAATTTGACCATCACTTTGTTCTTATCAACTAGGATCAAAATATAAATTTCAATGTATCTTTGTGAGGGGCATGTTTGGAAATGCACTCCTGCTATTGCTTCAATTCCAATTAAACTAAATATATTAATCTTTTTTTCACGATAAAAGTTAAATCGAATCGACTAGCGTATAAAATCACATTAATTGGATTTTTAATTATTTTTGAACAAGTTTAAATTTTATTAAAATCAAATGGAAGTATTTTTAAAATTAAAATCAAGTTAAATTTATATTTTCTTTTAAAATTAAAATTGAATATGATAAAAATCAAATAAATTTTAATTAAATCAATTTAACAAGATTCATTTCCCTTAATTAAAAATTTTGAATTTAAATTATAAATATGAAGTACTTTTAAAATTTGTTAAGCGGCTTGGTGATGTTATTTAATAAAATTCAAATGAGTCGTGCGCATGTAGTCTTCAGAAATTAGATGATTTCTAAAAATATAATGTCGGTCTGATTTAATAAATTTGGTCGGCTTTACCGAACTAACTGGATGCAGCCATAGCCAAACGTTATTATCCAATAAGTTTTGTTCTCGAGCAACTGCCAAAACTGTGAGCCATCTACGACTACTAGTAGTGTCATCATAACACATCATAGAGGGAGTTATTATATTATTATTATTATTATTATTATTATAGGTTGATTTAAAAATAAGATTGATTGCCATTATAACCAACCTCAATGCCACCAAAAGGAATAGCTCAAAGTGGCAACTAGTAAGCTCTCATCTCTTCTTGCTATGACTTTTATTCACAAAATCAAAATATTCAATTTTTAAGGACATAAATAATATTATTAAGGATTTGTTTGCCATTATTGTTTCTAATAATAAGTTTTTATATTAAAAGTTAAGGAGTAATTTTATTTCTTCACTAGAGATATCATTTGCAATTTGATTTTTATTATTAATCAATTTTACACTAATAAACATGTAATAATAATTCAATTTTACTAGCAAAAAGAAACTATTATTACTAACAATAATAACCTTATTTAACTATGAATATAATTATTTGTAAGAGAATAAAGTCATATATTGAAAGTAAGATCAGGTAAAATATTTTTTGTTCAAAAAGTTAATTATTATGACTTAAGTCATGAATTCAATCATCCGTAATATAAACTCTCCTTAGAATTAATTAGATTTACCGTGAATCGTTAAAATAAATACGAATTGGAATAGCTAAATATCAAAGTAAATGGCAATCTAATAGTAAATGATACCATAAACTAATGGAAAGAGGCGATGGCTTGGACCAAGGCGTTAAGACATCTTGTGGTGATCTTAGCAGGTCTTGCTTTATTCCAAATTCCAAAAAGGCTTAAAGTCCCTTTGATCTGGATCCACCAATCAAAGAGCAACATTTTGCACTTCACTAAACCATTGATCAATCAAAGAGATACATTATAATATTATCTTACTCAGAACAACATATAACAATGGTGGAATGGTTAGTTCCAATAGGCAATCTGTATTAACTAATGTAATTTCCTTTTTTTTAAACAATAATTTTAAAACATCTCACAGGATGCTTGTGCTTTTGGGTATATAAACGAAGTCCTATCTTTCTAACTTGCTTTAATCGCTTCAACATGTATTTATACCATTCACAAAATACCCTTTTTTTTATATCAAAATGACAAACATACCCTTTTCTTCAAATGACTAAAATACCCCTCTCATCGCCTTCTAGGGCTTGAGGACCCTAAAATTGACCCCTAATGCGCTATAATACGTTAGACCCAAGAAGCCGGCAATTTGGACTGTTTGGGCATAGCAAAATAATACCGGTCAACCGTCTCCTTCTATAACACAAAGAAATAGAGTACCTTCCTACCTTTGGCTTAATCAGGTTAGTTAAAAGAAAAAAAACCAGACATCCCATAAAACAACACAGATACACATACATACATAAGGCACATGTACTATGAAAAAGCTTGAAGCAAACCTATTCTTGTTTCGTTTTCATGGAGAAAATTGTTGTTCATGAGAAAATGACACAGATTTGTCGAAAAATTGTTCATGTAAATATCAGGTGGAGCTTTTTTGAACGTGTATCAGTTTTTAGACAGTTTTTTCAGTTTCTTTGGGACAGGATTCTTGCTTGTTCTATAGGTAAGCCTATTAGGTATCGCCGGTTAACTCGCCGGCCTTCTTCTTCTTCTTCTTCTTCTCCGCCGCCAGAGGTTATTGAAGCCGGTAGATTGGACTCATCAATAGATCCCACCACCAGTTTTAGTGGGTATAGTACAGATTCCGATTTAGTCACTTTGAAGATCAGTTTGCTGGGTGATTGCCAAATTGGAAAGACAAGCTTTGTGGTAAGCATATGCATAATATTTAAACTTAATTTTTCTTCATTCATTGTTAATTAATTAATTAATCAATTAGTTACTTTTTGAACTTTTGAAGATCAAATATGTTGGAGATGAGCAAGAAAAGAAAAGCTTGGAGATGACAGGATTGAATTTAATGGATAAAACATTATTTGTTCAAGGAGCAAGGATTACATTTAGCATATGGGATGTAGGAGGTAATCAAATCGATTGATTAATTGATTAATTAAAAAAGTTAATTACTTTTAATTCTTTGTTTCCAATATTTTTGTGATGAGATAATCAATTTTGAGTGCAGGTGATAGTAGGTCACTTGATCATGTTCCCATTGCTTGTAAAGATGCAGTAGCAATTCTATTCATGTTTGATCTTACTAGTCGTTGTACTCTTAACAGGTAATTATACAATTACAGATTGACTAATTAAGGATTATTCCTCTACTTTACTAAAGTTTTTTTCGTTTTTGTGATGTTACAGTGTTATTGACTGGTATAATGAAGCCAGAAAATGGAATCAGGTACTTAACAAATTAAACATTCTGCTTTTTGATAACCAATTCGGTTGTGTTCTTTGTTAAATAAGTAGTAGTAATTAGCTAAAAAGGCTATAAAAACTTTGTAATTAAGTTCTGTTGAGGCTTTAAATGTGGCAATTATAGAACAATAATTAGCATTAAAAGAGGGGAAAGAGTGTTTGTTCAATTTTTAGTACTCAAACCCAGAAAGGAAAAGAACGGAACTGATGTCAAGAATTCAATTGCTTGGCCCATATAATTTAGTGCTGTTCTAATTATATCACCGAAATCCAGTTGAAGAGTGGAGCCCAAAATTGATGATCTTCTTCTATATAAGTTTCTTTTGTGTATATTTCTGGTTTCTTTTTATTTAATTGGATGGTTCGAAAATCAGTATGTTGATTTGGCTCAAACCTTTCTTTTCTTTTTCTTTTTATTTTTTTAAGTGGAGCCTTAAAGTTAATAATTGGACCACTCTGTTTTAATGGTGGTTCTATATATTTCTAACTTTCTGTGTGTCCTTTTGTGTTTGCAGACAGCAATTCCTATACTAATAGGGACTAAATTTGATGATTTTGTTCAGCTTCCCCCAAATTTGCAATGGCCAATAGTGACTCAGGTAACTTAGTTTCTATATTTACATATCATTCAGTTCATCGTCTCTTAAAGACAGACTCGTTCGTTGAACTATTAATTTGATAATGTAACGTTTTCTAGCTGTCTGCCTTCCATTTTAATGTCTTTTTGTGACCAAAAGGTCAAGTATGGTTTGCAGCTAGCTATCTGCATTTAACAACTTGCTGGTCTTAGTTAATTTAATTTCAATGCGTATGACAGACCCATTTGTAAGCTTCTGGAATTTGTAGAACGTCTGTGGAATGACTCAGAGATGACTCTTATTATAGTCTTTTGAGTCCTCATTTGTCAATTCTTTGAAAAATTGACATTTTTGACGTTTGCTTTCCTCTCTGCACGTTTAAAGATAAGCACAAAGGGGCCACAAATTCAAAGTTTAAAGATGGAAAATAACTTTCTTTAAAGGGAATATATATATTACGAATAAATTCAATTACATTACATTATATTTCGTTAGGATTCACTGAATCAAACCGAACCGAACCGAGCCTAATGTTATTTTCTGATAATTGATTGTTGTTTTCAAATTGTTTTACAGGCAAGGGCATATGCTAAAGCTATGAAGGCAACCCTTTTCTTTTCAAGTTCTAAACATAATATAAATGTGAACAAGATCTTCAAATTTATCATGGCCAAGCTCTTTAACTTGCCTTGGACAGTAGAGAGAAATTTGACAATTGGAGAACCCATTATTGACTTCTAATTTTCATGTACATAGGCAAAAAGGAGATGATTAAAGAAACAAAAACAAAAAAGAAAAAAGAAAAGAAGGAAGAAAATTCAAGCTAATCAGCAGCAGATTGATTCCTGCAGAGACCTTTTCTTTTTCTTTGATTGTTCATCTGTTGACATTTTCTTTTTCTTTCTTCCTTTTAACTTTACTTGTGTAAGTAACATGGTTGTAGCATGGGAGTTTCTTGATCCAAATGATATAAAACAGGAGGTAATTTTGTTTATTATATTTTATAATGAGAAAAAAATATTTCTAATTCTAATATTGGTTTTATCCATTTAATAATTTTAAATAAAACCAAGAAAACTCCCATTTCAAGTCAAATTAATGTTCCTATTTGCTTTATATTCACTTTTGAATTCTTGGTTTTCTTTTATAGAAAAAGAAAGAATCCATTCTTGCAATATATTCCCTTCCATCAGAATACAGCATGCCAGCTTGAGCTAGTAAAGTCCAGCTACTGCTTTGAATTATAGTATTATTATACTAAATATAAGATTTAAGTTCTTAATTAAGATAATTATTAAAAATAAGTAATTTGCTGTTTTTTATTTGTTAATTGCCAGCAAATCACTGCAATACTGTTCTTGCTCCCATAAAAAAATGTTATCAATGTGTTTTGTGCTATTTTTATTTTAATAAGCTGTTGCAGCATGTGACATTTTATTTTTGATTATTAAAGTGGACAAGTAGGAATTTGGAATGAATATATATTTGAATTCCAAAATTTAAAGCATGTGTTCAAACTCATAATCTTGTTAGGGTTTGTGGATAAGGTTAGTGTAAACCTGTTGCCAAACACAATTAAAGTCAAACGACGGTTACTAACTTAGGTCTTACGTGAGCAACATGTTCCCAATAGACAAATGGGTAAACCTCGAAAATATGCAATTGAAATAATTTAATAATTGAATTTTAAAACTTGAGCAAATTATCAGTAAATAATTAAATGATAAGCGAGAAAAAAAAATAAAAAAAAAAGAAATGTTAAAAAATTTTTAAATAAATAATACAAATACTAAAATATTAGAGAGATTTAATTACTTAATTATAATTTTGGTTCGCGAACTATTTAATTTCAGCCAATTTCAATATTCGATTTATATTTGAATGGTAATTTATTTTTATTAAAAAATAACATATTTATCCCTTTTAATAATCCATTATAAAACTAAATAATTTGTAACATAATAATAATTAAAAATAATCAAAATGATTAACATAAAATAGAGTCATAAGGATTAAACTAAAACATCTTATATTATTACAACATAAAATAAAAGCAAACATCCAAATAAACTCAACAGAACATAACATAACATAACATATATTAAAACTCATTTAGAAGATAAATATGCGCAGCTTCTTGGAGAGAGCGCCATCATCAGTAATAATATAACGGATCTTTGATATATAAATGTCTCTGTTCTCTCCATCTTCGGTTTCTTCATCAGAGATATAGAGATTCACCTGTTCAAGATTCGCACCAAACTGAATTATGAACCTCAGGACATAAATTTCATTATCTGAGCCTTTAAACCCTTTCACATTCACCACTCGAAGGTTATGATTGATACATGTGTTCATCCTGTACTTCTTCGTCCAAAGTTCTTGGGGTGCTAATTCGAATGGAGGAGTATAATCCTGAAATAAAATTTAACAACCTACCACGTTAGTATTTACATTATACTTACAAAATTTAAGGTAAATGTATTATGAGGTCTCAGGTTTAAATCTTGGATTTAGTGCTTACAGGGAATATTTTTCCAGGGACTATGTCGAAGGTGAGTGTGTGTATATAGCGGCAGCTTCTTAACATAAACTTGATTCCTACAAGCTCATTTTCATGCATTGCAGTTTTCACGATCAGATGGCGGGTATTGATAGGGGCCGGCAAGCCAAGAGGGTCATCCCCTTCAGGAATAATCTGCAAGTTTAGTACATAAATGTATTGAATTTATTCATAATTTTGAACATAAATACGAAAAATAAATAAATGAAGTTACGAAAATATTAATCATGAGAAATGTCGTTATCCGATTTAGATTATATTTATAATGCACGTGTAATAAATAATCATAAACGATTAGATACAAATGCTATTAGAATACATGCACGTGATTAAAATCTATTTATTGATTTGCGACATAAACACGACAAAACAAATAAATGAAGTTATAAAAAGAGTAATTACAAGATATGCGGTTAATCGATCTAAACTACTAAATAAAGTACTAAATCTCTTGCCATATGATTTGATCTATTTATAAATTTGCGGCGTATATACGACAAATTAATTGATTTACGACATAAACACGACAAAACAAATAAATGAAGTTATAAAAAGAGTAATTACAAGATATGCGGTTGATCGATCTAAACTGCTAAATAAAGTACTAAATCTCTTGCCATATGATTTGATCTATTTATAAATTTCTGGCGTATATACGACAAATTAATAGAATAAAAGTATGAATTATATTTATGATGCATGTGTAATGAATAATCAAAAGTGAGTAAATTAATAAACTACATGTGACACAAAATTTAAAAAGCTCTTCCCAATATCCAAATCTACAGAAAATAAACATGATTAGTGTATAATAATAATAAAATATAACACATAAATCTGTTTTAAGAGAGGCAAAAATAATCTGATCAACATTGAGAGAAAATACCTGAAGCAAAACGCTGCAAACTGTCAATACACGAGCAGCATAAAATTCCTGTAAGAAATCACAAAGAATGGTTCCAAGTTCATCAAACTCAGGCTCCATTGAAAAGTCAAGATCAGCCTCTACCATATCCATTGGATTCATAAGGTAAAACTGATTAATTTCACCAGAGTACTTAAAGAATTGTAATCTTGGTCCTTCAACCCAAATCATATTTTTCATAAAATGGCACTTATCAAGAATCAAATTCTTTAGACTTGAGTTCTGAACAGAGACTTCAAAATGCTCCAAACTCCAACATTTCTTTAAACACAAAGTCTCTATCTGGGGACAATTTCTAATCAAAATATTTACAGTAACTTCAGTTATCTCAATCCATCCGATGAAAACAGTCTTCAGGGCACTAAAATTAGTGAACCTGGAAACATCAAAAGAACATGAGAATAACAACAAAGATTCAAGGCCAAAAAGTTGATAAACCTGTAAAGGCAATTCAAACTTTGATGGGTATCGCTCTATGTCATCTTCTATCCATCTAGGATCAGAGAAATCCAATCCAAGGTTTCTTACATTTCGAGACGCAGCAAAAAGGACAAAGTTTTGCATGTCAGAAAGGCATTCTTTTGGTTTAGAATATACAAAAGAAAACTTCTGAATTGCCTTTCGTGGGTAGTTCATAACAATCTGCTTAACAAAATCAATGAAGACATGTCTCTGAGCCTTCTGATTGTCTTCATCTTCGTCACGATCAACAAAGAAACTCTCGTTGAACTCAAGAACAGTGGTCTCTTTCCAGAGATTGAACCACTGCTTGGACAGAATAGAAGTTCTTGCGGCTTCTTTGAAGGGTAAGTAACTAATGATCAGGACAAGCAAAGAGCTTGAGAGTTTTGTGAACATATCCATGTTGCTATTTTCCATGGCTATCAGTTTGTGTGAAGAGAAGGCTGCATGAATTGCCTTTCTATACAGAAAAATGAGAAACAGTAAGAAACTTTTAGACAATTGTTGCAGTTATATACAGATTCCCTATAAGATGATTGGTGAAACGGTGTGTTTGTTCTGCATAAGACAAAATATAAAAATATAATTTAAAAAATATTTATATAATTTTGAAATTCAATTTTATTTAAACTAAAAAAAAAAAAAAAGGAAAACCACTGGCTTGACCAGAATGAAGTTCTTGCGGCTTCTTTGAAGGTAAGTAACTAAATGATTCAGGAACAAGCAAAGGCTAGAGAGTTTTGTGAACATAATTCCATGTGCTATTTTTCCCATGGCATATCAGTTTTGTGTGAGAGAAGGCTGCCGATGAATTGCGCTTTTCTATACAGAAAAATTGAGAAACGTAAGAACTTTTAGACAATTGTTGCAGTGTATATAGCAGATTCCCTATAAGATGATTGGTTTGAACGGTGTGTTTGTTTCTGCATAAGAGCAAAATTAAAATGATAATTTTAAAAAAAATATTTATATAATTTTTTGAAATTCCAATTTTATTTAAACTAAAAAAAAAAAAAAAGGAAAACTAAAAAAAAAAAAAAAGGAAAACATACAACTAATGTATATGTACATTTGGAGTAAACTTTAATACCTTTGACTAAAGAAAATCCTAACCATCAATACGTTACTACATATAAAAAAGAAAGATAGGAAAGATATCTGTGATGTTTGTCATTTTCTTTCCTTGAAGATTATCTTCAGTTTCTCATGAATATAATTTGACAATAATTAAATAAATTAATTTTAAGCCTTCATTGTAATATTTTGAATTATTATTTCAGAAAATCAAAATGTTAATAACTATAATATGTTGTTTTTTCAAAAAAGAAAACTATAATATGGTTTGATGTAATGAAATATTTAGATAAAACCATTTATTTTTTAAAATATTAGAGATAAAAATAGTTAATTATAATAATAAATAAAAGCAAAAAATATTAATTATTATTATTTTTTATTACGTTTTATCATAATACTTAAAAGGAAAAAAAATTATAAAACAAAAGTGAAATTGTTGCGTCATGAAAGTAGTGCTTATTCTAGTCCATAATTCCATATGTCATGCAGTCTAAGAGCATGAATACACGTGTAATCTTTTATGAAATTTCTATTTTGGCTCTCTAACGATATTTTGTGGAGGGCATCTATCCATTGCTGCAAAGTTTTGTTATTTGGGGTTCTGTGGCCATCTGAAACCGAAGAAAATAATCCCTTTATTACATTTGAGAAGGAAATTCCTAAATCACCTCAATCATAGAAAAAAATAGTTGTAATTGACTAAATAAAATGTATTTTGAATTGTTTCTGTTCTGTCTCTTTAGTTGCTGACTTGGCAAATATTGCTTATGTGGCGTTGATGTGTCATTCATGCAGAGTTGAGTTGGAACAAATGCTGAAGTGTGAACGCTACTTTTAACTCGGACATAAAACTACAATCTTTGTTTCTCTCTCTCACTAATCTTCTCAATCTGTCTTCTCTCTCCTGTTATTTCCCCTTTAAATTTTTTCTCACCTTTCTGGTTAACAAACACAACAATTCTGGTTTCAATGGCTGAAAATTCTAACAATTTCTTATTGATGATTGATTTTTTAAATTATCACTTAACCCTTCTTATTTCTTTTACTGATTTTCCAAGCAGCACTGTCTATCAATTGATAAATTTTAAAAACAAAATCAAAATTATAATGCCAAAACTTCTTTTTTTTTTTTTTTTTTTTTTTTTTTTTTTTTCGTTTGTTAAATTGTAAGTACAAATTTTTTTTTTTTTTTTTTTTTTTTCTCGTTTGTTAAATTGTAAGTACAAGTTTCCAAATGTTATCACTATTCCTACAGCTTTAGGCACTTCTTGGCCATTGTACCACAATGCATACATAAACGTCTGACTAGAACAGACTGAAGTATAAAAGACCTGATGAGCATTGAGATAAAGAACCTTGAATGATGGTATGAAAATAATTAATTTATGCCAAAAGGGTACTTGAATTTTATACAAGACGCCTCCAATCCCAATTAAAAACTAAATGAACACTACATTAAGGTATCATAATTCTTAGAACGAAACCATCATAGACAAGCAAAATGTTCTTGAATCTCTTACGTGCTGAAGATGGAGAAACATAATGGTGTAAATCGATGCCTATCCGCTGGCTGAGTTCTCGTGCAACAATACATATTCTCGGCTGCAAAAATTCCAGGCATTATTCACTTAAAATAAGGGGGGGAAAAAAAAAAGAAACAGTGACGATCAAAAGAAACATGAGAGAGAGAGAAAAAAAAAACAAAAAAACAACACAAATCACTGAACATTTAATGTTGATATAAGCAAGTTCTAAATGAATCATCTTGACTAGAAAACTAAATTGATAAGGAGATTAACCTCTAAAATTTGAGATCCATAACAAGAACTCGAAATCTCATTAGCAGATGAAGTGACAAGAATAACTACTTTGTGCTCATAACACCATTTGTATTAGCAAAATAAATAAATATTGCAACGTGAAATAACCATATGGTCATCATTCATGCCGTATGAAAGTGAAATAAAGAAAGCTGAGAGTGACCGTCTCTCTTTCTGTCAGCAATCATACTCAACAATTTTCTTTTCCCCAAAAAAAAATTTCATAATAAATTTCCATTATCTTCTTACAGAGTTGCAAGCAAGTCATAGCAAATATGTAGTACTAGCAACAACAACTTTTCATCTCAACTGTACTCATCCATTATATTCTGCCTGTAAATATAATGTATTAACAGATGATGCAAATCCAGTACCATTTTACCAGTATGAACACCTTGAAGTTTGCTCTTCTTGTTTTGGGTTCAGAGCACATGTTTGTTATAAACTTGCTACATCCTTGATTCATTAATCAGAATTCATCCTGAATACCCTCACCTATTTCAAATTTAACTTTCCTTCAGGAATTTAAACAGAAGAAACCTTATATGTTATCCAAAAAAATCTCTATCCTCAATTCATCTTGAATACTCTAATCTTGCAGTTATAGAGAGGAATTCGAAACAGAGATTTGCATTTTATTAAATTCATGAATACAGGTCATATTTTTGTAAATGTAGACAAATAATGTACAATTTTAGATCTTCCTCAAACAAACTCTCGTCCACATTAACCATTGAACAAACTAAGAACAAATTCAATTTGAATGATAAAAACTAAAAAATCACATCCACTTTATATCATTTGACATTCTTCCACGGAAATGCAACATATTCTGCCTAAGATAAGACTATTCAAAGCACAAGCATTACAATGCTCCTCTCCTTACTCACCCACTTCTCCATTTTAAGCCACTCCAAACAAGTAGAACCCTACTATTTCCTCACTAATTCCAGAAAGGCAAAAACCCATTATCTAATCTAGCTATTTTAAATAATTTCTAAAATGCAAGCATTTTCAAAGTAATACCATATAAATCAAACTCAAACTCCCTTGATGTTACCAATACCAGCATGATATTTCACTTCATCATCACAAACTCATGAAATTGAAGCGCCACATTGCTCATGTAACTTTTCAACCCAAGGATTTCTCAAAGTGTATAAAAAGAGATCAACTGTGTAACAAAGAACAGTAAAGAGCAATATTTTGAATATCTGTCTCTATGGAACATAATTCCTGGCCAGCCATTTCATGACCACAGGTCTGTAAATGGAATCAGAGGGGAACATGAAGCCCCCAGTAACCAAAGCCTACAAAGAAACTATTTAACTTTACCTCGTGAAATCATATCCTCCATGATACAGAATTTGTTCAAGGATCCACTTATTCCTCTGGTTTCAACTTTGCCCAGATAACACATTGCATATCATGGAAAATCAATGCCAGGAACCCAAAGAAAAACACAGTGCAATTGCAGAACAGCAAGTAAAATGAAACTACTTTACCAGTATAATCAGAATGAAGAAGCAAGAGAAGATGTTTCATATGAATAGCAATTAAACTGAAACTAATTTGCCCAATATAATGGAGGAATGGATCATTAGTTAGCTGCCTACCTACTGTTACCAAATTTAATTGTATCTTTTTCAAAAAGCTCATAATAACGTTGAGGCTCAATGGGATTATCCTGCAGATGCAGAAAATAGTTTAGAATGATAACTCTGCAAGAAAATATTATATAAATAAATAAGGGAAAAGATGAATATATAGCAACTAGATATCAAGATATATATTGCTTACATTAATGAAAGTTTTATTTGTACTTCCAAGGTCCATTAAATAAGGCCTGCCATGTTATATAGAAATCAAAAGGTTAGACAAGGAACCAAAACAATATGCTCCCAACAGATGCCATTCATTCCATTGAATACAAAACAACTGAATCCTCACCTTACTTGCTTAGATAAGGTACCATCAGGCTGCTCCTTTTCTATTTGCCTGGCAAAGCAGAAACTAGAAGTCGGGAAAAAAACGTCCATAGCATCAACAGAAAAGGAAAAACTGTTCATAACAAATCTACCGAAATTGAATGACTGCATGTTGCTTGCTACAAGATGGGTGGTCTGTAGGAATATCTGCAACCCTTCTTTCTCTCCCAAAAAGGTAACAGCTCTGGCGATGTATGTAAAGAGGCTCTGTTTATCATCACGTACATTAGCAATATAATCATAGGTTAAAAGCCAATGAATAAATTAAAAGTTTTCTTTCATGATCCAGAATTTCATCAATAGATCGACCATTAAGAGAACAAACAGAGATGGGAAATTCAAGCATTGCAGGAGAGCAAGAAATATCCCAGACAAACAAACAGAACTTTGGGTTATATATGCTTAAAATTAACCATGATATGTGTGCGTGTCTGTGCATACACTTAATTAAACAATTTAAGTTCCACATTCCGTGTTACACCAAATAAACTGAATTTGAATAAAACTGCATCACTGCAGCCTACACATCAAGTTGACAGGAGAGGTTCTCCAGGACTTACCATTCAGAACTTCTCCATTCTTAAACACATAGAGCCGCCATCTTACATCAGGTTTGCGAGCATCTGGAGGCTCATTGAATAGTAGTGTAACACCTACAACAAAACCAAAAAAAAAAAAAAAAGAAAAGGAAAATTATGCTAAAACTGAAAAGCTATTACTTAAAAGTTGCCCAGATCATTCCACTTCACTTCAAGACAAAAGCAGTTGATGAAGAAAAGAAAAGAAGTTCTAAACCATATAAAATATAAAACACTAAACACAAAATAAAATAAGAAGGCAAGCAATAGAAAATAGAATCTCAACTAGTTCAGCAAATTACATAGGGAGATTAGTTTCACTATCTATCACAAAGGCTTACAATATGTTCGAACCCCAAAAAAATCACACTTAAAACAGATCCAAAGTTACCAATAAAGAACTCTTGAATGATAAAAGAAATTTCAAACACTCTACAATGAGAAAAGAAAGATGATTTTTTAGTAAAAGTAAAGTCTCAATCACCTCAAATTTTGGTCATATCTACCAGAACAATAAATGCATTCAACATGACCCAGTTCCAATAGTGCATTTAAATTTAAAGCATCCAAATCTCCAGTTCCACCCCCTAGTTTTTGCCCAAAGGATACAGAGGAACTGAGTATTTCCACTTTTGATGGTTTTTGTTCGACTAATTATGTGCCAAATCCGCAATAATGTCCAAAAACAGTAAATCTTTTTGGAACAACTTCCCTCCATATTGTTCTAACTCTACCTCTTTCCCACTTAGCACCCTCAACCATTAATGCATTACACTTATGAACCAGCAAAGCACGTATACTTTTTGAATCATAATGTCACAAATTATAAAGCAGTCCTTACACACTTGCATAAACATACGAATATGAGAGAGATAGAGAGGAGATTCAAGAATACTACCAAATAATCAAGGTTGTGTCATTTCTCTATATTGTAACGGAAAGCAGTGCCTTTGCCACTTACCTCTAAATCTATTGGTTTCTGCGGCAAGTTTTCCAGATAGCTCGAATGAAGGTTGTTGCTGCAGTTGGAATGACAATAATCATACTTAGGCAACAAAATCTACATAAAATGTCTATTTTTCAATAGCCAAACAAAATAAGATCTCAGCATTCAGCGGAAGGAAGTGAAAGAACCTCAAAAATTGTTTTTTACCTTTTGCTTTGCTTCCAAAGCCTCCTCAGCTGCCTTCATCTTAGCCACTGGATCATCATTATCATTCCTGCCCAGGCAAAATAGCAATGTCAAGGATCGCTAAAGTCTCACAACGCATCCCCAGGATTATCAGATAAAAAACCCGATCAACATGCAACTCCCTGCTGTTCTAAGAAGGAACTGATTTCAGGGAGAAGAAAACAATGACATTGTGCAGATGCCATTCTCCTTGTGTTATAGTATGAAGTGTAAAGCTATGAAGAAAATATCAACACTTCAAATGAGCAACTTGCACCAAAAAATATGCTTTCTTAACCCAGTGCTTTTATTCATAAATTTATGTGTAGAATTTGGATATTGTTCCTATTGTTCCTCTAAAACCTAGAGAATCTAGTGAACTTGTTATAAAATATGTCAATCCATGCCAGATATATGTTACCAACACTCGGGTCTAAAATTAAAGGGGGAGAAAAGACAAGAAGCAGCTTACCGCCTTTCTGTTCCTCTTGAATTTGTCACCTGAGAAGATCAAAGTTTTGTCAGGCACTTCAAATTAAGTATCAACTTAAAATAGAAAAAATCAATTCCTAATATCCAAAAAATGTTTAAGCGTTTAGAAAACATTAATGCTCATTATTTTCCTAATTAAAAGCAAGTTCAAAAATAATCACAAAAATATAAATCTGCAGAGGTACAAATCTGTATGATTTCGTGCAACAACGATTCAGAGCCTAAATTTCTTATACAGACACTACAGCCAAGATATGCAGAGTCCATTCACAATTTTATAGCAATTTGAAAAACTACCATAGAAAAAATAGGATTTTCTAGCAATAGTAAGTGATGAAGGTAAGAGAGAGTTTTTCTCAGAAACAACTTAAGATAATCAAGTAAAAAATAGAAAAGCATTAGAAGTAGTGGATATCACCAGACACCTCGTCACGTTCTCTCTTGTAGGCATCTCGTTGTGGCGATCGTGATTTATGCTTGCTCCTGTGATGGTGATCTGATGGAGAGATCGATCGGCCATTTCTGGCTCTAAGAGACTTGCTATCAGTTGCATCTCTCCCTGACCTTCTTTCCGTTCTCTCAGCTCCATTTTCCCTGTCAGCATCTCTATCTCTTTGTGTTTTCTTGTCACTACCCTTACTATGATTCCTTTCATATTCTCTATCTGCCACTTTGTCAGCCTCTCTTTCTCTATGTTTTCCTTTATCATTTCCCCTGCCATGACTCTTCTCATGTTCTCTCTCAGACAACTTCTCTGTCTCTCTTTCCCTTCGCGAACCTTTATCATCTCCCTTGCCATGATTCCCTTCACGGTCCCTCAGTGTCTCAACCTCTTTCTCAGCTTGAGCCTTCTTCAAGCGTTTTGTCCTGGGAGAAGGAGATCGAGACTTTTGACTAGAAATTTTCTCCCTTGCCTGTGGAGGGCTCTCTCTTTGGGAGCTCCTACGCCATGCAGGAGGAGAAGGAGAGTGAGATATCTGACGCTTTGGAGATTTAGCATGACTTGAACGTTTCTCTCTTGGTGGAGAACCATCCCTGTGGGAGCTACGGTGCCGTGCAGGTGACCTTTCTCTTCGAGATGGGCTCTTCCTATGAGGAGAGCCCCGACCTCTAACTGGAGATTGTGAATGATTAGACAAATTACGCCCCATTGGCGGTTGTCTATGCAGTTATGAACTGTCTAAATATTGAGAAATCAAATGTTAGGTAAGCATGGTCAAAATCAAGAATTTAAACAAAAATACAACGCCAGAGCAGCAAAAACTTTATTGGTAAAATGTGTTAAAGCAAACAACTTTAGCAATTAAAAGAAATGCTAAATTACACCCTCTCCAAATTATAGAAGGCAAAATTGCAAACAGTTGTAAAAGAAAAAAAAATCAAATAGCAAAGCTACATTGACTGGAATGAGCTAATGGATATAGCAATCAAGATAAGAATACAAAACACAGAGATAGAAAATTTTTGAATGTTCTACATTCTACTTTGTCGTACTTTCTCGGAATGCAAATATGAGCAACACTGAGTATCTCATAAAAGACCTAAAAATTAAACATGGAAGCTAAAATTGTCAGACACTCTAAGAAATTGAGTCTCACATTCTCTTTTTGTTTACTGAAAATTAAATTACCAATAGCAAAAATGCTTTGTCAAAACAAAACCTCACTTAAACCCTAAATTTCATAAACAAAATAAAACCAAATTTGCAAAAATTACATAAAGAAAATGCATTAAGAAGTATTCTGGCGAAATAAACACGGAGAATCAGTACCAATGATTGCTTAAGTTGGGTTGCAGTTGCAGTTGCAGTTGCGGAATCAGCGAGTGAGATTGCTGGAGCGGAAACGCTAGGAGTTTTCGCTGGGTTCTTCGCGGCTTAACACAAATCCGATAAGCCACACTCACCGAAAAGGCTAAAATCAATGGGTTGCAAATGGTTCGGATCTGTCGAGTCCAATATTACACTACTACATATTTGCCCGATCCAATTCATTGGTTTTGAACAACACAGCAACCCAACACCGGCCCAAGGGGATTCTGCTGTGGAGATTTTTCTAATTTTTTGGGGAAATTTATGATTTTTATTACAACACTACCCTTGTATTTAAAAATTCATAGTTTTGTCCTATTTTTTACTTCAGCAAGATTATTATGTTATTCTATCAATTTTTTTCTAGTTTTTGTCAATGAATTACTATTTTATTTTTATATTCACCAAAATTAATTTATCTGTCAATATATTTATTGTCTATTTTGCTATCGTGTTTTATCAAAATTAACTAATTTATCATTATACTTAATTTAAGAAGTATAAGAATTAATAAAAGGATATAATAATAAAACGGAATCAAAATAATGAGACAAAATTATGTATTTTTAAAAAATGCATTAATATCTTCTAAAAAAAAGCATTAATACAGTCATCTATTGTGACAAGATACGAGAATATAAATTTTCTCAATTTTTTATTATTTGCCATATTTAGAAATAAGGATTACTTGGCATATTTAGAAATATACGTTTTATTCATCATTTCTTGATGTTTATCCTCTCATATTATTTTAATACTCTGTTTGGTATAAATGAATTTAAAATATGAAATTAGTTTGTAATTGAATTAAATTATTCATTTGTGAATGAATTATTCATGTTTAGTATGATTAATTTAAAACATGTAATTCAATTGAATTCTATATAATACACACGTAGAATAAATTTATAATTGAAAATTCATTTGCTTTTGTTTTATAAAATATCCTTGAAATATTAATTTCGCAAAAATAAATATATAAAAATAAAAAATAATATTAATAAAATTATTGCATTTAATTTAGTGATAAATGGATATTTAACTTGAATCTCTCTCATTGATAGTAGAAAAATGCTTTAAAAATATTAAAATAAAAGCACAATAATGATTTTCTAAAAAAAATAAATTTTTTAAAAATCTACATTTTTTCATTTCAAGCACAAAAATATGAATTTTTGAATGAATTCCATAAAATTTTGTGGAATTTTTTTATTCCAAACAACGGATAAATTTATGACATATTATGTTTATTGATGGAATTTTCTATAAGTGTCAAAATTGATAGAAACATGTAAATTGTGATTGCATCATGATGACTTCTTTGTTTTATTTTACTTTGATTCTTAGATTTTCAAGTCTATATTAATTATTAACTAAAGTATTTCATTAAAATACTCTCTCGATCTTATTTTGCTTGCTTATTATTTATTTTTTAGATATCCCATAATATTTGAAAAGTTTTTAAATTTAGATATGTAATAATTATTTATCCCATAGTAACCTTTATAATTATTCATTAAATGAAGGACTATTAGTATCTTAATGAGTTATTAAGAGTAAAAATGACAAAATAACTTTTGTTAATTAAATTCTTGATATGCGTGCTTTGTTAAATTATGCAAATGGGAAGGAAGGAGTGTATAGTTTTAGAATGAAATAGAACTTTTTATTATTAAATTTTAAAAATATTTTACTCAAGATTAATATTTTATATTAAATGTATAATTAAAATCTAAAAAATTAAAATTAAAAGTTACACATATAAGAATTTTCTATCATGTTTCTGTTCAGATCATCCATATAACAAAATTTTAAAAACTACATTTCATTTTAAATTTAATATTCTAAAATTACATTTCAAATTGAAATTTAATTTGCAATTTTGATTTGGATTGATATATTCCAAAAAAATTTACACCCTAGCTATATTAAAAGATAGAAAATCAATTGATGTCTGAAAATAATATTTCATTTCTCTCGTAGTCATCCATAAATAAAGGGAATTTGTTGCACTCGTCCTATTTTTTATTTTTTAATAAGTATTATCTTAAAATAAAATCTAAAAATTAACTATAATTGCCAATCAGAGTAGGAAAAAAGAAAAAAGAAATAGAATGTTTTTTATAACATCCTACAAAATTTAATTACAACCAATAATTTAAAGAACGTGAAATTGCAATAATATACAAATTAAAATAGTTTTACAAAATTTTATGGATAGTCACCAACTCACCTCACGTGCAACCCAACTATAAAATCACAAATTCCGATCAAAAAAACGGCAAAAATAAAAAAATACAATACCTAATGGCTGCTTCTTCTGCTTCTTGCCAATCCCACATTTCTTCTTCTACTACTATCTGCAAACCCTTTTCTGCCTCTCGTTTGCCCTTGAAGTTCAACCAATTTACAGCTTTACGATCACCTCCTTCTTCCAATACTAGATTTTCAGTCTCTTGCACTTTGACCAAAGAGGCGGCTGTGAAGATGGAGGAGAAGGAGGATTCTGATCCTTCTCTGTGGCTGAGGCCTGATTCTTATGGGCGGTTTGGTAAATTTGGTGGTAAGTATGTGCCTGAAACCTTAATGTATGCACTCTCTGAGCTTGAATCCGCTTTCGTTTCCCTCAAAGATGACTCTGATTTTCAGGTACTTTATTCTTCTTGTTCATTTTCGATTTTTGGTCATTGGATGTGTTTCTAATTTTCTTTTTGATTCTATATCATTTAGTCATTTTTTCTGTTCTATCTCAGTTTAGTCATTTTTTAAATTCAAGAGTTCTAATTTGTTTGGGTTTTAGAAGCTTTCTGGACAAACAATGGAATTTTATTTTGCTATTGTGGATTTCGGGTTTATTTATCGAATGTCCATTACACTCGGGTATCTTGCTAACATTTATATAATTCTGCTACACTGTATAGAAATCGATCTATGGTTGCGCTGATAAAATTTACTGAATAATTGAGTTTTTTTGCGATTAATGGAAGCTTTATTATTTTTTTTAAAAAAATGGTGCTTAGTGTTCTCTCTCTTAATCTTACATGAAAGTATTTATCTTTGCAGAAAGAACTAGATGGGATTTTGAAAGACTATGTCGGTAGGGAAACTCCTCTTTATTTTGCTGAGCGACTTACAGAGCATTATAAGCGTCCTAATGGTGAAGGGCCGCACATTTACCTCAAGAGAGAGGATCTAAACCACACGGGGGCACATAAGATCAATAATGCCATTGGCCAAGTTTTGCTTGCTAAACGTTTGGGCAAAAAGCGTATAATTGCTGAAACTGGAGCTGGTCAGCATGGAGTTGCTACTGCTACAGTATGTGCAAGGTTTGGTTTGCAGTGTGTCATCTATATGGGTGCCCAGGATATGGAAAGACAGTCACTTAATGTTTTCAGGATGCGGCTTCTTGGGGCTGAGGTTAGAGGAGTCCATTCTGGAACAGCCACACTGAAGGATGCTACATCTGAAGCTATACGGGATTGGGTGACTAATGTGGAGACAACCCATTATATTCTGGGATCTGTTGCTGGGCCACATCCATATCCAATGATGGTCCGAGAGTTCCATAAGATTATTGGTATTGAAACAAGAAAACAAGCAATGGAAAAATGGGGTGGAAAGCCTGATGTTCTGGTTGCTTGTGTTGGTGGAGGTTCCAATGCCATTGGACTTTTTGAGGATTTTCTTAACGACAAGGATGTTAGGTTGATTGGTGTGGAGGCTGCAGGTTTAGGCTTGGACAGTGGTAAACATGCAGCTACTTTGACCAAAGGAGAAGTTGGGGTCCTGCATGGAGCTATGAGCTACTTATTACAAGATGATGATGGTCAAATAATTGAACCTCATTCTATTAGTGCAGGGTAAGGGTTTTAACTAAATTCTGTAATTTGTTATTGATGTGGTGTGTTCCTCTTTTTCTCTTGCATTATACATCGTCTTTCCTTTTGCATAGGTTGGATTACCCTGGAGTTGGACCTGAACATAGTTTTCTGAAAGAGAAAGGACGTGCTGAATACTACTCTGTGACAGATGAGGAAGCATTGGAAGGTATGAAATTCTACCTTTTGTCCATTTATTATTATTGGGTTGATGCTTAGAAGATTTGACATTCCTCATTTTGATTACTGCTTGTTGCATATTGTCTACCTGTAAACTATGTGTTCTGTGTTAATGTGTATGAATGGTTTTGTTGTCATGGAGATGCTATTCAATTTATTTAATTTCTGAACCTGGTAATCAGTCTTTGGCTCATTCCCCATTTTATGTTCCAATCCATTTTCATTCAAATTTGGGGTGGATGCTTTATTATTTTTCTTCACACATCATTAGCTGGCTCAATTCACATAATTGTATTTCCTCCACCCCCCAGTTTTCACCTTTCACTAGTAATAATAATAATTATTATTATTGTCATTATTATTATTATTTATATAACAAGTTTAGTGTTATATCTTTGTAGCTACTAATTTTTTTTGTTACTGGCAGCATTCAAGAGATTATCACGATTAGAGGGCATAATCCCTGCTCTGGAGACATCTCATGCAGTTGCTTATTTGGAGAAGCTCTGCCCAACTCTTCCAAATGGAACTAAGGTTGTCCTTAACTGCAGTGGCAGAGGGGATAAGGATGTTCAGACTGCCCTCAAATTTCTGCAACTTTGATGATGATGACTCATTTGACAATAAAGGAGTTACTCATATTGTAAGTTTGAGAGTTCTTTTCCTTTCAAGACTTGAAAGGATGTATTTATTGAATGATTGGGACCAAATCAATTTCCCGGGGAGTTGAGTTGCGAACACTTAGCTGAATTTCTGGATTTTATGTAAGAGTTTGTGTTTGATGAATGTGCTGGAACATGCATTAATCACAAATTGGTTTAGAGCATATTTCATATCTTTTTTGTTGAAAGAAAATATGTAGATTGTTGTTACTTGGTTTGTTTATGAGTATTGAAAGGAAAACTTATATGATGCAGTTTTATTTTATTTTTAGAAAGAAGTGTCTATCAAATTGTAAAGTTTTATTGATTTAATTCTGTATTTGTAGGCTCAATCGAAGTATTAAGCTTGACTAGCTTTAAAATCAAAGTTCCTCAAGATTAAACCAATTGAATCTAAATAGTTTAGTACAAAACTCTCTTTAGCTCATCAGTAATGTGCTAAGCTTGAGCTTGAGCTCATTTACAAAACGAGTTCAATAACTGCGTTCAAGTTTAGCTTATACGAGCTTGCTTGATAAATAGGTTTCGAGTTCAGTTTATTAGTTGATGTAATTTTTACGAATTGAATCTCAAAAAATTGCATGGTTACTTAGTTCATGTGCTGTCATACTCAAAGTACTATTCTAATGATTTGGAGAGATATAGAATCATTTCTCAAGTGGGGAAAAAATGTTTGCTAGTGGATTTTCTTTTTGTTTTTTTCTATTTTCTGGAAGGGGAGGGGAAAGGGGAGAGGTGGGGGTTAAATATGTAAACTTCATTGTAATAGCATCCAAGGGTAGTACAACCCACAGGCCCACAAATAAAATTGCATGTGGAGAAATCCAACCCACAGAGCTAAAAACTTTTGAAAATAGTATATTATGAAAAAAAGAAAAAACACAAGGATGTAAGTCCAGATAAGATTTCAAAAGTATAATAATAAGTTCTCAATTAATTCAAGGATTTCTGACCGTTGAAACGATTGGTCCCCTTTCCTTTGCCTTTGCACATACCAAGGTGTTGCCTATATTATATAATTTAAATTAATAATAAAGGGTAATGGGCAATCCACGTATATTTACTATTTCTTGACATTAAAATCCTAAAGTCCTTTCAAGTTTCATCCCTAAATTATTAATGTGCTTTAATAATTGCTGTTATATTTATAATTGTAAGTCCACTGCCTTTTTTAGAGTATAATTATAAGTCATGGTATTGTGAGATATACTTTATACCGTATTATATTTTAAAAAAATAAAAATACCATTGTTTTCAAGGAGCAAGTAAGTTTTGTATTTTTTTTTTTTTATATTTATAATTATAATTATGGGGAACAAGCATATATAATAAACCTGGCTGCTGTCTAGGACAATATTACAAAAAAAAAAAAAAAAAAAAAATTTATAATTATAATTAGGGGCAACAAGCAGTATATAATAAACTGCTGCTGTCTAGGACCAATATTAACAAAAAAAAAAAAAAAAAAAGGAAAAGAAAAAAAAAAAAAAAAAAAAAAGGAAAAGATAATCGAATATGCCCTCCCATGCTGTTGAAGAGCCGATATGCCATTATGTTATTCCCTAGGGTCAGCTTACTACTGCTACATTGAAAGCAAACCATTTTAAAGAATTCATTTCTATTTTGGTAACTTCAATATATATAATGCTTCTGTGAAAAAATATGAAACCAAATAATACAGTTAATACTTAAAAAGATGCAATAGATTTTGGCCACTCTTTTAACTGAATTTCATTCCATCATATAGCAGCCTGAAATGCAAACAAATTTCAATACCAATACCAAAATTTTATTCAAGTTTGTCGTCGAAACAGACAAGATTTGGACATTTGTCCAAAGTTTTTATTGAACATTTTCTACCCAGCCTCACTAAAATAAGAAAAACTCAGTAATAATGACTTATATACGAGCAGTACCGCTCGTTATGTAGTTTATTATATCTACAGAAAGACAAGGCTGGTTCATCGATCCAAAAACCAGCAGTATCGCATCCTAAAAGACAGCAACTTTCAACTTCTAAGCCGAACCTTAAGCCGAACCTTCTTCGTTCTTGACACAATTTGTCTCATCATTTAGGTTACATGATGAATGTTTAATCGTGCCGACGTGTTATCACTGCTTAGCCTGCCACACAAAAAAGATTTTATCAATATATGCATACAGTCACATTCCCAACATTTGTTTAATCAAACTTTGTCTGTTTAAGCATAAAGTTGTTATCCTAAAGGAAGAAACCAAAGCATATTCCAAACTTCAGCCGTCAAAATATGAAACATCATGGAAGAATTTTGACTCACATGGAAGAATAACAGATGAGAATCTTTTAAGATTCCTCGAGTTAGGTAGGCTCAGATTAAAATGGTCAATTTCATATCCAACTAAAAAAAAGGCAAGGTTAAGAGGCACCGAACACAGGGAAATTCAACTACTAGGTTGGCAGCTAAAGTCCAACCTAAATATCAACACCAAGAATGCAACTCTCTAATTAGCTAGTGAATCTCTGTTATCAGCGTTTTAGCTGGTCTTGGTCCATGGCTTCACCTAACCTCACATCCTACATCTGTCCATCTCGAGTGTTCAAAATCAAGAACTCCAATGTTTCTCACATTTGTTTTGGTTGGAAGGCTGTAATATTTCAGAAAATTACACAGGATAAAAAAGGTATACTAACCTTACAATCTCAATACTATAATGAGACTGCTTTTGTTTTATTTATTTATTTTTGACAGGAAATGTTTCAGTTTTTCTTGATATGATAAAGAGATAAAGTGGAAAGGATGCGGGATGCATATACGTGTTTTCAGTGAAGCCACTGAATGCCAAAGCACAATACCAAATTCATAAAGACAAATGGGCAATTACCTGGGAATACAAGAAGGTTCCAAGAATAGCAATGGCGGCTCCAAGAGCATTGACTGGCCGGACAGGGGTGTGGAAAATGATAATAGAAGAGACGATGACAGATATACGTTTCATAGTGTTACCAATGCTAAATGTCAAGGGAGAGATCTCATCCAAGGACATGTATGACACTTGATTGTATAGATGATAGAACACACTTTGAGCCACCACCCACCTATCAGGCACAATAACAATCACACATAATATGTTCAGCACAAGACGGAGGAAAACATATGCCTGTTCATTTTTTGAAATTAGAATAGCAAATAAAACAAGGTAAATTCAACAATGCAACAGACTGTTAAAATAAGCAAAATCATCATGTACAACTGCATCACAAAGTATTACTTTTAAGGTCAACTTAACTTCAACCACATACTATGCATTTCCCAAAAAGCTATCTAGCAAGAAGCACCCATCTAAGTCTTTTTCATTGTGATTGATCAAAAAGTCTCTTTATGATTTAACTGTGCTGCTCTTTTCACTTCTCTACTATTCTAAAACAAGTGCATAGAGAAAAATCTTGGGTATTAGCAATCAGTCAAGAACCAGTTTTTAACTGTCAGAAACTTACCATACAAAATGTGGTCCAATCTGTGAGACCGCCGTTTGCCATCCTGCTGCCCACAACTGCGGTCCCTCCACAGCAATAGCAAAAGGTGTAAGAATCAAGAGAGAAAGCATAGAGAGGCAAGCATAGTAGTTCATTCCGCTAACAGATTTCCCCTTCATGCCTTTCTTTGAAAATATGTTCCGGAAAACAAAAGCCAAGTTGGAGATCATAGCCCCCATAAAACCTGAAACAAACAGCCAACAACAAACCCACCAAATTCATGACTGAACAAAACCAATAAAATATACTCAGTAAAATAACAAACCAATCCCAAACATAAATATAAGCAAGTGTACTGCCTGTTTGTTTTCAAACAAGACAGCCTAACAGAACGTTCAAGCTTTTGCTCTCACCATTTCCAGTTAAAGATTAGCAGATCAAAGTATGGCACAGTGGTTGATTCTAAACTCAGGAAGAGGGTAAAAAGGACAAGAATAGTCATACCAATCATGTTGAAGTTGAGTTCAGTAACAGCAGCAAGTGCACAACCACCAATAATTGGAATTAGGGACATGTAAACCCCAGCAGGGAAGCTCTCACCCAAGATGAACCTTGAGACCAAGACACTGAAAGCTGGTTCACCACTCTTGATGATATGGGTAAATGAAACAGCAACTTTTGACATGCTCACCGTTGCAGCTACATGCCCAATTGTATGTGCCACAGCAACCTTAGGAGAACAGATAATTAGAGAGTGCCAAGAATGCAATTAGCAAGCAAATTTACAACATATTTAATTTGGGCACCACAAATGCCAAAAACCCTAATTCTTTGTCTAATTGAACAGAAAAAGCTTAAATAAATGTGATAACAGTTTTTAATCTATTTTCCTAGTTTTAAACTCTAGAAACCAAGACCCTAATAAAATTGAATCTAATTTAACTGAAGTGAATTGGTAATCCCTTTGAAACCAGCCAAAATATAATCACACCAATCAAGCTTTCATTTTCTAGGCTTTCCCCAGCAAACAACCAAAGGGTATTTTTAGTAATAAAAAATATATATATAAACTAAAACTACATATAAAGGCTAAAGCTCAAACAGAAGACCATCAATTTTTTTCGTCACTCATTCTCATCTGCAACCAAACAAAGGGTAATTTTCTCAGCTTAAAATTATAAAGCCTAAAACAACGAAATGGTGCAAGCCAAAACAAAAACATCACTTTCCCATAATATCCTTCACTTTCCAACACACCAAACAAAACCCACAAATCTACTTACAGGGAATAAAGTCTTCCAAAACTCAAAATCAGTCTTAGGTGCCTCAGCAATCCTTGTTGCCCAAGATACAAGCATGATAAGAGATCCACAAGCAAGAGAAAGCGTAGAGGTCAACCATGGAAAGGGAAACGCATTCAACACCTTCTTGTTGTAAATATTGAACACAACATTCAAAGCCCACCATGTTGCAAAGTAAATTCCAATTTTGACCTTCCTCGCAGCCTCTGATTTCGTCTCCGCTGCATCTATTGGCTGCGATCGGTCTGCCTCATAGGCCTTACATGTGATCAACGATTCCTTCTGGGGTTTTGGTAGTGCAAAAGATTCAATTGAAGAGACATGTAAAGGTTTTGACACAGCAAGAACAGTTTTTGGGCTCTTCTTTGCTGGAAGAGAAGGCAAAAACAAAGATCTCTGTGTTGTGAACGGGTTTTTTCGGCGAAAAATGGTTTCAGATCCATTGATCGTTGGTAATAAAGCAGATTGCTTAACAGTGCAAATCATAATGAAAAAACTCCGAATTTATAAACTAAAATCAAAAAGGGTTTAAAGGGTAAGCACAAGAAAAACTCAAAACAACGAACCCTTGAAGATCAAGAACAAAAAGAGGAGAGTTCAACAAGAAATATATATAAAAAGCTAGTCTTTTTATGACTTCCTATTCTATATGTCAAAAGGTGGAAAAACGAAGATCTCGAAGGATTTAAACAAATAAAAACAAAATCACAATAACAAAGCTTCTAAACAATAAAATCACTGCTGCGATGATCTACGGAGCTAACAAAGGAGGTACAAATACAATACCAAATATTCTTATACTAATTTTTTAATGGGTTTGGTGGGCAGAGAGAGAAGACAAGAAGAGGTGGCTTTGAAACCTGCTAAGAAGAAAGAAAAGTGCTCTGAAATCTCAGTCTAAAACTATAAATTTGATGATGTTAACAAATGATCATGTGAATGGATGTTTTTTTTGCATTAAAGTATTTTTGATCTTTATAACCTTTTCCACTTGAAAAGAAAGATCCTCTCTCTAACAAACAAAAGGAAAGTTGGTTTTATGGGAAAGAGGTAAAAATATGGTGTGGTATGGTTTTTATAAGCTTGATGTTCTAACTGTCAATCAAGTAATGTATTTACTGTGACAATTTTGTAGATATAGTCAAAGTCAAAATTCAAATATTGCCAACTGAAAATTACCTTTTTTTTTTTATTTACTTTTAAATTAGGGGAAGATTTTATTGTTGGTTAAACTAAAATTGGAAATAATTTATTTTTAGAAATTCCCATTAAATTCAGATCTTGTGTTTGGTTAACCCTTCTAAGTAGCCATGATTTCAGGTTAGCTTTTTTTATTATTTATTATTATTATTAAATAAATTTACTACAAACAAACATTTTTTTACTTTAGGTTTATAAACATTTTTATTTTTCTACATTTTATCTCCCTTTTTGCTGTTTTTTTCTTAATATTACACACAGTTTTTCCCATTGTGATCATATTAATTTATGAGCTAATCAAATGGTTTTGTATCAGAATAATGTAAAAATAAAATAATTTTTTAAAATAATGTTATATGAAAAGTAGTTTTCAAAGTTCATAGCCTCAATCCACTATAAATTGACAATATCAAATGAAATTTCATGCTATTTTCTTAAAAGATAAAAAAAAATAAAAAATTCAAATTACTAGTTTGACTAAGGGTTTCGATGTATTAAAAATTACTCTATACCCAAAATATTTTATAAGAAGTTTGCAAACCAACTCACAATAAATAGTTTTTTTTTTTAATACATTATGTTTTGCCGTAAAACCCAATCGAATGCAAAATAATTCATATTTTAATTAATTACAATGTTTAATGGATCAAAATAACACATAGTTCCTTTTAATTCATCAATCAGATCACATCTGATTGACAATAAAATAATTTATATTTATCATAAGAGGTTTGCAAAATAATAATAATAATTTTGATTGTTTATATTTGGATAAAATATTATTGGAGAGCTTTTGACTTCTTATCAGTATTTTCAAAATCAAATTCGATTGATTGGTTGAAAAATTAAATTGAATTTTTAGGTGAACTAACTAAACCAAAATTTTGTTATTTAATAATTTTATTCATATATATATATATATATTCATTTTTAAATTTAGCTTTCTTATGCATAATTCTTGGTGTAGAAATAATTATTCAAATTGGATTCTCTTCTCTCAAAAAAATTAAATTATAACCTGCTTAAATTTAATTTTTTCTAACAATTATTTATTTCTTAGAAGTTGCATTCATGCTTACTCTAGCAAATTTCTAAAATATTATATAAAATTCATATTTTTTGAAATTTAAATGTTTATGCAAAACAGCATGATAATTGATTTTGAAAGTCAACTAATTAATTAGAAAATATTCTACAGATAAAGATTTATATTATTTTAATCGTATTTTTTTAAATGTTTAGCTTGATAAGTTAGTAACAAATTTAAAAGAATAACTCTTATAGAGATTTTGATCTTCTAACTTTCTTTTTACTATATTAAACATTTGACTATGGTAAATTAGTATTTTCATATATTTTGATCTTTAAATAATTTCAACAGTTGAATGCGGTTCATGTATTTTAGAAATTAATTTTGAATTTTCATAAAATAATTATTTGACAATTGAACCCTTATGGTAAATGTACATGCAATCTGGTAATATATATAAATTTGAATCTCCTCCTTAGTATTAAAAAAAAAATTTATAATAATTCATTATCATATAACATTGTAATCATATGTATCAAACTACTATGAACTTTGCAGACATTTATAATTTTGATGTTTTTTTTTTTTTTTTTATAATAACTCTCTCTATCAATTATAACATTGTAATCATTATGTATCTAAACTACTATGACTTTGAGACATTTTAATTTTGAGTTTGATGTTTTTTTTTTTTTTGTCAATTTTTATTCCAACTGCAACGTTTTCTAGTAATAGCACACTCAATTACAATTAAGGATATAATTACAAATAAAAAAGTATTTTCATAGTTTTTAAATCACCATATAACTCTGATAAAAATTTAATTTAATTTTTTTGAAAAATCCATTAGACTAAACAAATAATATTTCATAGATAAAATTTTAATTTTTAATATAAATGTGCTAATTAATAGTTTAATAACATAAATTTCCATTACTTACCAAAAAAAATCTCCAAGCATGGTTTAAAAATTAAATTAATATAACATAATTTTTTAATTATGTAATTTATTTTATATTATCTATATTTTAAGGGTAAAAATCCTAGCAAGTTTTTGAATGATAATATAGTCAAATTATTTTTCATCTAATAAAAGTATATAACAATTTCATAATTATTTCAATTATGCATGTCTCGAATATCATATTTTTTTATTCTATAAATGTGTCATTTACTAAATGTGAATATAATTTGATATTCAAAAAATTTAAAATTTTTATTTTTATCATTATTTAAAAAAAAGAATGAAATTACCTTTTAATTTGCAATTTCATCCTTAATTATAATTGAGGGTACTATTACTACAAAACATTGAAAACGAGTTAAAATTACCGTAAAGATAAAAATAAAGTGAAATTGCAAAAACCTGTATTTGATACATTAGGCGAATCATAAAAACCTAACAAGTTATATTTGCAAAAATAAAAAATATTTTTTTATTTAGTGCAAGGTCAAATGAATGAAAAAAAAAAATTTGTAGATTATATAATAAAAATAATCTTTTTTAGACTGAATAAAAAGTAAAAATTCTTATAATGAATTCAAATTTTTAATTTTTTTTTTATTTTTATAAAAAGTGACCAATTTAATGTAGGTATATCCGTCCCTCTAATTTAATGTCAGTTATTAATATATACTAGCAATATACCTGTGATATGCACGATTAAAAAAATAATAATAAAGTAAAATTGAGAGAATATATATAAAATTTATAGATTCTTAAATGAAAATTTTTTTATTATACTATTAAAAAATATAATAAAGATATATCAATAGTAAAGAAAATATAGTGTGATTTTTTATTATTAAGTAAAAATTAGTAGGTAGGCATATATTCAGGAATATAAATTAAAAATATTAAAATTTATAGAGATAAATAAAAAAAATGTAAAATGAAAGGTGGTAGATTTCATTAATTTGATTTATTTTAAATTAATGTAAAAAATAATAAACTCATTATTTCATTAAAATCCATGAATAAATAATTTATTTTAAATAATTAAAAGTTTTATAAAGTTTCAACTTATCATATTATTAATACTATAATTAATCAATTATATTAACATAATTTAATTTAATACAAAAGGTATATATACAGTATTCAGGACTATTGTATTAGGATAAGGACTATCAATCCTATATTATCTATTAGTTATAGTTTATTTAGGAGTTTAATATTATTATTCTAATATGTTTTATTATTGTATGTTAACATTTATCATTTTTAAAAACTAATAATTAATAATAATTATTTAAAGTCATCAACACATTAAATAACCAAATCAAATCAAACCAAACCAAAAATATTAAAATAAATCCAAATCAAACCAATACATTAATATATTAAATAATCAAATCAAAAATATTAACTCAAAATAAACTCAAACTAAACCAATACATTAATACGTTGAATAATTAAATCTGAAACACCCTTAATTTTTATTTTCGAAACTTTTGAATTTTTATTAAAACAAAAATCTGAATTTTCGACTGTCTGGACTACAAATACTGCAACCCTTTATTTTATTTTTCGAAATTTTGATTTTTATTAAAACAAAATCTTGAGATTTTCGACTGTCTGGACTACAATTGTTTAATTTCTAATTCGAGCCCAAGTTTACGGAGCTTGGGCTCAAGCCCAATTCATATTATTAAATACTTTGATCGAGTGTGAGGAATCTTTAAATTTTTAAGAGTAACTAAGGGAGCATTAATTATTAATTTATTAAAAGTACTTATGTATATGTGTGTTGCAACTTACTATTCATAAATTAATAAATATACAAAAATCTATTAGTTTCTTATATTATTCAGTAAATTGCCGGGGCCAATGTTCTAGAACCTAAACTAACGATCAAAATAAAATCAAACTCGATTAGAAAAACCAAGCAATCGAGTCGAATTTTTCGAATTAGGACCAACCGTTTCGATCGAACCGGAATGGTCTAGAAAGCTCCAAGTTTCTCTTTTTCTTTCTTTTTTTTTTTTTCTTTTTTTTTTCTTTTTTTTCTTTTTTTCCTTTCTTCTCCCTTCCTGGCCTACGCAAGCGTTACCAGCGCCGCGACCCTCCTCCTCCTCCCTCCCCATTCAGCACGGGAGCGCGATTCTAGGTAGCCTCCTCGACGGCAGCGGACTTCCGGCAACCTGGTGTGCTTCTCTCCTTGCTTTTCGTGGTGTCGTGCGTGGACGCCAGAAGTTGTGCAGAGGAGCCGCCGACATCCTTCTGATCGGAAAGCGCGTTGAGACCTCCTGCTCCTCGATTTTCTCGGACGACACCAGCCCTCTCTCTGTTTCGACCGACCGAAGCTCTGGGTCTCCCTTTTTGCTCCATCCTTTCCCTTCCGGCAGAGGACACCGCAGCTAGCGGCTACTGGATCCAGGTTTGGCGATCCTGGGACAAGCCGCTATCTGCTTTCTTTTGAATTTTCCGGGCAGTTAGAGTAGTTATTTTCAACCTTTCCAACTACATTCATTGAAATTTTGATCCTGTGAAATAGGAGAAGTGACATAGATAATAGAATTTTCTTATCTACTGTTATGAAGATCAAACTAAGAAATTCCTTGATAATAAAAATACTAAAAATGGAAGCTATAAATTTGACATTCACATACTAGATAGTTTAGATACTTGAATCTATTATCGAGTTTTTGTAAGGAAACGATGATCGTTTTATGGTCTAAGATGTATTGCTTATTACAATTTTTCATTGAGGTTTTAGAACAAATTTGATATAGGCAGTAACTACCCTACCATTGTTTAAGAGTTATTGCCTTGATATCAAGCTATAGAATATTAT